TTCTTTCATTCTGCAACAATTAATTACATTCAAATAACTTCTCAAAGGTTTTTATGATTCAAAATATTTCTTTGAGTGTAGAAAAATTATCAAAAATTATTCAAACGTCCCCTCAAGCTCATCTAAATATTAAAAGGCCTATTATTCTATTGTTTCTGCTTATTTCCTTAACGATTTTCATCGTTTAAGAGCCTGAAGAAAAGAGTTCAATTTTGTGAACCCATAAATATTGTTTTTTGTTTATCCATTTGTTTACAAAATGAGCGAACTTGAGATTCTTACAGACAGTAAAAAGGCTTCTTCAACATCAATTTATCATCGATCGGATTTGCCAATTTTATTGAAGATTAATTCGATTAATGTCAATGGAATTACGAGCGTACAATTAAGTAAAACAATAAATTTGTATCATCTCATACATCTGACACTTACTAGTGCCGCAACGTAAATAAACAATCATTTTCGAATAAATCGCTTCATCATCATATCTGCTGTATGCCACAAAATCAAAACAGAAAAATGCGCTATTCATTTATGAGCAATAATGTAAAAATAAATGGAAAAAGGCAGCATTGGGCCGTTCACTTATTACGTTACGCAAAAAAAACGATTTTTTCCACTCCCCTCCCCCCTTGTTACAATATGTTACAACTCACAACCCCCCCCCCTCCCCCCTGAACGTTCATAATTTATTTTATCATTAAAAAGGTGGAAAATTTGGTGTAAATTTGTAAACAAATTTTTTTCTTGAACTTTTTTTTAAGACAGACGACAGTTAGAACGTTACATACTTCTTGACCCCCCCCCCCCCTATGTTACATTTTGTTACAATTTTTCAAACCCCACCCCCCTCCCCCCTAAAATGCGAACGTAATAAGTGAACGGCCCCATTTTATAATTTAATTAAATCTTTTTTCGTCTGACAGCTTTATAATGTTCTCTATTTGCTTATATTCTCTTTCACGAGAAATAAATGGAACATTAAACAGAACAGGCAACTCATATTTAAGACATCAAAGTATTTAATTAGGTTGATTAATTTTTTTTTGTTCATTTCACGGCTCATTAAATGAAGAGAATCAAGGAGCTGAGAGGAAGAAAAAAAGTGTGAATAAATCAGAAACAATGGCTTGTTGTAAGAGGATTAACCTGCTTGTGAAGGTGGTTTGATAACAAAGCCAACAAATTCCATTTCACGTTCAATTCGTTAATGTCATTATCGAGGGCGTAAAGCTCGTGAAAGAAGCTTACGTACGAAGAAAAAAAATGTGTATAGGAGATATGAATATAGATATTATAATGCTATAATCAGCATTAAACTTATCTGAACCATTTATTTTTGGAAGATTTTGTTCATGCTTGATCTTATTTTTGTTGTGATTTTAAAGGTCGAAGGAAATGCGTGTCAGGGGGAAGTGATTAAGGTGGGGAGGAGGTTCAAGTAGAAGAAGAAAATTTGTGCAATCCGATGCATAAGGACACAAAAGATTTGATATAAAATAATGTGGAGGAATTTTGATTGTAAAACTTTTTTTTTACCCAAGCTTGTTCAATTTCCGGAAAGAAAATGAGAAAAACCCAGAAAAACCTTTGTGAATTTTTTCCACGAAGATGTCAATGGATTTCCTGGAGCTAAGAAAAGCTGCTAGCATTTCATTCGTACAGAATTTTTCAAACTCTGCTGTTAACTTTTTCCCACATTTTCCTGTTAAATTCCATTAAGGAATCCACTCAATCTATAACAAATCTGTACAATCTGATTAATTGCAAAGCTTGTGCATGACCATCCTACATTAAAATTTTCCACCACTTGAGCCACATGTTGAACTTCTGAATTGTAAAATTCAGACACAGAGCATGTCAAGTTATACATATGCACGTCTGGACATAAAAGCTTAGTAATTTAAATTCCATGAATTGTATGAAATATTTTTTAACCTCATCAAATGTAAAGGAAGCAAAAAATGTGAACGAAACTTTTTCAAGATTGAGCAGAAATCCTACGCTTCAATGATGAACAATAGATTGACAATTCTGTGGATGTATACTTTATAGTTCATTTCATTTCAATAAAACTTATTTCAATCCACTTCAGTTAATTTGATCTTAAAGGACCAATAAAAATCGAATCTTTCTTCGTTCGTTGTGCTTTCTTTTATTTGAGGTCGAAAGACTCAATTTGAGTTGAATTATTCAGTATGATGTAATCCGATTTGGTTTTGTAACGGTTGATTTATTTTTGAATTTTAAGTTATTTAATTTCAAATATTTCTTAACGGTTTTTCTGAATTTCTTGAAACTTAACTTTTTCTGCTTATTCAAGCTCAATTCAGCTGTAATTACGTATTAATTATCATAATTGCTGCTTACATAAATAGTTTTTTTGTTAACAAATGAGCTAGATTTTTATACAATTATTAACCATGGATATCCACCAACTATGTGTGTTAAATTAACATTATCATGACTTTCTGTGCTGCATAAAAATGAGCAAAAAGTTCTCGCCCTCATCGTGTGGAATGAGTTTTAATTAAAACTCTTTTTTACTGAGCACATTCATATCCTTTGGTCTTTGATACTTTTATGTGTGCGGTCGGTTTGCTTCAATAAATCTTATTTTGTTGAATTGCACGTTTCGGATGTATTGTTGCATTAAATTTGATAAAAGAAGGATATGAAATCTTAAAAAGACTTTATCTTGGGCTTATAGGAATCAATTGAGGTTATTATTGTCTGTAAAATATGAGAAAAACCTTTTTGATTAAATAATTCAATAAAATAAGGGATCATTCAGTTATGAAATCATTCCGTCACCCTACCTTTCAAGGAATTCACAAATATCGACATCCCAAGTGAATAGAACTCAAATTGGATCCAACAAATTTATAATTGTATTTAATTCAACAAAGGAAATGGATTTTAAGTCGAAGGAAGTGACTTTGGATCAAAAGCATTTTATGCTTTATGGAATTTAATAAAAGCAAAGTATAAACTGCAATAAAAGTAAAAGAAACTTTATTAAACAAAACTTTCTCAGCATTTTATAATTTTCATGAATCATGACAAGTTTCAAAGACTTGGCAAACAGTTTTAAAAGTATTGAATTTATTATTTTCTAAAATGCATCCAACCTCGTTAAAAATTGCTTATTAGATCTTTTCATGCGAAAGGTTTTCAGTCTGAATTTATGCATATTTAATTGAAAAAGTTTATTACTTTTTGTGACGAGTTAAATTAGCATGACATTTTGCAGTTGCTAAGAATTCCACCTTAAAGTCAAAGTTCTTGAGTTCAGACTCAAGGATTGTTGTGATTAAAGTGTGTGACAATTCAAGGACCAAAGCTATCGAGACTACTTTTTATGGATGGTTTAAATTTTTCAATATTGCGAGACAAGATTTATTCAAATAAGAGCGTGTTAGATCAAATAGCAACATATTGCCACTCAGGAATTCAGCCTTGAGTATATTTCAAAGGATAAGTAGTTGACATGGAAGTAACCCTTCATCTCATCTCTCCTGTGATTTTATATTATTAATTAGCTTATAAAAAATTGAATAATTTTATGAGGGGCTCCCAAAATAATCCCTAAATCCACCCCTGCTTCCCTGAATTCGTCGTCATTGACAATCAACACTCGAGTAAAGTAAACAATATTCACTTCAATATTTTGCACGAAATTGATTTTAGAAGTATTTATTCAATTATTTACCCTTAAATTTTTTCAAAATTTCATGCTCATCTGAGGGGAACACAACTTAATGAAAAAAAAATTGATTTAAAAATCAATCCAGTTTTCAGTTTCTGATCAAAAAGATGAAAATCTTTGGTAAAGTATTGCAAGAAATTTTCTCATGATGTTGTGTTCCCCTCATGCTTATCAACGTCACTTGGTTCATGTATGTCTAACATGAAATCATCCTCAAAAAAATAATAAAATTCAATTTTATCTTCTTCCTTTAAAAAAAAACATTTATGTTGTAGAAACGTGACGCAAAGAATAAATCACAACAATTCCACAACAACAAGGAAGAATTGCGTTTGTGGGAAGTTTCCACATGTTGTTTTGTAAAGCTTGAAGATCCTCTAGCAGAGAAAATGCCTGAGATTTATTATTTTTACTGTCATTTCCATTCTTTTGTGCAAAAAGTTTGGATCTTCTTCCAAAAATGATGCCATAGATTTACGTAAAGCACTGCAGCTCCCACTTTAGCGGATTTATTGGCTCAATAAACATTTCAGTGAAGAATGACATATTCATTAAACTTTACAGAAAAGCTCTAAAAGGGAAGCAGCAGGATGCCTTCTATTAATAAAATGAAAATTAAGCTCAGATTTTATTACATTTCCATGTCCGAACAGAACCGATGAAAGTCTTTTTCAAGTATTTTCTTAATAAACACTTCCTGAAAGCTTTTACTGCACTTCCATAAAAACCTGTATTTGTCAATATTTTTCACAACAGAATAAAATGTCTTATGAAAACTGATGATAATGTCAAGGAAGCATTATGTAGTGTAGATTTATTAGATGTATGGCCTTTATCAGCTAAGCTTGGGTTTCTATCGATTTTTTAAAATATAAAAATCTGTGCCTTTCTTGTACAAATTGCTTTGTTGTCAAGGTCAGTCATAAATTTTAGACATTTTGTAAAGCTTTAGAAATGAGCCTTAATCTCTGGCAACAATATAGTTTTCCCGAACAACACTTTTTAGGGGCACAACATTGCTTCAATGCTGTGTTGACATCCGATTGTTAAAAATTATAAATGAGTGCACCCAAAAATTCTATATTGTGTCACTCGGGTCTTGTTACAGCAATTATTATTGTTTGCATAATAGATTTTTCATCTACATCAACCATACCTGACAATGAATTGTCTAAAAAATAATGATGAGAAGGAAGGATGTAATGAAAAGGGATATAAGTTATGACATAGCTTTTCATTTTAATTTAATTTCGCTCCATTTATTTTTTTATCTTTCTTATCTCTTTCACAGAATCACATATATTCTTCAGTTAAGCCATAAAAAGAGAATTATTTTAAATTAATGGAGACCCTATTAGATTTAGAACACAGTGATGAATTGGAGAATAGATCTTCATTAGGCATTGTGGTAGTGTCTGATGATGGTAAGTAAATATGTGCATTCTTTATGGATTCCCATTTACTTTTGATGTAATCAAAATAAGATTTTTGTCAGGGATGTATTGAACTTTTGCTCTTGTGTTTTGATATTCTTTATTAAATTGACTAAGACGCTTTTAACGAATTAGTTTTGAACACACTACTTATGCTACTTATGACAATAAAAGGACTTGAGATTTCTATAAAGCTTGAAGTCAACATGAGTTTTGTAAAGCTCGACTAAACTAGGTTGATCATCTGCGTAGGGCAGTCCTGTATTTCAAAACCGTGTCCTGCATAAATTTGAAAATTTTGTTCCAGGTCCTGTATTTTTTTCACGAAAACTTCCGTTAATTTTCAAATTTTTCTTTGTGTCCTGTATTTTTTAGGAAATTTATCAAATGTCCTGTATTTTCATAAAAATTAAATGGTCACCCTAGACTAAACTCGATTAGACTCATTTAGACACAACTGGACTCAACTAGATTACTTAAAGGGGTCGTTCACTTATGACATCCAGGGGGGGGGGGGGGGGGTTCAGCAAGAAAAGAACAATAGAAATTCCTGGAAATCCATTGTTCTATTTGAAAAATTACCGTTATTTTCGGACGTCATAAGTGAACGATCCCAAAGCTCTGATCAAATCTGAATCATCCAGCCATAATGTTCTTAAAAAATTCTTTAATTCGAAGACGACAATCTTAAAGAATTCTTAGTCATTTCAAATAAAGATTGTTGAATCACAACATCCAAGTTGTATATCCCCCATTTACACTACATCCATGCTTAATGCGAAAGAAAACTTAACAAAATTTAATTAAGTTTGATAATGAACAGAGTATACAAGCGTTGATAAAGCGTCCGAGTCGATCCACAAGAAATTAAATAATCATAGCCAAGACTATAACTTATGAATTTATTTTCTATCCCTTTTGTTATTTCCATTCCTCTTTGATTCTCTTTTATTGTCCAAACCAAGACACTCCATTCTAATCAATTTTTCTATTTCTATTCTGTTGGTTTTTCTCAACATTCTAACGACATTAATGGCAATTTTTCCATATTTCCCCCAATTCCCATTGTTCTTTGAACTTGTTGGACATAATAATATGACAATATGAACCTTTCAGCATTTTCCAACATTCATTTACATAAAAACTTTTTTGAGTGTTCAACCTTGTGCATATTTATTTATTTTTTGTTGCCTCACTTCAGTTCCAAAAATTTTCACTTAACGCTATAAAAAAAACTCGCCGTAAATTGACTCAGTTTGACAATTTCCTCGACACAGGAAAATATTTTTCTTTTATTTCCGAAACGTGAAAAAGTTTTTTTTTTGTTATGACTTTTTATGCATAAAAAAGGAAGCAAAGAGGTATGAGTGGCTGATGATGATAATGATGACGACGATGATGATATTGACAAGGGAAAACGCGATATCTGACAGTAAGTGCAATGTAAATGCCAACACACCTTCAAGCACCTTCGACGATAGCAAATCGTGTTGCGACGGTAGTAAAAAGACCTGAAAAACACTTTTTTTATTGAATATAAGCTTCTAAACACCGACATCAATCCATTGAGACCTTATATCGATGTCATAACAGTAAATTCTCTTATGCCTTATCCTTCATGAAAATGAAAAAGTTTTTTTATCGCAATACTTTTTCATAAAACAGATGTGCTTGTTTGGCTTTATGCTCATAGCTATAGCTTGATTAATTGTCTATTTTAAAGGATAAATGATATTCCAGGAAGATTCAAGCTTTAGCTAATCGAATATTTTTCAATTTAATTTAATAATAAAATGTTTTTGACATTTTTTTGTCCTTTCACTTTTTGCCTTGGGGACATGCGCTGCATATAAACTCTTACCTTGTGTTATGTGTTGGACCGTATATAAAATTACATCTGAATTCACTATTCCCATATCCAACGATTTATTCAAGCTGGATTGAAACGAAAATAAATGAAATTTATGGTAATTAATCCTTTGTAAATTTTATTGGCAATCTGGTCATGTCCTGCTTCAAAAGGTTTTATTTGTGAGCTATGAAAAAAAAATTGAGAGTTGTTCTGGGAATTTAAGGTTGATGATATACTGCAAAGTGGAATCTTGATAACGAGTATTGTGTATGCAAATCTGTCAGTCCAAGTATGAACAAACCCTCTGTTATTGAGAGGCTAGGCAGCAGACTGTATATCTGTAACCCTCTTTAGAATACGTGGATTTTATTCCTACTAGAGGTTGGTCTCCAGCCTTACATTTGCATTAGCTACCTTAGAATTGAAGCAAATTGCAAAGGCAAAGCTATCCTCAAACACATTTAAGATTATAATCAGCAAAATAGTAGTGGACTCACAACTGTAGTCTGTTCTATGTTTTTTTTTTTCATTTTAATTGCACTTTATTGCATTTATTGACGACATACTGTCCGGAAATAATTCACATTTTACACTTTTGTATTTGTATACATATGAATTAGTATTATGTAGGATCAAACTTCTAATCTTCATATCTAGGTTTCAAATAAACTAAGGCTCTCGTTTCGATCTTCTGTAGGCGTTACGTGATACTTTTCAGGTCCGTTCTATCAATATTCCATTCGTGGGTAATCTTGTAGCTCTCGTTCCTATTTCTCCCGCTACACTTCAAGTTCCTGACCCGTTCCTTAATCCAACGTTGCCCAAATGCCCAATTATGGCTTGATCTCGTACATTAAGCAGTCGAAGTATCTAAACTTCCGAAAAAGAACAAATTTGGAAATGGCTGGATTCGAACCGACGACCTTCGAGTTACCATCCCAAATTTGAGCCAAGCGCCTTACCTATTCGACCAGCAAGGCACTTAACTGCTTAATTATTAACATTTCACAGTCTTTAATCGATTTTGAGCATCATCATCATCCTTAACATCCTTTAACTCTTCTATTTCTACTATGAAAACATCCAAAAGTAATTAAAAACGAAATGTCATCATCGGAAGTTCTTTCAACTCACTTAAAAGTCATCATTGAGGTTTAAAAAAACGTCAATTCACCTTTCATTCCTTCTTGTCGCCTGTTCATTATCACTACTGTTCATTCCTTCTTTAATAATCTTTCAAAATAAAACGTAAATTCATTGAATGAAGAAAATATCGCGAGTCACGTTTGAAAATGCCAATTGACAACTTTTTCATCTTCTTCTTATTATGATTCTTCATTTCCTCAGAGCTCATGTTTGAAGTGCCACCTCATTTACTCGCCATATTATCAATATTGTATGGTACGATCAGCATATTGGCAGTAATTGGAAATGTCCTCGTTATCTACATAGTAAAAGCTACAAGGCAAATGCACACAGTCACTAATTTCTTTATCGGTAAGTAGTAACCTCTAATCACTTGTTTTATGTTTTATTATCGCACAGTCATAATGACAGTCGTGGCAATTTAAAATGAATCCATCAAGTTGATTCCGTCTTCTTTCTTGTTTTTTCCATCAATTTTCTTTCTTACAATTTAGCATTGTTTTTGTGCTTAAGTAGGACATTTTAGTGGGATTCATCATAAATGATGTTTAGAATTTAGGGTTTTCGAGATCTTCTCTTACAAGGGGGTAACAACATAATGGGTAGTTTGAAACATTTTCCCATCAAGCTGTTGCCCCTTTTGTTTGAAAAATTATGACAGTCAGACAGTGTCATAAGTCATAACCACCAACTTCCCCCTTAAATCTCTTCTATGTTTATGTGACATCATAAACTAATGACCCCTAATATTCTAGTAGAAGAAGCTTGAATGCATTTACATTCGTAATATCCCACACGCTGTCCATCCAAAAGAAGAAATATAGAAATTTTATACAGTAATAAATCAATTGCTCGAATAAATTTAAAGGAGGATACAAATGTCTTTAAAATAAATGGGAAAAACAATTCAGCTTAACATGACAATCAATGTCCTTTTTCATCCACTTTTCATATTTTAATGCTTGACAAAATTTGCCTATTATTCAATCCTATACAATTTATATCTATACCCCTCTTATTCTTTTACAGCAAACCTTGCGATGGCTGATGTGATAATAGGAATGTTCTCAATACCTTTTCAATTCCAAGCAGCCGTACTACAACGATGGGATTTACCAAAATTTATGTGTCCGTTTTGTCCCTTTGTTCAGACACTCTCTGTTAATGTGTCAATTTTTACACTAACCGCCATTGCTATAGATCGCCATAAAGCTATATTGAATCCATTACGAGCACGTTCATCGAAACATGCATCAAAAATCATTATTGCGATTATTTGGATAGTGGCGTTCCTGCTAGCGGCTCCAATAAGCTACGCTTTGAAAGTTGTCGATTTGACCCACTACATAATCAGTAAGTAATTTTTTTTGGCTTATTCTAACCGCATATCCATTCATCAATATGGAAAGCAGATTGTTTGTATGTGCCGGACATAGATATTTACGCTTTGTGATCCCTTTTTGCAGAAGGGGAAAGATTAAAAAAGCAAAAAGCAAATACTGTCGATAGATATAGCATGTTAAAGAGCTCGTGATAGATAAGATCTATAAATAATGTCGTTTCCGTTCTTTTGTTTGGTAAAACTTGACTGCTTAACATGCTCAATAAGCGAGAGCTCCAAAAAAATGAATTTGTTTATGGATGGGGACTTACCACAGAAAAATGTTCTTATTCCTTTATTATCAATACATCACATACATCGAGACAATCATTCGGTGAAGACTAAAGATAATAAACATTTTATGCTTCTTGTTTTATCAATTCTCTTCCGTTTTCATGAATAATATGCCGCACTTCTTGACATTGTGTTTTTTGAGATATTTGCTCGAATAATTTTACATTCACTTCTGCTGTATATGATATTTGGTGGCGTATAAAAATGAATGTTTTACAATCCACTTTGGCTGATTGTTTTATATGGCCGATTATCGTTTATTTTTAGCTATATTGCGAAAGTGAGGATTTTCTTCTGTCGAGATGAGAATGCTTAAATTTAATTGAATATGTGGATTGTTTTTCATGCGTCTTCAGCATTGAAATATTTTGAATATTTTTGTTTGGGGCCGTTCACTTATTACGTTACGCACAAACCCCCCCCCCCCCCTGAATGTTCAAAATTTAAATTTATTTTGATAATTTTTCATAAATCTTTAAAAAGTTGAAAAATTTAAAAAAAATGTTTTTGGTGTGAATTTGTAAACAAATTTTTTTCGTGAACTTTTTTTTAAGACAGACGACAGTTAGAACGTTACATACTTCTTGACCCCCCCTATGTTACATTTTGTTACAATTTTTCAACCCCCCCCCCCTCCTCCCTAAAATTCGAACGTAATAAGTGAACGGCCACTTTTAGGTTAAAACGAAAATAAAAAGCTTTCACGTGCTTATAAGAAGAGTAATAACAAATCAATGCTATAAAAATGCTCTGAGGTTTTAAATTTGAAATAAATTATAATTTAAGTTGACTTAAGATCAAAACAATGAATATATTTATTATAGAATCAGTACCGAAATAAGTGAATTAAAGTATCAACATATTTTAAGTTTCAAGGATAATCAAGACAGAGAAGATACTTGTTAATCAAAAGTCCACTTGAAAAATATCAAACTACATCCTTCCGATATCAATAACTGAATACATTATTGTTATGTACATGAATGTTTGCTAGAAAAACTTACTTGTGTATGTATTATTAAAGGGACTTAAACTATAACAAAACTGTCTATGATATCGATATGATAGCATACCAAAACGAAGCATTAAGAAAGTATCAAGACTCCTACGCTTCATAAATAATTTAATTTTCAAGAAAAAGGTTATAATTTTTCATAATGAAAAGTGGGAGTTTTGAGTCACAAAACAAAACATTTTAAACTTATTTTCAAGTTTTTTTACATTAGCAGATTCGGGTTCAGACTCAGTCTCACTCAGTTCCGTTCTATTAATAATCTATTCGTAAAGTTTTCCTGTAGTTCTTGTTTTGGTTTCTCAAACAAAACTTTAAATTTCTAAATTGTTCACTAATATAATGTTGCATTGCTAAACTCTAATTTCAAACATTAAGCAATCGAAGTTTCTAAACTTCCACAAAAAAAACACAAATTTGTACATGGCAGGATTCGAATCAAAAAGCTAAGAGAGAACGGGAGAGAACCTTGCTGTTTGTTGGGTAGAGTATTAAAGTCTTTTGAAAATATTCATTTTTTGAATGTCTAGGATTCACAGAATCAATTTAGAATAACATCTCTGGTTTCATGGAAAAAATTTGATTATAATAAAATTCTCAAATATCAATTGTAGCTCGAAGTACTTCTTTCTACATTCTCTACATCCTCTACATCCTGCTTTATTCATTCGAATAAATTTAAAGCATGTTCCAATCTCGGAACTAAATCCATTCTCTTTGTTCACCACAATCAGATTAGATTCTCCAGATCCTTTTACCAAAAGAGATATTTGAATATCCATTTTATTGAGATAGAGCATAAAATAACTATTAGATTTTATCGGTACAGAAGCGTTGCCAATGAAAAAAAGCTTTTAATACTTTCTTTCCAAATAAATATTGATCATACCTTACTTGATATTTTTTCTTCAATATTCTCATGACAGGAGAGAACAACACCATCGAGGCAACCAACATAACAAAACCTTTTTGTCAAAATGTCAATCTTAGTGAAATCGAAATGTTGGCATACAAATACGTCCTCGTTTTAGTACAATATATCATTCCAGTTTGTGTCATAAGCTTCGTTTATATCCAGGTAATTCTTTAGCCCTTTAATACACAATATGTCATAAAAGTCTCACTCTTATAATAATCTAATGAATATTTTATACACATATATACTTTCAAACATTTTTGTTGTTTCCTCCGGTACAAAACAACATAAATAAACCATATCAAATATTCGCAACAGATGGCTATAAAACTTTGGGGAAGTAAGACACCTGGGAATGCAGAGAATTCTCGTGATCTCAATTTACTAAAGAATAAGAAGAAAGTTATCAAAATGCTGTTGATTGTCGTCATATTATTCTGCCTTGCATGGTTCCCACTACAGCTATACAATGTCCTGAATGTTACATGGCCATCCATCAACGAGTATCGTCATATAAACATCATCTTTTTATGCTGTGATTGGCTCGCTATGTCTAACTCTTGCTACAATCCCTTTATTTATGGAATTTATAATGTGAGTAGAAGAAATAAATTAATTAATTTCCAGTCAATTACGCTCTCCATGAGGGTCCATTATGTAGTTACTCAATAGAAAAGAATGAATAGAATGGAATAAATTAAGATTCTTTGGCAATATTGTGCTGTACTTAAAAGGATTTACCAACTCTTAACGTCTCATAAGACATCAGAATACTTAAACTCGAGAGCTAGCTCATTCATTATATTTTCAACCAGAATAGTTAAACTTTAACTGTCTACAAGGTCATTTTGACTGTCAGATTGCAATATTTTGTTGGGATCTGAGTGTAAAATAGTCAGGACCTTCTGTAATGGAAACCCTTTATTAAATGCGCTTCCATCCAATCCATTGTCAACTTTAGTTTCAATTTTCATTATTTTTCATTTTTCTCATCAACACTTAACCTCACTCTGTGTGATTTATGCTGTCTCTTTACAGGAAAAGTTCAAGCGTGAATTTTATCGTCGCTTTTCATTCTTCCACAAGTATGGGATTGGTAAGAGATTTCATCAATCAGCTAGCGGCATGGCTACAGGTGCAACCACATTAACAGATTATCATGACAAGACCTTATCAGTGTGCAACATGAGAGGCTCAATCTCACAGCACACTTCCCATTTCATAAAGAAGCCGTGCTGTGTACGAAATGAGAACTTACTTCGTAACACTAATGGCATTGTCTTTAAGAATTCTTACGTTACAAATGATGATGAGGATAATTTTACCATAACTTCAAATCCATTCAATGAGACTAATCATCGTGACTATAATTCTGAAGTGGAAGATTTTGAGTTTACTAAAATTATTTAAACTTGTTGTTTGATCTGTATACTGTAAATAGACGAAAGGGAAATGAAAAATTTTATAATTAATGTTCTTTTTTATATACGTTAAGATGAAGATATACGTTTACAAATATTGTGTATAAATTAAATGCAAAGATGTTGAAGATGAAACGTTGTGTAGTGTTAATTGGTGATGTAAGAAAGAAGAAAATATGTAATAATAAAAAAAAAAATATGTTTATTTTAATGCAGAAATAAAACTTTTTTTTAATGAAAAACTTTACTGTTTGCATATTTTATCGCGGATGTAAACAAGAATTAAATCAACAGCATAATAATGTAAAACAAACTTTGAAAAATTATACGGAACGATGACACGTTGTCGTGCAACAGTTACTAGGTAGCATTTTTAATATTTACGGCAGTGCTCTTTTACTTGGAATTTCCAATTTTAGAATGCTTGAGAACAATTTTCGTTGAAAAACACCTGAAATATTTTTATCGTTGTTTATTTTCGTTCCTGGGTCATTATTGCTTAAAAATATGGATTATCTTGATTGAGACGTTTGATTGCTAAATTCTTTCTTTTTAATTCTGTTTTTTTTTTCACGTAGCGTAGTACTGAAGATGTTTTTCTAAGCAACCCACGTATGTATTAGCTCCTACGAGGGAAGTTTATGTTCACAAATTAATACACTAGGTAATTAGAATTCAGTTTGGTATGTCCGAGCAGTAGATTCGTGTGAAGTGGATTTCTAATTATACGTAGCGATAGTTTATGGTGCCTTAAACAGAACTGTGTCTAATTTATCAGCTGGAATCAAGACTGTGGTGTCTTTGCTTTAGAAAGCTTGAGTACCACAGCTTCAGCCATTTTTGGAAGTTCACCTTCCTTGAATTTTTAGTCAAGTTTCTCATCATGCTGAATAAATCCAACAAAACTCAAACTTTAATTTGAAAACTAACAACACAAGAAGAAGTGAAGCTTGAAAAGTTTTATCAAGTGAAAATTTATAAAGTTTATTATTTTTACCTGACAGAACTCAACAATTGTATGTCGAGCAGTTTTGTATTGTATCATATAGATCACAAATAATGAGGGGTTTTAGATTTAACTATCCTTTGTATTGTAAACTTCTCGGAAGTGCTCAATTAATTAAAGAAAGCATCGATTTTTCCCGAGTGTATCCTATTTAAAATATTGTTTCCATGGAGATTCTGACACCTTCTTGTTATTTATTGTGTATGCATACTCTAAGCTTCTCAGAAAATTTATGATCTCATAATTGAAAGATCCACGTGTAATTTACTAGCGTAGAGTAAATTTAGTTCCATTCTATTTTTGCCTTCATTAAATTATTTCAAATTCATGACCATAAAATTTGTAAATTAATATTAGAATCAACAGGAATGGCGCAAACAGAGCCTTTGAATAAGAAAATAATAAACTTGATACGTGAAAAGGATTTTCTGTACTTGAAGTGTGTAAGGAAAAGGGTATAATTAATTACCATAATACAATCAATTCTTCTTGTGTCCAAAGCAAGAAATTTGATTATTCAATGGAGACAAAAAAGGTTTTTTGTTCTAATTTGACACCTTTTTACAATTTTCTGAGCTTTTATTCAGCTAAAATTTGAAAGAAAAAAATATATTGAAATTGTGGCACGAGGAATTAAGGCTTACGTGATTGTTGCGTGTGGAAAAACTTTTACTTCAAGCTATTCTGCCTTTGTCTTAGTTTTAAAAGAATATTGTGATATAAGAAATATTATTTTTAGGTTCCTAGCAGTTCCTAGTTGCTTTATTTTATCAAAAGGTGCTTTTTTAAAAAAAAATTGTTAAGACGCAGATTGATCATTGAAATTGAATAAGCATAACGGCGTTATTACAAAGCAGTTGTGCGTAAGGTGATACAATCAATGTTGTTAATTGGTTGGGTAACCCATTTTCAATCTTAACAAACCATTTCTGTTCCTACATGAATGGAAATGTATAGATTTTATTCGTAAGTTCATAACTTTTGAATTACATTCCAAACTGTAAATTTCAACTTAATTTAGTCTACCAAAAAAAAAACAAAACACGTCAACTCCTTCAGTAGAGCATAATCTTGAGAATAAATCTAAAAATACTCAAGACTCTGTGCACAGCAATCTGAGATTGAAAGCAATGACAAATCCTCAAAGCAAGCAATAGTCTCCAGAACAAAAGCATTTAAAGCTCTCTTATTTATGTTTACACATTGTTTATTTATAGACAATACAACGTCACGTGTATGAATCACTGCAATATCTTCAATTGAACGTGACGCAGTCTGTTTTTGTAAAACGGAATCTACAATCAAGAAATCACGTTTGTGGAGATAAATAAAATAACAAATTTTTATCTAGTAAGATATCGACACATGGATGTGCTGATAAAGGAACTTATCTTTCGCGAATATTTTAAAAATTTTAACAAACATTTCTTGAATCAGTTATTTGCAATATATCAAGTGGACACAATGGAAGATTTATTTTGGTTTATATTTATAATTGTTCTGGCATCTATCCTCATTCCAGTAATCATAGGCATAATAGTTTCCATTGTAATATTTGTATTTGTCAAAAAAGCTAGCGATGCACATAAAAGAAATCGAAGTATGGACGAAAATTCTAATTTTAAGAAATTAATACTGCATTTGAATTTTATTTGAAAAATTTGCAGCACCTGCACCTTATGTAATTACACAGACTCCACAACCGACCACGTACTCGGATCAATCAAATTCTCAAGCTTTTAGCAATGCTGCATTTGATGTTGAAATGAACAATCAGCATCAAATTAATCATCAAGGACATATGAATAACCAACAAATGTATCACCAAATGCATCACCAAATGCACATGAATAATCATCAATTGCATATGGATATGAACAATTCAGGAGTCAATTCACAAACAACTGACATTCCTCCCTCATATTCATCTTTTCAAACTGAAACATTTTCATCTCCAAGTTATAACGACTTTAACAGTGATTCCAAAAATGATACATCCACAGTTATAACTAGCAGTGATCCGATATAATTAATTAACATTAATTTGTATGGTGATCTGACCAACTTACCCACACATACCGTAAATGTTTGTTATCAAATGTTTATCGATCCTTATCTTAACAGATTGGAGAATAAAGTATTTTGTAGATTTTATATTTCATTAAGTTTTAGTTCATTAAACAGAAATGAGTGAGGCTGTATTTTGGATATTAGCTACTTTAGTAAGTTTTGCATGTGTAATTACTATATTTGGTTTTATTGCTGTCTATGACCGAAGAAAAAAGAAAAGGATTTCTGCAAGTAAGTTAGAAGTTGTGCTGAGTTCTTTAAAGATTGTCTATGAATAAAGTCTGAATCTGTATGATACATTCTCAATTATTTTCAGCACTTAATAATGAACAATCTAGTATAGAGCCAAACTTTCCAGCAACTGTTCAAATATCTTATCAACATTCCAACACAAATTCTTCTCCATATCCAACTGTTAATTCTGCATCGCTCCCAATCACACAGATTAAATCAAAGCATTGATCAAACAAAACGAAAGCTTTGAATATTAATTTACACCTCATCGGATCAAGGATTTATCTGAGAAGATATTAGGGAAGAATAGTCAAAAGGATCTCAGATGGCTTAACTAATCATAGTCTTAAATTATTGAATGACTTAGAAACAACTTTATTATATGCAAATGATTTCCTATTTTTAATTGTAAACATTTCTTTTGTATTGTTTTCCTTCCAAAATAAACTGTTTATTTTGATAAATATTTGATAAAGCATGTGAATCAAGGTTCATTTAATTTATTTGTAGACAAATTCACGTTTTGAAATTTATGAACAAACACATTAACAGAACTTTTATCGAGGATTAATATTAAGAAATTGATAAATATCTCAGATAAAATTATTTCTTGTAGTTTTTTGCAGTTTCTGTTATTGATAAAAATGGAGTGGGCTGAATTAATTTTTTGGGCAATTTTTATTTTCTTCATGTCCGTTGTTTTTCCAATTGTTTTAGTCGGTTGCATTTTGTGTGTTACAATTCGAAGACAACATCAAATAAGACCAGTTCCTTCAAGTAATAAAAATAATGTCAGTTATTCAATTAACAGTAAACTGATTTTACTTTTTCAGCACCCTATATTATTGATCAAACTGCTCGACAGACGGAACCTCCTTATCCAGGAATTCTAGTTTCATCTTATCCAAATAATTCTATCCAACGAAATAGTATGAATGACAATAGTGTTAATCTACAAATTAGAGACGTTCCACCTCCATATTCAACGGTTCCTGGATCTCAATTTCCTGTACTTCAGCCTCAACTTCCTTATCCAGAACAAAATGTTGCACATTTTCCAGTTCCATCAAGTGGTAGACGTGTGCGATTCAACATTGAGAAACCGCCAATTTTCGATGATGGTAATTACAATCATTTTTTGTAGAGTACAATTTTTAAAGTGACGTCGATTTCTTTAAAATTAATATTTGATCGGAATCACGTTTCAAAAAGTTGTACCTACCAACACATTCTAAAACAAACTTTATCGTAAATATCTGAGAACCTAGATAATGATAAACTTCGTCTGTTACGTCATAAAATCCAAGATTTTGTAGAATTTTAAATTCAGTAGTCAATTATCGATGAAGGAACATAGAAATGGAAGATTTTTTATTTTTTATGATAATTATAATTGTTGTGGTTTTCGTTTTTCCAAGCTGCATATCTGGATTAATTTATTGCATTATCTATTACTTCCACAAGGCTAATCAAAATATTGTTGCAAGTAAGGCAAATTTATCTTTAAAATGATTTATATTTGTTATTTGAGGATGTTCTGTGATGTCAAGAAATTATCTAGGACACATCCTTCATGATTTACTCTAAAAAACATCTATGTCTTGCGATTTATTTTCGTATATTTCAAGAAAAATCTGATTTTCTTGATGAAAAATAGCCAACCTTAAAAATCAAAAGAAGAAACAGAACTGTGCATTACAATATTTACTAGAAAGTCGTTTGTGATGCGTCAAAGGCTAATTAAGCTGTCTCACCTACTGAATTTAATTGCACATAATTTTATTATTTTTAGCATCAACCGCAACCACAGTTCAGCCAAGCAATCCTCCCGGTGAGCCAGCTTATCAAATATCAGTGCAAGCAACATATCAAAATGAGCTTAACAATCAGTCACCGAATCAAACTACATTCCAAGCACAAGCGACTATTCCAAATTCAATTCCGATGCAAACACTGACAAGACCTACAACATTAGCATTATCTCCAACAGAGCAATCCATACAGAATCAATTTATTCCAATTCCATCGCCTTTTACATCACAAGAACCAACAAGCTTCCCACCAATACCCTCATCGTCCTCAAATCGCACAGTAAATAGTCCAGAACATGATGATCCGCCACCAAGCTATCATAAAATCGATAAATTATAGTTAAAATTGTTGGCAGCAGATGAAGCTATTGAGGCCGTTCACTTATGACGTCCAGGGAGAGGGGGGGGGGGGGGTTGAGCAAGAAAAGAACAAAAGAAATTCCTATAAATCCATTGTTCTTTTTTGAAAAATGACCGTTAATTTCGGACGTCATAAGTGAACGACCCCTATATAAAGCTCCACAAAATTCTATTTATTGAAACCATTTTACTAAATTTAGTGCAATAAATTTAAATATGAGAAATCATTTGAGAGTGATTATTCGATGGATATTACTTCTTTTTGATCTTTCAGTGCAGACACTTTAAAAATTGAATCTGTATTTTCCTTTAAAAAACTTTGAAAGCGCTACACAATATCCAAACAACCCCATGACGTATTTAGAGCACTTCCCCAAAGTCTAATATTATAGACAGCATCACTTAATGTGGATGAATCAGCTAAACCGGCGTTCACTTTTCGATAAATATTTACAATCAGGTGTGACGCATTTTCGTATGATAACAGTATCAAAGGAATCACTAAGAAACACACAAGCACATTGCCTTCAAAAGTGACAATAATTTTTTTTATCGCTAATTATCAGAGTGTGTTTGCTGATAAAAATCTTTCGTGGACGAAAAAATTTTTGTAGATTTTTCTGTTCAATTTTCAGTTGCAGTTTAGTGAACATATTAGATAGTTTACAATGGAGGAGTTTATTGGCATTTTAATTGCTGGATTTGTGTCTGTTTTCGTTCTTGCCATTTGTTTAATGTGTGGCATCTTTTGCATCGCATTTTGGCGCAAACGGAATAATGCAATATACTCATGTAAATTAATTACTTTTGTGACTCATTTAAAGTTTTCTGGATTAATACAAAATTTTATAATTTTTTTTTTCAGCACCTGTTGTTGTTACTGGACAATCCCATCAACCTCTTGGACAACCTGCTTATCCAGTTTCAGTTCAAACTACTCAAAACATCGAATCACAATCTATGACTCATCCACAAAATCCTCAAATGCCTCAACCAAGCTCACTTTATCCACCACAAAACACACAGATGCCATTACCATATCCAACAACAAATCAACCGCAATTTCCACAACCAAATCAGCTTCCGTACCCACCACAAGATAATAACAATTTCCCTCAACCATCTTCATCCTTTTCAAATGATTTACAGAACTCCAATAATGAGAGGAATGATGACTTGCCACCTAGCTACCATAAAATCGATAAATTATAGTTATCTGTGCCAAATGTTGTTAATTTGTAGAGAATTAATCTTTATGAATAAATCCGTAAATTAAGCTTTCAATACAGCAATATATATTATATCAGGTTTGATGATAAGAACTTTGGTTCTCATTTTCGATGAAATGGATTTTTACAATCAGTCATTAATTGCTATTAGCTGCTCATTGTTTAAAAGACGACAAACTTACATTAAAATGTCGGAAAATGATTTTATCATTTATCCTTTTTCAATTATAGTTTTTATAATCTTTACAATATTCATCTGTGCATCAGTTGCTCATCGTAGGAAGAGAAATTATGATCGCACTCGATTTTCATGTGAGTAATGATTCTTGTCCATGTGACTACCTCTAAAATTTACTAGAGTAACCTACCAATTACTCAATCATTATCAGTGAGATATCATTCATGGCTGTGTAAGTTATGATAGCGATTAGGTCTAATTTTTTTACTGATAATATTGTATTCTCTCAATCAGTCATTAATTACTAGTAGCTGCTTCCACATCAGTATAAAATGACGGAATTTGTCTTTTATCCATTTACTTTTGTGATCTTTGTCGTATTTGGAATATTGATTTGTTCCTCAATAGCTCGCAAAAAGAAGAGAAATCAAATGGCTATGCTTTCAGGTTAGAAATTTAAAATTTTATAAATCTTGTGACTGAAAATTGAATTTTAGTCTGACTGTAATTTTGAGTTTCTCAAATTCTTACTGATCAATCAATATTGCAAGCTAGGACTCAAAGCGTGGAAGCTATCCCAAATATCATATTTATTCCACATATCCCAAAAATATTCAAAAATATTTGAGCATGTATGCACAATAATAAAGATATCCCAACGTATCCTTAGTGTATAGGACGTGTAATTTCAGGATATGATGGGATATCTCAATTCAAATGCATACAGGCTCAGGGATTATTTTGAATATTTTTGGGGTATATGGGATAAATGGGATATTTGGGATAGTTTCCACGCCTTGCTAGGACTTGAAAACTCTAATAAATGGGTTGTCAATTTGTTATGAAAACCTGTCTGATGCATAGTTTTTTTGATTCAATTAGTCATCAACCATGAACAGCTGTTTAGCTACATCGCTTTCTTGGTTTGCATTGAACATTTCGAGATCTTCTAACCTTTCACTGTTCCTTATACTTCTTTTGTTCTAACAGAAATTGCCAATCAAAAATGATTTGATCAGTCATGCATCCTCATCTATACTATGTAACATTCATTACGTTTATCATTCAACATTAAGCATTCTATACAATAATAAGCGAATTATCATTCATATCAGAGTATTTGTAATGATAACAAAAGCTATTCTCATTAATTGTAATTTTTTCTCATTCAGTCATTAATCGACGATAATTGTTTGGTAGTGTAATACTATTTATTTTACTGAAATTTTTCAAATTATCTAACAATGGAAACCATTATTATCATAATGGTAATTGCATTTGTTTCAATGTTTGTGATATTTGCTATTGCAGCAGCTTATAGTCGACGGATGAGAAGACGAGTACCATTATTTTCAAGTAAATAGAGAATAATAATAAAAGTCGCTAGATTTTTGTTGAAATTGGCTTATTCCACAAAACCCTTTCATTCAAATGCCTTTTATAGAGCAATAACTTTAAAATCAATGTGTTGGTTTCGATAAGAACTTCAATCAGATTTTTGTGGGCAATATCTTTTCAAATTAGTCATTAATTGGCATTGATTGTTGACAGTTTAAATACTTAAATTCGTTGTTTCAAAATTTACAGAATATGGATGTATTTTATATTTTTATTGGAGTTGCTTTAGCGATCTTTTTTATATTTACTGCTTGTGGAATAACTTATACTCTTAGACAGAGGAAGAAACGAGCTGTATTATTCTCGCGTAAATTATTTCTTCCGATCATTTAAAGACAATTCTAACCAAAGTTATAAAAAAGTTTAAAACTTAATTTATTTTATATCCTACCTTTACAGCTCCCGTTGTAGTAACCCAACCAGCTCACGCTGTTCAATTCCAAGCAGGTCCAGGAAACAATTTTCAACCTAATCCAAGTGCTCCATATATTCAAAACATGCAATATCATATGCCAATGCCACCTTATCAAAATAATCAGCAGTTCCAACAACCTTACCAAAATGTCTATTCGCAGCAACCACCACCTTATCCTGGAATGCCACAACAGTCAACAGATAATCAACCTGGCTTTAAAATTGGTGTAGAAACATTCTCATCTTCTGGTACTACCGTAAATGGCATAAATGTTGAAGAATCAAGGAACACAGTGACTCGTTATTAATAAACAAAATAAACGGTTATTTTTCCAAAAAGAGCAATGGGTTTCCGAGAATTTCAATTGTTCTTTTCCTGCTGACCCCTTACCCCCCCCCCCCCCCGACGTTATAAGTGAACGGCCCTAAAATAAATTTGTTTGATAAAAAAAATCATGACTCATTCGATTTGATTGTTTCGTGTAATCTACATAGTAAAGGTTTACATGTGTGAATTCTTGTAACAAGAAATAATACAGTGATATTTAATCATGTGCTTGATGATAAGATATTAGTTTATTTTACGTCTGAAAAGTTTGCTACTCTTAATCAGTCATTGTTTAGTCTCGAGTATTCTAAGAATTCTTTGTGAATTTCGCTCTAAACTATGGAAAGTTATGTGATTGTGATTATTATTGCTGTGGTTTTCGTTTCCCTAATATTATTGACATTTTGCTGTTTAGCTATTATTCAACGAAGAAATCGAAATGTTAATCAATCTGGTAAATTACTTATAAAATCTTAAGTTTGAAGTTTACATTTTGGTAATTTTATCTTAGTGGAAGAAGGAACTGTTTATCCAAAGTACAACCTTTCAACAATCCAACAGCCTAATATGATGAGTAGACAGCAGCAAACAATGAATCCAATATACCCAGTTCAATTTTCTCAGACAATGAATACCCAAAATACTCAAATGCCATGCCCATCATTAATTAATCCTTACCGAGGTTTCAACCCTGTTCGAGTTGTTGTAGCTCCACTAGTGATCCCTACCTTACTTATACCATCATTCCGATTTTAATAATAAATCTGATTCTTAAGCAAACTTACTTCTTCTTTTCTTAAACAATTTAATGATTCCAGAGACAATTATAAACCTTAGTAAGAATTGAAAATTGTTGATTTCGTGTTAAATATATAATTTTTGGAACTTTTGGCAAGAACCTAATATATTATGGATATTTTATCACTTATAGTATTGATTTCAGTAGTGTCACTATTGACAATTTGTTTGATATGCGGCTGTTCATCAGTCAGAAGAAACCGTTACCGTGAGAATTATTGTTTGGGAACCTGTTAACAGAAAAACAACTGTTTTTCTACAAAAATCTGTTAACAGAAAACAGGTTTCAAAAACAGATCAGTTTTCTGTTTTTCATTTTTACATATAATTTACAGAAAAGAAATTTTCTTAATCTTTTGAAGAACTTAATATATTTTTCTGGAATTCCAAATTGAAATGTATTTACTTTTTTAATAGTTTTTGTATGTTTAATAGGTTTGAAATCATTATCAAATTTATGATTAGTCATTACTAATTTTGCAATCGAAATTTTATATTTGTTGAACCTTTTGTAGCATTTACTAAAGTTCAAAAATATAATCAACAATTTTACACTCTATTTTTTTATTTAAAAAGATTTTTTTTGAATATTTCAAATAAAATATTAGAGTTTATGGAACTTTTACAGTTTTACAGCAACAGTGCAATGTTACTTATAACTCAGTTTATTTTGAATTTCAGGAAAACAGCTGTTTTTTAAAAATCAAAAACCGAAAACAGACTGTTTTTCAAAAACAGCTGTTTTCCACAAACCCTAGTGATAATCATGATTTGCTCCTCAAAGATCATAAAGACTTAATTCCATTTTTTCCAGCTCCTGTAACAATAATCAGTCAATGTCCTCCAAATCAACCATGTCGTCAAAATCAAAATGCATTTATTCCAGCTCAACCGATGCAGCTTCCTGTGTATACTCAAAATGTACATTTGCCAATGCAGTACCCAAGTAATAATCCACAACCACTTCAAAATTATTCAAATGTACAGCAACCTATGATGCCTTTGCAATATAATCAGCCTACAAATTATTACAACATGAATAGAAACTGAGCGGCTCAAGAAGTCATGACAATAAAAAAAATAATTGATTCCAAATTGTCAGTAATTTTTAAAAGCATGAGCAATTTTGTGCACAAGCTGCGTACCCACAATGAAATATCTCTCTCTTTAAAAATTCTCTCATCTACGGCCACCTTATTTTTATCATGATTTTCTATAACATGTGCTATGACATTGACATTTTGGATGTCGAAGGATATAACTAAAGTTATTTTGTCCAAGATTGTCGGGATAATTTTTTAACAATTTTAACACATGTCTTTTTGGGTGTTGCTTTGTATATAAGTTTACTTCACTCCAAGTCGCTATAGACATCAATAACACAAAAGCTTATGTATCTTGTCTCTCACAGCGAGAATTCATTCAAATTTTTATAGTTTTCTTCTTTCCCGAATAAAATGTTGAAAATTACAGTATAAACATAGTTAAAGCTAGTAAATATAGTGTATTAAGAACTTTTGGATAGTCATAGAACTAAATTTCATCAAATTCAAACCAAAGAAACATTAAAATCAGTGAATTAAATTCGATATTCATAAAATACTATAATTAACAAAAATGGATTTCTTTTTCTTCGTTTTCATCGCATTTACAATATTTGTTCTTTGTTCATTATGCGGATTCTGCTGCCGTAAGAAAGAACCAGGCGCCATTTATTCAAGTAAGTCAATTCATCGAGTTCTTATTGATTAATCAGAGTTCTTACATACATACAGTCAATGAATCATTGATTATTATTATCAGCTAGTCTTCTTCTTATAGCCTCATTTTAAATTTCTCGTGAAAATGACGTTGACTGGGTTTTTTCAAATTCTAATTTTTGCATTTACAGCTCCAGTCGTAATAACAGCAGAATCACATCAAGGTCCAGGAAATGTATATGCACAACAGACGACGATAACAACGAATACTGTTCCTCTACAGAATCCACAAATGCCTATGCCTTATCCTGCTGCATATCCAACTGGAAATGCACCGCCTTATCCTCAGACACAGCCTGTTCAACCGTAAGTCTTAATTATAGAATGTCTAGTAACATTAACTAATCTATTTTATGCTCAACAGTTATCCTCCCACTGGATATCAAGCGCCATACCCTCAACAACCTGGTACTGCACCTTATCCACAAACTGGGTATCCACCACAAACTGGATATCCACCTCAAGCTGCAATGATGCCTCCAAGTTACAATGAAGCTGTTGCTAGTCCAGTTGGATATCAAATGTCACAAAAGCAAGAAGCATACAATCCAAATTACACTGGAAATTAAAGTTCTATATACTCAAAGACATTATAAAAGTATGAAATACGAAAGGATATTCAATGTGCCCATGTTACTTTATATTTTTAATGAACAATAAGGATCAAAGCTGGAAAGAAAATTTTGTGACTTAATTTTCGTGTCTTACATAAATATACTGCTTACATGCTTAACATTTCTTCATTTTCCTCACAATCTCCTCATATAATTAATTATTAATGTATTTATGAGATTTAAATAATTTTCGAATATTTTTTCTATACTTTTTTTTCATATGCCTTTATTAAGCATAATTGTAAGGCATACCAAATGTTTATATGTTTATATCTGCAGAAGAATATTGAAGACAAATAAAAAATGATGAAAATGTTTCGAAAAGTAATCTCAAAAATTTAAAGAGAGAAACATAAAAATTTATACTGAGTTTTTTTCTATTTTATTTGTATGCTGTGAGAGGGAATTGCGTGACTGAGAGAAGTAGAAGATTGCGAGAGAAAAGGACGAGAAAAACAAACATTTGACAGGATTTTTACATTTTTTTTTATTTTAAGAAAAAAATTATGGACGCTGGCATTTTAATCATATTTCTATGCTCATTCATAATTGTATTTTGTGCAGCATGTCTATGTTGTAGTATATTTAGTGATAATGAGGAAGAAATAAGGAATTTGGGTAAGAAATCTGTGAAATTAATCCCATCATGATAACATTTATTCTCTTTTCTTACATCCAGAAAGGAGGCAACAAGGACCAAATCAAGCTCCAGATGCACCTTATGTCGTCGAAATGGAACAAATCAAGAAGCCTACAACTATCACACCAATCAAAAGTCCAGTAAAATTAAAAGCATCATCATGTAACGAGGAAATTCCACCACCAAGTTATGAGGAATGGCTACATATGTCGGGTCAAGTGACTCCAAATATCTAAACATATTCAAAATTACAAAATAATATCATTAATTTTTACAGTGTTAATGTGTTCATTTATGTTTGTTATACAATTTTGCAGAGGCATGCATGTTTTATCATTCCATGGCCAAAATATCGTAGTGATTTAAGTGACAATTAGCTGATATTAAGCAGTCGTACCAATGAAATGTTTTTTATATGAATATTTTTAAAAGTTATACAAGACAAATGCCAATTTAGGTTTAATTAAGCATAAGAAGCAATAAAAGTGTTGTATTTTTTACCAAAATGTTGTTTTTAATATCATATCATTATCTTAGAAATTCAAGAATTGATTGAACCACGTTTTATGCTTTTCAGTGCTCAACTGTCATTTTAAATTTGAAAAATATGTTTTTTTTATCTAATCCATGATCAATTATTTACAATATTGAAATCATGTTTTGGATAATTCTGCAAGATAAAAACCTATATTCACCTTCATAAGTGTGAAATGATCAAAATGAGATTCAATAAAGCATTACATACTTATTGTTTGATCTGAGAACCTGCCAAATGAAGCTGAAATACAAAAGTAATTAAATTTGAGTCGGTAATTTTTTCACGAATTTTCCTTTTTTGAAAAAGGATCGTTATTTTCGAAAACAACAAGTGAAAAAAGCGCGCAATAAATTAATATTCCAAAAATAAGTTAAAGCATAATAAATCGCAATCTCAATGCATCAAAACAAGCTATAAGAGTTGCATGTAGTGATTAAGAATTAAGGTAAGGCTGTAAATGGCAGGATTCAAAGTTTTCAATTTTTTGGTTTAAAAAGATACAGTTGTAAAGTTTAATTAATATTCAATGGAGTGTTTATGCTTATCATCAGCTATAATAATTTTATTGACTTCAACAAGTTGTTGCAGATATTTTGCTAATAATCCAGGTGATTTTTTTGCTGTTAAAATTGAATTAAGCTTTAATTACCAGCAATATCATTCCTTAATTAATAGAAACAGAAAACTTAATAACTGCTGATTCACAAGCCTCATCTAGGGAAGTTTCACGCACAAACACTTCAGTTCATCAAGTTCAAATTGAAGGAAGCAATAATAATCTTAATTATATTTTTACGAATCCACCTCCAAGCTACGAGGAAGCTATGGCTCTTAGCGATAATTAATTAGCAAGCATCAGTTTATTAGTCGTTAAAATTGATCAAAAGTTCTTTGGTTAGAAGCATTTTGAAGTCATCATTTGGTTGTGTGTTGTTCGAGATTAATCAAGCAAATTGAAGACGTAAATAGCATCAAGTATTAAAAATAATCAAAAGACGACTAGAAATGGCTCCAAATACAGACGGAATCAGTTTTATGGACAAAAATATCGAGATTATGCTGATAATTGCAGCAGTTATATTCAGCATTATTCTAATAACAACTATAGTCTATGCTGTAAAGTTCAGGACAGTAAATTCAGGTAACCTACTAAAATTTCTATACAGTATCAGCACTTATGCGTGTATAAATTCCACACAGCAATAAGAACAGAAGATGGACATAATGATCCTCCACAGCCATCAACTTCAAAGTACGAACCATTATCACCAAATGCTATTCGATTCGATTCCATGCCTTCTGTTGTGCATTCAAGTGCTTTCCTGACAATTCCTGCAATCACGAGAACCTATGATATATCAAACTTGAAATAACATGTCCTTAATTAATCCTGCATAATTTGATATGATTACTGGATGTTAATTAAGGCATAAATAGTGTGAATGATCATGAACAATGGACTAGTATGTGTGTGAGTGCGTGACAATAGAAATAGAACAAAAGAAAGCGAGGAACAGCATCAAAATGTGTTATTTTGAAATATTATTAATTTTACAATGTCTTGTTGTAATCTACTTATTATTCATGTACTTTAATGGATCAATCTTACGACAAAAGTCAGGAATTAATGGTAAGGCATTTATACTGTCATTTTGTGATCTATAAATTAATCTTTTCTCATCAACACTTAGAAAAGAACCAAAAATTAGGACTTATGGATGCAAAGAAGCAAGCAAAGGATGAATATATTATTAAAAACGATTATGAGGACATTTGGAATCCAGGCGTTGGCTTCTCGTGTGAAGTCATAGAAATTAAAGTAGAATCACCAAAAAACAGCGATACATACAATAATAATCTTGAATAAACAGCGTGATTGTAAATTGTATCAATTAAATTTATTGTTGGATGTTTCGTGTTTTGTTCCTTAAATCTATTAATTAAGCTAGTTTTTTAAGGAAGTCATCTTGTTGATTAAAAATGGTACAATAAAATTAAATTTGCGTGATAATTTGGTTATAGTTTTTATTGGACATCCAGCATTGTACATGAATACAAACGAAATCAAACTTAAGAATTAATTAAATCCTTGGATTTAAATTTAAATCCCAGAATTAAAGATTCTGGTCCAAATTTTCTTAGACCAAAAGTCAACCTTAAAAATCATTGAGTAGTCATTTAGATGTGGCTAGGAGCTTGTCAACATTATTTATTAATTTTATTGCATTTATTCAAGTCTGTGCCTCAATTTATTTTAAATTAAACAAAGAAATGTGCTAGAAGTTCCATAACAATCAGAAAGTAGACAATAGCATCCAAAAATTGAGTAAAACAAGCTTGTTAAACGTTTGAAACTATCCAAAATGGATGAAGAAGTTTTTTTAGTCATTTTCGTGGTTTTTGTAATTTTAATGTCAATCTTGGTTGTGACTTTTATGTGCTGTGGTCACAGTGAAACTCCAGAAATGGAAGAACCATTGATAAGTAAGTAGTCATTATATTAAAGGAACTAGATTCTCATGGTTTTGTTTATTAATTTAAAGTAACAGAACCAGGACCTTCAACAAGCCCAAAAAGAACACCAAACAGAGTGGCTGAAATTATAAATCCAAGAAGACCGTCTAATAACAGCACAGATAGTTCAGGAAGTTTCAGTTTACCAATAATCAATCCCTATATAAGAATGCCAATCAGTGCTGGTCTTATAAAATCACAATTCACAGGTGCAAGAAGAACTCCAGTTAATAATTTTAGACCAATATCGCCAGTCCAGCCAACGGAATTACCAATAAGATGCTTCATCCCACTTCCAACTAATTCCTACGCGCAAAGAACACCACCAATAACTATCGAGCATCGCAGTCCACATGAATCACCGCCACCAAACTATGAAGATGCTATGAGAAGATATTATAGTGCACCAGATTAATATTCATTCCTTGATTTATTAATACACAGCTAGTTGTGTATATTATTGCTTATGCCTGCTATTTCTTCATATAGCAATCATTAGGCAATTATTAGAATATGTTTGTGTAAAGCATGTTGAAGGCATCAACAAGTAAAATTAAATTCTCTTCCAATACAGATAAGGATGCGAGCAAGCATAAAGTTTAATGTAATTTATGAAAGGAACGAGAATCTGCTAAGCAATATTCTCAATAAAATTAAATTGTATATCTACTATGTCAATTGCTATCTTTAATGTGATTTTCATTTCAATTGATTTTTTATATCGCAGGTTAAAGGAGGTGTTTTAAATAGACAGGAAATGAAATATTAAGTTGATGAAAATCAGGTGATGTTTGAGCATTTTTTTTTATTTTAAATTCTAACGGTTTTGTAGAATTTAAATTATGGTTTCATAAAATTTGAATTTGAAAAATCCGTTAAGTAAATCTTAAGCTCAACATCATTCAATTAATTAATTGACAAACTTCTAAAGCAATTATCATATTTATTATAACTTGATTGTGAATCACGTCAATGAAATATTTGAAAGTGTCAAAAAGATCATTAAAAAGTTATAATTTAGGCTTCATACTCTTCATTTTCATCAAAAACTTTTCTTCTTTCATTCATTCATCGAACGCTCGTCCCAACTTTTCTATTTCATTGAAATTAAATTGATTTTCCATATAAATTCAGCAATAATGAGTGAGAATGTGTTTGCGTGGGATGAAAAATATTTTGAATTCGGTTAAAGATAAGAATTAATCAACATGCTATCATTCATTCAATTTTGGATGGTTCGGAATATGGAAGTAGGTAGCTTCGCGATGATAAATTTTATGTGATGAGAATAATTTATTCTCGTTGACATAAAGCGATTAAGGATCTATTTCCTTTATGCTGCAATTTAATTTATATCCGATAATCAGTTTTGAGTGACGGAATATGATGTTTGTTATTTACTGCCATTAAAAAGTTTCGTGCAACGATGACGGAGTTAAAAATCAACAAGATTGTCGTGATAATTTTTTAAGAATGTTTACACATGTGATTAGAGTCTTCTTAAATGTCACTCGGTTAGCAAGAAATTAAATGTGAGATGTTAATTATGTTAATTTTGGTATTAACTTTATAAAGCCGTTAATATATTATTTGAATTTTTCAAGGAGTGAGAAATATTCATTTACCTTTTTCGAATTTTGTAAATCCGTTAAATTTTAAATTTCCAAAATCCGGTAAATTACATAATTCCGAAATGCGTTTTAATTTTAATTTATTACAGTATTCTCCTAATTATGAGTTTCAATTGCGATACATATTCGTGTTGATGTTGAAGATTTGCTTATTAAAGCATCTTAATTCCTCTCGTCAGATTAGACACATCCTTAATAAACACAAAAATCTGATTTAACTTCTCAATTTATCAGATTTTTTGAAATATCACATTCCATTCACATGATTTTGACGTCAACCGTAATATGAAATGAAGCAAAACATTGTAAACATCCACAGATTATGATTTAAGGTAATAGAGCTTATAGAAATTATACTTTTCATCTTCTTGAATGACTTGAGGATCCTTCATGAATATGTAATTGTGGATTGTGTTGTTCATTAACTATTTTACAAGGCATGGAAGTTATCCCGAATATCATATATATCCCACATATCCCAAAAATATTCAAAAAATTCCCGATTCACGATAATAAAGATATTCTAACGTATCCTTAGTGTATTGGACGTGGAATTTTAGGATATGAATCCCAATTCTAATGCATACAGGCTCAGGGATTTTTTTGAATATTTTTGGGATATATGGGATAGTTTCCACGCCTTGCTATTTTATATGATTTATGGATATGCGGTGATATAGTTTTGCTTGGTTGTGTGACTGCTGTCTGGAAAGACATAACAATATTTAAGGTAATATGTATGTTGAATATTGAAAAGAAATAAGCTCTTTGCCTTTTTAGTAGGCTGTAAACAGTAAAGTTAAAAATGAAGTGGTTTGGACTCAACAAAAATCTGGAGGACTCTTGGTTTTGAACTTTTTGGATTGGCGAGCACTCACTCATTAGTCTATCATTCGCCACAAAGCGTCCTAGTGCAGTTCAGGATCTCATTTGATCAGCGCTCATCAAAAGGCTCATTCTGGAATCAAAAAGTTTAATCCTAGGATTAAAACACTGTAGTTAAGCTGTACCATAAGCATTCCTGACGAACATCATCAAACTAGACATATACATCACAGAAGATTCAAAGCCACTCGTGTCAACCTAGAGAATAAAGTCATTAATTTATTTTTCATCTGATTAAGCTTCAAAAAGCTCTCGACAGAGATTAATGCACTTCCATTGAACAGAATCTAGGCTGAAATGTAGGAATGATGTTACATGCTGTAGATAATTTTTCAAATAATATTTATTGATTCTTATTATTTTCCAGTCAATTTTTTTATTTATTTTTTTTTTATCGATCAATCGATTCTTACTGACTTGACAACTCTCTTACTTCTTGTTCCTCAAAATTTTTTTTATGTGGCATGTTTTAATATAAAAGAACATCAAAAATGTCTTACAAGCATTCTTATCATGCAAAGATAAACCAAAAAATTATTTAAATATTTTCTTTAATTAGAAGCTTTACGTTTCCATGTCCTTAATGTGGTTGTTTCTGGCTTTAATTCCACTTCTAAGAAAAAAAAGCTTTTCTTTTTAAATATGATACGCATCTTAAATGTGTATGACAGTGTATGAAAGGAAGTAATTTAATGAATTTTTAGATGATTTTTTTTTTCTTAAAAAGGGCAAATTTTAAAAGAGCAAGCTCAAGTTGTGGGATTTAAAAATGCAATGCACAATGGTTTCTTGAATGCTATGTGACTTTTCTAGATTTAAATTTCATTTTGAATTATTTTAAAATGTTGTAAAATGTCACGTGTTCTTTGGATGTGAAACTTAAAAATCACATTTTGATCAGTTCCACATCCGATAAACGTCCTGAATAATAACCCTTTAAGATCACGAGCATAGCATTTTCTTTTGATGCAGGAACAAAAGTTCACATTCATTAGTAAGTTTAAAAGATTAAAAATTCTTACAGGAATCACGGCATGTGACAATTTGAAAAATTTAATTTTACTTTGCTTCATCCATGACTTGCGTGTTCTACACGATTTAATAAATCTATTGATGCAAAGCAGCTTTATAGATCATTAAATTTGAAAAAAAAATCAAACGTAATAAATGATTTTAAAATTCTTTCATCATTTCCGATTTTTAACTTACCCTGTTTTTTCGTTATAAGCTACTACTCGTTACTAAGCTACTAGCTTAGTAAAGTTTTTTTGAACTTGAAATTTTTTTGTAATCTTTACTAAGCTAATACCAAAATTAAAGTTTAATTAATCTTTTTCAACTTTCTAAGTATCAGTTTCAATGATTTATGACATTGTCAATGAAATAAAATCGAGAAGATAACAAAATTTCTTTGATTAAGTTAAAAAATTCAAAATATTCATTGAAGTTCAATTTCTTTACTAAGCTATTACTCGTTACTAAGCTACTAGTGAGCCAAAAAAATCACTTTTTTTATTCTTCTAAGCTACTAGCTTATAACGAAAAAACAGGGTACTCGAACGATGTAAGCTTGTCAATTGACAAGCATGTTCTGCATTATTCAGTTAGAAACTCACATTCAAAGTGCTTAAATAATGCAAAACTTTTCCTGCATGAATTGAAGTCTTCAAAGCGAATTGAATTAAGAAAAACTTTCAATTTTAATGATCCCGCATCAAGAGCATTTCCAGGAACAAAATTTACATGATGAAGAAAGTTTCACATGGCATCTGTGCCTGCATTTTACCTCGATTAGTTCCCACAACTTGTCATCAAAACTTATTTAAATGTGTGCAATTTTATGTGAAATTTTGAAGTTGAAGCTGTGCCAAAAATGAAAAATTAAGTTTCTTTTTGAGATCCTGACATCAAATCTTTTAAATCTATTATCATGCAAAAATCTGTGTATAAAACTGTATTTTTTTTCTCTGTATAAAAATTGCTCCGGCACACACACATATTTTTCATATTTAGCTGATTATTACTGCATGTAACAAATTATAATAATCAAATTAAGCCATTATCATCATGTATGCAAATGTGTATAAATATTAAGTAAATTACTAATTATTATAGTTTTTATCACAATAACCATTAACACTTATTTTTTCTTTTCTTTTTTTGCGTTGAGATATCTGTCAGTGATGCATGTGTGCATGATTTATTTGCATTTACAACTTTTAATATAATTTAATTCAATTACTTTTTTTATCATCCAATTCATCTTCAACGATATTAATTAATATCCATTACTATCTCAATGAGACAATTTTAGACATACTATAGAGTTGGCATTAAGTTGGTGGTTTTTGGTTCTAGATTTAGAAAGCTTTTTGATTTTAGCTTTTTACTAAAACCGTAAAAATTAATTTGTAAGGTTCTGAAGCATTTGAATTTCAAATAACCGTTGAATTTTGAATTTCTATTGACAGTTAAATTTCAAATTAATTTGTAAGGTTTTGAAGCATTTGAATTTCAAATAGCCGTTAAAATTTTGAAATTTATTAAACCGTTAAAATTAAATTGGAATTTTCTAGATTATTTGGTCAATTAAAACTCATGAAGTCTACCTTAAAATCTCTAAAATAATAAACTCCACCAAATCTTTTTTGCCAACTCTATAATCCCTCCCCATAATGTTCATGTGTGAATTATTCAACATGTGATTTATTTCAATTTTCACTCAAATTCCCATCTGAGCATTTTTCATATCAAGTAGAATTATTATCATCATTATTCTTACTATACTGCCTATATATATGATATCATTATCAATTATCATTAGTCAAATATTAGTAAACATCAAACGTTTTCCATATTTTTTGTTAAATATATTCATAATACTTTTTTATTTAAATTTAAATCGACGACGGTAGAGGAAAAAGCTATTCTTTGTTAGTGATTTACCATCTGTCGATTCTTTGGAAATAAGGGTGAGAATGTGTAGAAGGGGAAATGATGAAGATTTTTTCATTGAATGTAAAATGAAATTTGAGATGTTTGAGAAATTCAAGTGCGGATCAAGGTGTGGATGCTTGGAAGGCTTTGGAATTATTTTCTAGTTTTACTTCTTATATTCCAGTCAACTGGAATTTCAGTTCTTTTTCCAATATTCCAGTGAATTTTCCAATGATTTTCAATCAGTTCATTTTGAGCTTTTTACTGAAATAATTCCAGTTTATTGGAATCATTGGAAGTCTTTCTAGTTGACTGGAAATGTAAAGAATTTATTCAAGCTTATTAGAAAGCTGTGGAACAAAATTCACTTTCCAATCACATTAAAATTTCAAAATAATTCCTTAATAACCCTCCAGTGTCCTCCACCAACCCAGTGAGCTTAAAAAAGCCGAACAAAAACTTAATTTAGCAAGGAAGCGAAAAAAGGGGAGCTCAAAAAATTATTGATTTATCTCGTCGCTATAGACGAATCCTTTTATGATAGACAAATAGGTAGGTAGATAGATATATAGACTGTGAATAAATATAAATAAAGTGTAAATATATTATGTAGATTCTCTCTTCCTTTCATGTTAAACGAATGTTTCAGTAGCTCGCTTTCTAGAAAATAGCTTGAATTACTTTTTTATATTTTTTTTAATCATACTACAAACTGACAGCAATTATATTATTGTCACAAATGCGTTTATATTTCAAAACGGAAAGAAAGTGAAGAGTGAAAAAAGGAGTAATAGTTCGCATTATTATTTAATTATTTTAGGTATATTACTGTCATCTATGAGATGTGTCTGTGTCTGTGCTTATTTCAGCATGATGTGTGGATTTATGATAAACTTAATTATACGGCAATCATTTCATTTTGTATTTTTGGAATGAAGTGGATTAAATAATCTTGATTATTTGTTACTTGATACACATTTAGAAAACAATAGGCAAAATAAAACATAATAATAAGGATCATAAATTAATGACAATGATAAAATTTTTTACTAAATATCCATGAATTTCCATTCAATTTAATTCTGTTTTAGTCCCATACTTCTTATTTGTTGTGTTTTTTTGTAGAAAAAGTTTTGAAAAATGGCGAAAGATATGTCTTAAGTTAGCATCATCAGTTATACTGATGACGATAATTTTTTTTTAAAGTTACTTATGGCATAGTCTAATTAATAAATTACAGAGTTTATGGAGAAAATCGTCGAGGAAATGAGAGATTGAAGGATTTTACAGCTTTTGTTGCTGCATGAATTGAGCTTTTAATTAGTCTTTGTTTATTTTTTTTTTTGAATGAAGTTAGTTTTTCGGAAGATATTAATTGGTTTCAATTAATCAGTTCCTCTGATTTTGTTGTATCTGGGTTGAAAGGAATCTTTAAATATTTGATGAAGTATTTTAAAAACATTTGAATTGTTCTCTAGCTCTGTTTCAGAACCGTACAATTCCAAACAATTAAGAATTTGTAAGATTCTAATATAGCTTCCATGATTTCAAATAGAAAGCATTAAAAACCCTACAAATCCTAATATCTTGAATTTTGTAAGGTTCTAAAAATTCAAATAAAAGACGTTGAAAATGCACGAAAATCTAATCAATCATTCATGCCACAACAATTTCCATCCTTAAACCGAGAACTTATGCTTAATTAAATAATATAAATAAGTCCATTCGAGATATCCACTTACAATAGGATAACAAAATTGACATTATACATAAAGATTTTCTTTATAAATTATCTAAATAAAAATCGTTTAATTCTAAAATTATCATAAAGTTCAAAATCAATATTTTACATAACTTTATAAATCGTTAAGTTTAAAGGAAAGAACCCAAATTTGTCGAATTCATTTTTTTGTGATTTTTTGAATTTTTTTCGATTTTTTTTTTGTGGATTTTTTAAGCATTTTTTCTATAGTTACCGGTAGTTCGCGATGATTGTCATACAAAATCTAATTCTGAATGCTTCTTTACCGCCCGTCGATCCATAGCTCGTTCAAAATATTTCTTTAATTCAGAGATTATGAAAACGGATGATGTCAATGTGAGCAAGAAAATAATGTCCATTAAAGTTAAAGCTTCTGTTTGAAAAACCTTTTGGAGTGGAGGAAAATAAATAACTAGCAGTTGTCCGATGAGTGAAAAGGCGACAGCGATTAGGAACATTTTGTTTGAAAAGAGTCCAATCTATACAGCAAGTGAGGATTAGAAATAATGCAATTATTGACACCAAAAATGCTCGTGTTAAACTTACCTGAAAGACGCTTTTGGTTTGTGAACGACAGCTTAAAGCATTCCACATGTCGAAGAGAACGAAGCACGTAAATGTCATTGTGGTATCCCTCTTTGTTTTCCCACCTGATCCATCTTCCATTTCTCTTTGAAAAACATAAAGTGTGCCCAATATGATGAGACCAGCTGATAAAAGGACATTAATAATAAGTGCTTTACAAATCATTGGTTCTTTAACATTTCTTGGCTTCTTTTTCAACACATCTTGATCAACAGGTTCTACACCTAAAGACTGTGCAGGCGGTCCATCCATAATTATGTTTATCCATAGAATTTGCATAGCATTTAATGGATTTGGAATTCCCATTAGCTGTGATAATGTGATTAACGAGAGTGCCGCAATGGATGTACTTAGTTGAAAGCGTACGAAATTTCTGATGTTATAAAATATCCCCTTGCCTTCCTCAATTGCCGCTCTATTTAAGGAATAATAGAAAATTTGCATAATGTCAATAATGTCACTTAAATGCCATGTTAAATGTTAAACTTACATAATTGTATGGAAATCATCATTCACGAGAATCATGTCAGCTGCTTCTTTGCATACATCTGTTCCATTTTTTCCCATGGCTATTCCTATATCCGCACGCTTCAAAGCCACGCCATCATTAACACCATCGCCCGTCATTGCCACAATATTTCCACTGTTCTGTAGAGCTTTGACAATCGAAAGTTTGTGTTTAGGCGTGACACGATAAAAGACGCTCACACTATTGATAATCTTCTCTAATTGCATCTCATTCATTAAGTCAATGTCATGTCCACTGATGGCTTGTTGGTGCACCGTATCCAGTCCTATTAATTGAGCTGTAAAGTTACGAAAAACAAATTATGGAATTTTAATGAGTTTTCACTTTTGTTTTGTGCTGTTTTTATCGCAGTGCTAATTTCAATGTTTTGTTCATATTGACTGTTTATCAGCATGGAATATCTCTATCAAAATTGGCTGGTTTACAAAAAACCGTTTCAGAAAAGTTTGAATTTTATGAAATTTTCAACACTTTCATTTGAAATTTGAATTTTGAATTCCAAAAGTCCGTTAAATTTTCTAAGTTTCAGTTAAGTCTATTCAATAGATCATAAAAAATGCGCATTAATCGATAGTATAAGTCCAGTCTTTTGTACATTTTAAAATCAGGTATGTCTCTAGATATCAACCAAACTGGATTTAAACATATAATTTCTTTTATTTCACAAGTTCTTGTGCCATTTCCTCCAACCCCCAAACATCATTATTGTCAAGTGAAAGAAGTTAAACTTGAAATTATTACATAATTCCCTAAAAAAAACAAATCTAATATGCTATATAAAAGTAATGGAAATTCAAATGAAAGTATTCAGTCCCAATTGTCAATTCTAATCGCAAAGTGAAGTTAAAAATAAGAAAATTGTTACTAAAAATGAAGATTGTAAGCACATTGGATTATCGGATGTGATAAAAATAATGACTTTTATTCTGTGAAATATTTCTAGCACGTGATTATTGGATTTCTATTGGTAGCAGCTGTTATCAGGAGTGACGCAAAATTCTTGCCAACAAAAGATTGGTTCAAACTTCCAAGTTTCTTTCAAAAGTCACTGCCTGAAGTTTACGAAGACCATCCGAGAATCGTTGAGATCATAAAACACGTGCCAGTTATTCAAAAGGTTAGTCAGCATAGGAACATAGCTTTAGATGCTCATTGTATCCGATGCATAGAGATTGATATCTATTAAGCTAATTAGCCTAGTTCCCTGATTTTTATTATTATTATTCACATTTATGTTTCAGATTGAGGTCATCAAACCCATCGAAATAATCAAGTCTGTTGAAGTGCCAGGTAATAATTAATTAAATGTTAATTAAAAGCAATTTTCTCACATTATTAATCAATTATTCGATCTAGTTGAGGTAATCAAAGAAATTGAAGTCATTAAGTACGTTCCAATCATTCAAGAAGTTATCAAAGAAGTGCCAGTAATACGAAGTGTCGCATTGCCACAAGAAGTCATTAAAGAAGTCGAGGTAAATGAATATTGTTAATTAAAAATGCTTGTGTGACTTGTTTTCTTAATGTTCACTCAATGTGGTATTAATCCTTATTGCTAATCATTCTGTTCTCTCAATTGGCACTTCCAAAATAATTAAATTCACTTAATATTCATATTAGGTTCAAAAAGAGATTCCAGTCGTCAAGACTGTCGAAATTCCAAAGCCATATGAAGTTGTTAAGCACGTGCCAGTCATTAAAGAAGTTGAGAGACTCAAGAAAAACGAGCAACCAACTCAACCAGCTCCACATAAGCATCCATTTATGAAAATACACAAATATACACAAGACATTCCTCAAATCCCATTACCATCGTTTCCTCATGTAAAGAAATTCTTTCATCACCAACATGAGACAGCACCAGAAAGCGAAGCACCTGAACATAAAGTTCATCAAATATCATGGTAGAAACAATAAGGAACGAATGTGAAATATTTATGGACCAATTAATCTTAATTTATGAACTAGTTTTGTAAGAAAATATTACAAATAAATTAAGGACGAAGACTAACTTATGATTTATGCTGTCATTTACTTGATTTAATGCCAAAAATATGTTTTTAAAATTTTAACGGTTTTTCGATATTCAAATCGAATTACTTTCATACCCCTCAACAATTCAAATTTAAAAATCAATGTCTTTAACTCACCAACAGCAATAGCAGTTTCATGACTATCTCCAGTCACCATTTTTACTCGAACACCGCTACGATTGAGAATTTCAATTGTCTCGCGAACTAGCGGACGAGGAGGGTCTGTAATTCCAACTAAACCCATATAGACTAAGTCATTCAATGATTTTCCTTTCGCAAGAGCAAGCACTCGTAGTCCTTTACGGCCAATATCATATGCCTCTGACAAGTATTCAGTTTCATTCTGTTTGGTAAGTGCTAATATTTGACTATTGAGTATGTACTTTTTGCACATCGGAAGGACCATTTCTATTGCACCTTTTACGAAAAAGATTTCATCTTTATTATTGTTCGAACTGTATCTAGGTACAGCAGACACTGCCATCATTTTTTGTTCACTGCTAAATGGAAATTCTTTTGTTCTTACAAATTTGTCACGAATTGTGTACATTTGATTCTTCATTGCTAGTGCCATTAAAGCTCCTTCGGTCGGTGAACCGAGCAAAATTTCACCTTGAATTATGGCATTATTGCACACAGCTCCAACCTCAATAATAGCATTAATACTCTGCTTTGCAACTTCCATGTTATTACAATCTCTGATGTGAATTTCACCGGCGTCGTTATATCCAGCTGCAAATTTTATGAAAAACATTAATTATTATGGTTTTCAGATGAAAGTAAAATGATAAGAAAATTATTGGATTTTGACGAACATTAATTATGGGTGAAATAAAAATTATTAAGTTTAACTGTCAACCCATTTTTGAATTTTAACTGTCAAATAAATTTTAAAAATCTCAAAGCCATACAAATTCTTCCGTTTTTACACGCTTTTTACTCAATTTAAATTTTTTTAAAACGTGATATCAAAATTGTATGTTATCATTCCTAATCAACTTAAAAAGCTTAACTACAGTTTAAAACCATTCGTAACTTAGACGCATTAACATCAATCAATCACGTTGATATCATGAAAATGATCCAAATAAGTCCAAAAATATAACTTATAGTTTACCTCCAGTAACATCAGCCATGTATCCTTCAGAAGTAATCATAGTGGTCACAGTCATTTCATTCTTCGTGATTGTTCCAGTTTTATCAGAGCAAATCACATTACAACAACCAAGAGTTTCAACAGTCGGTAGTTTCTTTACGATACAATTACGTTTAGCCATTCTAAGTACTCCGAGAGCTAAAGTCACAGTCACTACAATAGGAAGACCCTCGGGAATTGCTGCAACAGCCAAACTGACACTAATTGTAAACATCTCAACAATAGCTTTGCCTTGAAGCCATCCAAGTAACATGATTATTCCAATTATGCAGAATGAATAGAAACTTAATTGAGCTCCAAGAATGTCCATAGATTTTTGAAGTGGTGTTTTTGGTGCCTCTTCTGCCTGCATCATTTTAAAGACCTCACCAAATTCACTTTGTTCGCCTGTACTAACTACAATGCCTTTTCCACTTCCACCTCTTACGAGCGTACCCATAAATGCGATGTTCCTCATCGTACTATGATTCTTTCCGCTTCCAGGCTTTTGGGATAAGACATCAGTGGTCTTCTTAGCTGGCTCGGTTTCTCCTGTAAAGCTCGACTCATCGATAGACAAGTCAATGGACTCAAATATCCTTAAATCAGCCGGTACTCGATCACCTTAAATTTTGCAATAAAATAAATTAATTAAATGACATGTTTTATTATTGACCGTTAACTTTATGGCTGACGAGCCACGAAAAGTTTATTGATACTCACCAACATTTAAAAATATTATATCGCCAGGAACCAAATTTCGTGCTAGAAAAGTTTCTAATCGATTTTCTCGTAAACTATAAAATATAAAGGCACAAGAATATAAAATTTATAAAAATAATTCATGCTCTATAATTACCAATGACATTCGGGCGGCACAAGTTTCTTCAGTTCCTCAAGAGACTTTTCAGAACGATATTCTTGAATGAATGCGACCGTAACAACGATCAAAATGGCTGTAGCAATGCTTATAGCATCATCAAATTGTTGCATGATAACGGAAACAAGTGCAGATCCTAAATTAATGTAGTAATTATTATTAAGTCACACCATATCGACTATAGATTGTTGATAACAAAACGTGTGAATAGCCTTGATATCAAGTGCTGTCAACGCGTACAAGTTTTATTGGATATTTGGAATTAGAACAGCTTTTATAGGTCAAAAGGATGGGAAAGACAAAACAAACATCCAATTTTCCACACACAAACAAATATCCAATAAACAGTGTGCTAAATAAATAATAACACATCAGAGATTATGATTCATACCTAAAAGTAGTAAAATGAGTGGATTTTTAAATTGTTCCACGTATTTCTTAAATGTGCTATCTTCTTGTGGTGCTCGTAACTCGTTGTAGCCGATAATTTTTGATCGACCAAGAGCCTCCTGCCATGAAAGACCACATCTTAAATCACTATGAAGCCTTCGTTCTATTTCAGAAGCCGAATATGTAGCAGATTCTGCCGTTGATAGAAGCATTTCCTTAGCAAAGTTAAGTCCGTCGGGCTGTATGTCGTGTGAATTAAAATTTTTTCACTTTATTAAAAAATGTGCTCAAGAGCTAAAAAACATTATTTATGAGATAAAGCTATTGAAGCACTAGAACCAACGTCGATTGAAAGAAAAATTATTATTTTAATCGATTTTCAATATCATGGAAAGAGAAGTAGAGAAAGAGCTTTTTGACCGGTTAAATTTTCTACTCACACAACTATGCATCATCATCATCAACATCGTGTATATTATAGCTAGTCGATACTCATTCTCATAAAACATTTAGTAAGAGATTTATCATTATTATTGCATTGTTGAGTCGCAAAGTCAAACAAGAATTATTGAATGAGGATATTCAATACAATCCAATCACTTGTTTCATTAACTTGATACTTTTGAGCTTACTGACATTTCCTACATTGCATTAGGGGCCGTTCACTTATTACGTTACGCAAAAAAACGACTTTTTTCACCCTCCTCCCCCCTTGTTACAATATGAAACAACTCACAACCCCCCCCCCCCCCCCCTGAACGTTCATAATTTATTTTATCATTAAAAAGGTGGAAAATTTAAAAAAATGTTTTTGGTGTGAATTCGTAAACAAATTTTTTTCGTGACCTTTTTTCACGTTACATACTTCTTGACACCCCCCCCCCCCTATGTTACATTTTGTTACAATTTTTCAACCCCCCCTCCCTATGTTACATTTTGTTACAATTTTTCAAGCCCCCCCCCCCCCCCCTATGTTACATTTTGTTACAATTTTTCAACAAACCCACCCCCCCCCCTCTCCCCCCTAAAATGCGAACGTAATAAGTGTACGGCCCCTTATCGATATTATGTTTCAAAATGTTTAACAAAGAATCAAAAAATAAAGCTTTTTGGAGATGAAATATTGAATGACGATGCTAAATAGCTGATTGCGTACATAGTACAGCGTTATGTAGTGTTATTTAAATAACTGAAATTGTTGAGTGCTAGACACAGGTGCTCAAGGATAAGATGCCGATTCGCAGAGTTGGTAGTAAAGCTTGTTGGATTTAAATGGATTAAAAGTATTAAAAATTAAATCTCGAGTTTTAAAAAATTAAATCCGTTGGATTAAAAAGTAATTAAAGTCCTTCGAAGCGACCTATGCAAGCAAACTTTTTGCCAACACTATAAAAAATTTTTTTTGTCAGAATCAACTGGAATCAACAGGCACAGCAACACTGGATGTAAAACATTGCTACGATACTCATGATAATAATGATGATGATGTGTTTTTTTGTGTGTAAATTGTTTGAAAAGTATGCGAAATAATGAAAAAGGTTCTCATTAACCGAGAGAAACGGCAGTAACAGCAGCAGAGAGGAGATATGAAGATATGAAAAGCAAACATACAGTTTTATATTTTCTGTCAAAATGTTACATTATTCCTCCCTATTTACTCTTACTCATAAAGCTTAAAATTTCCTCCTCGGAAATGAATGTTTCTTCTCTTCCTTTCCTTCGGTTTTATTGCCACAACAACACAAAGAATTTTCCTCGAATTTTTCTTTTCTTTATGAAAATTTCAAATGACGTCACTTGTCTAATTTCAATTATCCAGACTTTTCTTTCAATCAATGTTCTAGTTTTATCAAATTAGTTGTTGATTAAGGCAAATCATGCAATCCATCATTAATAAAATTAATTTTTTTTGTTATCAGACTCACAGAAATTATTTTGTTTGTTTGAAAAATCACAATTTCACTTTTATCGTCATTTTGGGAGACCTTTTCATATTTTTGTTTAATGCTGTTATTACTCCTCACGCTTTTCATTTCTTCTAATTCACTAAACTGCATATGCTTAATGCCGTTTACTAATTAAACACTATTTTCATTTTTCGTGCATGTTACTTGGAAAAAATTTCCTACTCGAATGATCTACTAAAGTCTTTAGCTCATTTTATGCTTACTGTTGCATCTTCCTGTCATTCACTTTGTCCAATTAACTCATTTTGGACGATGCAGCTTTAAATCACCCACAGACCAGTATCCACACGCAAATTTCCCCGAAGCACCTACAAACGAAAATCACGGGTTTCCAAATCCACCACTTGAAAATGTATTTGGTGTTTCTGGAAAACAGTGTTTTTCATAAACACCACATATATTTCCATGTGGTGGATAAAATCACACGTGTGTTTTTATTCACCACATACAATTGCAAGTGATGTTTCTGGAAACACATGTGTTTCATATCACCCGAAAATTTTGTCTGTGGGCGTTTTGGAGATCAGTATAATATTTTTTTAAAGTTTGACAAATAGTGAACAAAATTAGGTTTTATTCTCATTTTTAAATGTAAGTTTAATTTTTTTGTTTAAATGAAATATTTTTCATGATTGAAACACAATTATAATAAAATACTTTATAAAAAAAGCTTTTTGAGAAAGTACGTTTTTCGCGTGGACTAAAAAGGAAAAAATAACTTTTCTTCTTGGTTGCAAAGAATTTGGTTTTAAATTTTCAGATTATATTTGATAAATTTTTATATCCTATTCTATCCTTCACAAAATTTCTGAATATCTGATCAACAGAAACTGTTGATGTACAAAATTTTTTTGTGTAGGGATTTTGAAATCCCTATAAAATCTTTTATAAAAGAGATTTAAATCAAAATCCCAGAATCGAGAAATAATCACTTAAGGTAAAATAATTTAAATTAAAAACCCTTTTCAACATCATTTTTCATCTAGATTTAAATCAAAATCAACTAGTGTATCGGGTAGAAACCCAATGCGGATTATATTCACATCGTACCATCAAAAGTCTTATCGATAGACCAAGATTTGCCCAGCATAAGTATGAAGAAAGTAGGAGATATAAAGCTAGCGAGTCAGCTGAGCTTTGCTCAGCATATGTTGAAAGGTTAAAAGCTTAACGAACATAATTTAAAAGTTTTTTAAAAATTTTCATCCAAAGTTGAATTTTATAAAAATCACAGTCAACTTTTGTTTTAAAAAATTCGTAAGAAAAGAAAGTTCTTTGCTTTTTTCTGAAGCAACGGCTGTTCCTACCTTGCCCAAAAACAATACAGCTCTTCTACAGAGCAGCACGGATCAAATGTAAAAAACTAGAAGTCTCTAAGATGTCTCGTTATTGAGATTTCTTGCTGATTAACTTGTGAAAACGGTGTGAATATAAAAATAAATTCAGAAATTTTGATTTAAATCGAAAAAAGTCTTCCCATCAAGCTTACAGTTTAAAGTGGTATCTGAACCACTTGCAAAATAGATATTTTAAATAGAAGAATATTAATTCAATTTTTGTACAAGTGCAACGCAAAAGCGTTTATTTTCCCAATCCGTGAAAAAATGATTTCAAAAATATAAAATTTTACTTTAAATTACAACATAGGTATTCTTTGATTAGAATGTTGTTTTCAGTGTTGCAAATGTAGATGTCTACACTAGATGAAGAATGTAGATTCTTCAATATTTTTTGTCTAGCTAAGAAACTTTCTTCATAAAGATCGATTCTACATGTAGAAAGAAAAAAACCATCTACATGTAGATTGTGTCTACATGTAGAATCTGTCTACATGTAGATTCGATGTAGATGTCTATAATTCTACATTTTTTCCAGGTCTACATCAGAGAAGAATGTAGAATCGTAGACATCTACATTAAATCTACATGTAGACAGATTCTACATGTAGACACAATCTACATGTAGATGGTTTTTTTCTTTCTACATGTAGAATCGATTTTATGAAGAAATTTCTGTCTCAGAATTTATCTGATCCAGACAAATAGCCAGAATGCAACACTGGTTGTTTTTGAAAATATAACAAAAAAGATTTTAATCTGTCTTTTATAAAGTGTAGGTAAGTTAAATTTTATTATTAAGTAATTTAATATTTTGAGAATAATTATAACACATTTTTGATGAATTCAACTCATTCATGGAATTGCCCAAATTTTGTTCACTATTTGTCAAAGTTTAAAAAATATTACACTTATCTCCAAAACGCCCACAGACAAAATTTTCGGGTGATATGAAACACATGTGTTTCCAGAAACACCACTTGCAATTGTATGTGGTGAATAAAAACACACGTGTGATTTTATCCACCACATGAAAATATATGTGGTGATTATGAAAAACACTGTTTTCCAGAAATATCAAATACATTTTCAAGTGGTGGTTTTGGAAACCCGTGATCTCGTTTGTGGGTGCTTCGGGGAAATTTGCGTGGGGATTCTGGTCTGTGGGTGATTTAAAGCTGCATCAATTTTAAATCTAGAATGACTGTTGAAATTAAAATTAATCGCTAAGCAGGAGAAACTTGGTCATTTTAAGTCTGTTGGATATGCGCTGAATAAGGAAATAACTTTTTCTACTTGTTTTACACAGAATAAACTCGAGTAGATCAATATTAATGCGGGAGAGTTTAAAAATAAATGGCAAACAAGTGTTTTAATATCCTTTTTATCGATTTAAGTTTTATTTCCTTCAAATTTTTGAATGTTCTACATAGCTAGACAGAATTTTAAAGTAGCACATGACATCGGTGCATCGACATTATCTCAAACTGCTTGAATACAGGGCAAATTTTGGAATTTTAGATAACAGATTATTAATTAAGGATTTGCCGATTTAATTTAATGATCGTGACTGTCTGGTTCCTTGCGTGGCTCTTGTTCAGCAGCGTCATGTGGCCAGAATGTTGGTTTGTTGATTGGATCCATAGCTTGATCTGGGAAAGCTTCAGCGAAATCTTCCATAGTCATTTGATTGAATGGCAACAATGACTTAAGATGATTGATAGATGCTTCATGCTTGGCAATACGACCATTTGATTCGTTCTTGAAGCCATCAATTTCCTTTGCGACTTGCTGCTTTTGTTGATCAACTTGGGATGAAACGTTGTCAGCTGGATATGGGATTTTCAATGCTTCATATTGCTTCTGGAAGGTGTCAACCATTCCAGCGATTGGAACCTTATTTTTATATGCAGCCCAGTCTAATTTTGGTGGGTTTTCTGGATTAGCTAAGACACTACAATGATATTATGGATTTTTATTTTTATTTTATTAAATTATTACTTAATCACTAACCTTCTCAAATATTTGTCGCTTTTTGATTTAAAAGCAGTGAAATTGGTTCTTTGTGTTGGTGGCACGCGTTCAGCTAATGCTGCCCAATTAATTGAAGATGCTGCAATGCGACGTGAGGCCATTTTCGCTAATTAAATCCGGAAAAATTGGAAAATTGAATCAATTTTTCTCAATCTTCTAAATTGAGTCTTTAGTACTGAATGTTACATAAAATAATAATTCAAAATCTAATCGACGGTTGTGTTTTTAGAACAGCACCAAACTGTGTTGCTGTCAATTTTGAACAGAACTGTTTCATACCAAACTTAATTAAATTAATTCAGCATTAAGACGTCTACGAGACTGATTTGTGGATGAACAATAGAAGAACAAGCTAGTGTAGATTATGAGAAATTTAAAGGCTTAGTGCTGTGGATAGTATAACGACTCGAATAATTCAAATTAAGGCACACAGCCCTTAAAGTTTGAAGTTCTTTTGTCTCATATCTTCGTCCAAAAAAAAAAAACATTTTTAACAAATTTAATCAAATAATGTGAGAAAGTGATCAATTGAGACTTGTATTCTCGAGTATCAAGTAGTGTAATGTACGATTAACGAGAATTATGTGCCAATAATTTGTCATCTCTCCCTGAATCGTGTGAAATTTGCAAGACTGAGTCTGAGTCATCAGAAGAGAAAGAGAACAATTTACACCAACCTATCTGTGCTATTTGTTAGCAAAATATTCACATACCAAATTAACATCTTTTTGCAAGTCGATTTAAAGACAGTTAGAAGTAAGAGAAAACGGTACTCGACAATGTCACGCAATAAAATTATTTCGTCAACTCAAAACAGTATTAATCCAATTGAATCGCTTCTGAACATATTACCCTGTGATAGACCAATTAAATCAATTCAGTTAATTGAAAATGTAAACGAATGTCCATCAAACTACATCCCCATACACAAAACTCTCGATCAAGATTCAGATGCTGATTTGTTTAGAGAAAATCTGCTGTTTGGAAAGAAGAATACGAGATATTTGTGCATTAGTAAGTTCTTTTAATCTTCAATTAGTTTTACGGCTCAGACAATTCTTTGTGACTGTCCTTAATTCTTCCAGTGAAGTTTCAATTGACTGGAAGTCGTTGGAATTTCCAGTGAGTTTACTGGAATTATTGGAATGATTTCCGATTTTTGGAGTGTCTGAGTCATCTTATACTTTATTATTTGTCATGTGCTTATGTAGATAACATCTAATCACTTAATTTTTGTAATACATAGGCAAGACTGAAGGATTTGAAAATTTTGTAGTTGAAAAGATCAAAATCATCAACTCGAGCGAAAATTTAGCAAATGAGGGATTCATATCAATTAAAAATACGACAGACACTAATCAAAAAGCATGGAGGAAGAAGCAACTTGTATACAAGTTAGGAAAGACTGATAATGTTAACGAATATATAACTGATATAGTTGTATTGACGAAATATAAGAACCCCCCAGAAGGATTTGTGTATTTGGGGGAGCTGGAAAAAATGCATGTATGCTTCAAACTCACTTCCGCTAAGAAATCAGAAATCATTGACTTTACGCAACAAATTGAGAATCTCAGAATTCAATCAAATTTATATCCAAACATGGTAAGCACTTTTTTAAGCATGCAGCACAAGCATTTAACGCTTGAATGGCATAACTCACCTTGAATTTTTCATAATTGCTTATTTTTTTTTTTTCGTTTCTTTATCAATGTCGCTTAAAATAGACGAACAACGGCAACAATAACAACACGGAACATTACTATGAATCATTAAAGTTATCTTATCAGCTACCAGCATCACCTCCTAATAGACCAACTCCAATGAGAGCAGCACCTTTACCACCTACATCGCCATTAAATATAGACGTATCGCAGCATAATGTATCAGCAAGTAGCAACAGTAATACTGGGACGTTATCTCATTATCATAATGATTTTATTGGAATTCCATTTATATTAAATTCGCGATTAGCAAAAATTGATTGCTCATTCGAACTGCCAAAAAGTGTTCCAAAATCATCAAGTTCCATAGAATATGATTTTAATCTAGAACGCCAAATTTTGTGTAGCACAAGAAATGAGAAAAGAAAATCTACATCCACAAATCCGTTCTTCTAAATGACTTGCCATCACTTGATTCTGAAATAATTAATTTTAATTAAACCCGGATTATTTTTTTAAATCCAACGACCGACAATTTTTAATCCTGAGATTAGTTTTTTAATCTTAAGATCTAACTTGTGACTCCAAACATTAGTAAATTGCATTTAAAGTCATAACTGGAACTGGCAATGATTTCTTGTGAAATTTTTGAGTTTATAAATGGCATTTAAAGTTGCTCAAGAAGCAAAAACTACATACATACGATCAATTAGTAATTTATACATATACAGATTAAGTTTTAAAAACTAACGTGAATTGTAAGTACTAACAAGCAGCAGAAAAAGTATAGAAATAATTAAGTAATACATCGTTACTCATTAAGATTATCTTCAATTTTATATTGTGTCTATTCAAATTAGAGAATTTTCAGTTTTGCATTACACAATTATTATACAGTAAATAAAATTTAAATTAGAAAATTATATTACATCCTTGTGCTTTAATAGCACATACGTTTGATACATCAGCTGTATTTTTTGTTTGGCAAGTTTCAGGTTTTTATGTGGCAATAAAAAGAAGAAAGAGAGTTTTGAGGACGTGACATAGAGCATATACATCAATGATAATTTTTCATATCATCCCTTTCGGGTTTTTCACTTACAGAATCGCATATCTAGGTTCGGGTAATTCACAAGTTCAGCCGAAAGTTGATCAAATCGTGATAATCAAAGTTATCAATGTAAAAATCAACCGTTTAAAAATATTTGAATTTCTGCTTCGTTAATATATTTTTTGGAAACTTCGTTAAAAATTTCGAAGCTGAATAACTCTCAAAAGATCCAGTAGTCAGCTCTAATATCCAGTTAAAACAACTTTTCATCAATAGAACTATTGAATGCACAACAATCTAGATCATGTCAAAGACTAGAACTACCATTTATCACACAATAACAAGTTCAGCTTTCGATCAAATTCAAATATCAACTGTTATGCTGCATACACCAAGCTTGATCGAAGGAAATTCAATCAGATAGTTATGAATATTATGTTGTCATACTAATTATGTCGTGACATGATGAATTATGAATGATTCTGGATTTGTCCAAAAGATTAGAGATCCAGCTGGATTATTCTAGAAAATTAAAAAAACTATAAATATCCTGTAAATAAGATCAGAAGACTTCCATAACAGTCATTGCTGATTCAAATATCTTACGAGTAAGACGTCGAAGGAAAAAAATTTAAGTTGCAGAAAGTTCTAGAAATTTCTCGAAGGAACTGACGGAGAAAGTGAAAACAACAGTGATAAATAGTCAATAGTATCTTAAGGATTTTTTACAATAAAGTTTAAGTGAATTAAATTAAGAATTATATATGATGACAACATCATTGACAAGTGCCGAAAAGAAGTAAAAGTTAGTCTTTGACGCAGTGTAGAATCATAATTTTGGTCTTACAAAAGAAAAAATATATTTTGAGTATAAAAAGATTATAATCAGTGCTAGATTACAATGCATCCAATAGAGAGCAGTGGAACCTCATCCGTTCCAGCATTTTTAGCAAAGTTATGGCGATTAGTCGAGGAGCAAGAGACGAATTCCTTAATTTCTTGGTCACAGGCAAGTTTCTCTTTTTTCTAATTCATCAAATATGGCTTAAACTTATTTTTATATTTTCATAATTTTTTTAAAAAACATAAAGTGATTATAAACATTATTAATTTATGCAATTGGAACTTGTATACATGATTTTTTGTCGCAAAAGCCACAATTATATCTAATACGCAGTTAACGTTCGCATTTAATAATTTAATGTTTTTTTTATAAAAGTGAAATTTCGTAATTGTATTAAATTATTTCACATTTTCATGCATTTTTCATTATACGGAAATGTATGTTGTGTAGCTTATTCCTTTCTATCGTGTTGTTTTTCAAAATAAAGATAATTCGCCGTCCATATTTTTTCTGTTTATATTTGTTATTATTAACTGTGTGCTGTTAGTCGTAACCTAGGTCAATAAATAATAGAACACTTATTTAGACACTATAGACTAGCATCCAGTGGTTAATAAATTAAGATAGAAAAGGTTTTGTCCATGATTCAATTCATCCAAGGTTTCATGTTGCCACTTCTTTTTATATAAGTTTTTGGACGACTGTGACGTCATTAATCACGTTGTCTTCGTCATTAATATCATGTTCAGTGCGTTGGCTAATGTTTTGTGATACTAATTCGAAAAGAAAAACAGATACGAGAGGCTTTCTGTGAATGCACATATATTGATTAAATTATTCTCAATCAGAAAGTCTCATTTTTATTTACATCGCATTAAAGTAAACACACGGAGTCAGTTGACAGTCGTGTAGATAGCTAGTACCTATAATTACTGACGTCATGATAGATGTAAAAACTTACATAAAACGGCTTCCGATCTGATCGCGTTGAAATGTAATTTTTGCATTCATTATTTATTCCGTATGTTTGATTATGCAATCTATTCATTTACCGATGCACGTTAGATAATAATAATAATAATAATAATAAATAACTGAGAACGAGCAGCAGCAAATTTATTCATTATTCCCTGTTTTTATTTTTTAATTAAATGTCTTACAGGATGGCAAGAGCTTCATCATTCAGAACCAAGCGAAATTCGCCAAAGATCTCCTTCCATTAAACTATAAACACAATAACATGGCGAGCTTTATTAGACAGCTTAATATGTATGGCTTTCACAAGATTACATCTATTGATAATGGTGGACTAAAGTTTGATAAAGATGAGATGGAATTTTCTCATCCATATTTCCAAAAAGGTCATCCATACTTGTTAGAGCATATTAAGAGAAAGATCGCCAATCCAAAACATAATGAAGCAGAAAAAACGGCAGCAACAAAAGCTGAGCATTTCAATAGAGTATTACATGAAGTTAAGAATATGCGTGGACGACAGGATTCTTTAGATACACGTTTCAGTGCTATGAAACAGGAGAATGAAGCATTATGGCGTGAAGTTGCCATTTTACGACAAAAACACATGAAACAACAACAGATTGTCAACAAACTCATTCAATTCTTGGTCACGTTAGTTCAACCACAAAGATCCGGTCTTGGAAATAGTCTCGGAAAGAGACGCTTCCAATTGATGATTAACGACGCACCACAATCAAAAGTCAAAAAGTCAAATCAAACGGGCCCAATTATTAGCGAGTTACTAGAACAATGTGATTCCGATATGGATACAGACGAATTCAATTTCACGAATGTCCAATCGCCTGGATCATCATCAAGCAAGGATTTTGATAATAGTGCGGGATCTTCAGAAGGATTAAACTTTGATGATATTGATGAAATTGATACAAACAGTATGGCTATTTATAACGGCGTTCAAGCTGTTAAAAAGGATAGACGCTCAAAAACCAATAATTTTACAGGTAAATTGGAACCAACGAGGTCGACAAATCAACAAAAGCATTTCAAAATCGAAAATAATGAGCCAGTTATTGTCTCACCGAATCCATCACCAGGAAAGAGCTTACTACTATCAATGGCTGAAAATTCCAATAACGAAACTGATCAAAATATCATGATTGATATGCTAAACGATGAAGAAGTTGAGTTATCTGGTGATAAATTGAATGGCAACGGAAATGGTGCAAGCTCAACTATCACGAGCCTGGATCCTTTGGTTGCACAAAACACTCTCGATTTCGATCATACATCTCAAGTGAGTAGTCCATAACTAGTTGTATTAATTCAAATTTGAGATATTTAAGTGTAACGTAATCAGTAAACGTCCCACGTTACTGCAAACTAGGGTTCGGGAATCTACAGTTATCTACAGTTTTTCCGAACTCTACTACAAACGTTGTTATTAACGTACTGAGTTCCATAAAGTTTTAGTTGACGACTAGTTCAAGCTTATCAAAATCAGTTCTACAGATATTTTTATTTTATGCAAGTCATGATTTCTTTGATGTGGAATTCAGTGGAATTAATTATTAAATGACTAATTATAAAAAAAAAAAGTTGGAATATCATTCAGAATTGATCCCCATAGAGATATCCAATCAGATAAATTCTTCTGTTCATTTCACAAAGCTATCATAACATGCCTAATTTGGCTTTATTTCTAATTTAGGATGTACACATTCTCGGAAATAACGATGACGACGACGACATTTTTGAATTTGCTGAAAAGAAGGACGAAACAGTTGATCCGAATGCCTTAAAAGTTGTTAAATTTAATCCTCCACATGTTGAAGATATCATAAATCTGCAATCGAGTAACGATTATACAACACATATAGATAATGTACAAAACGATTTGAATTCTTTGAAGGACTTATTGAGCAATGATGCTTATCAGCTTGATGCAAATCAATTATTAGGGGTAAGTTATCAGCTTTTATATCCATTATTATCCTTTCTATTTTCATATATAGATGTTTTTGTGTATCGACATGAGGTACGAATTGTGATTTCAATTCTCAACTGCCATTTGCATTCATGCTCGTATATATTTTCCAACGAAATGTATCTATAAGAAAAAAAAAATCATTTAGGGATCGATGTTATCATCTCTAATTTCGAACTTTATTTTTATTTATTTCTCTCTCTTTTATGTTCATCTTTTATCAAAATAATTATGTCATTAATGTCACACATTTAATTACAAACACAATAATTATAAACTCCCCTCCGTTCTACAATTGATGCTGATCAATGTAGATGCCGCAGATGCATCAGAATGGCAACTCAAATATGAATGTTAATATGTCATTCGGGAGTTATGATATGGAAACAATCGCTAAGGTTTGTCTAATCATTTTATAAAGGATATAAAAAAAAAATTATATACGAAATTTAAGGATATCAAAAAAAAATTGGGGAATTCAACTAATGTGTAATGATGCTAACGTTTTTCTTTCTTTATTATATTTACATGAATTTCTCAAATTACCCCAAATTCAACAAATCAAAACACAAAAAAAAAATATGTTAATTTAAAAATTTGAAATAATATTTTTTTTATAAAATAATGTTTAAAAACTCAAAGAGTGCTGATGTAGAAGCCCTGCAGATGATGTCATATGAAGTAACTAAACTAAAATTAAAAAATATCAAATAAGAATCCCAAAATACTACTACTGACTATATATATATTTATATATAATAACATCGAAGCTAATTAAATTATTAAGTCCATATTTCCATCATTTGTAAGATTCAGTCATTGTCAGTTATCTTTTCTTTCTCCGATATGGACTCGACGAACTCCAAGATATATGGATGTGTGTATATGAAAATTTAACGGGATAGCTAGTTTTTTTTTATTCAGAAATTCATAATTTCTCTCGGTTGAAGTAGTGTTGTTAACTTGATGTCTGAATGTTTTGGTAATATGTAGATCATAGACTTTAAAGGCGGTCTACAAGTCATTTGATCAAGACAAGAGTTGTCTGACTCGGCAAACTATTTTGCCTATAGTTATATGATGCCTGGACATAGTAAAAGCTACCATGCTGAAAATTTAAATAATTATCATTCTCAGATCTTGATATTTGTGGATTAGAAGATCAATGACAGTCAATAGCTAGACTAGTGTTTCTTAAACTAGTTTTGGTGTCGCCACGTCATCACAAAAAGTGTTGACACTTGATCATTCAGATGTATGCGTATCTTTAGACAGGTCTAAGTCAGATTTTACCTGAGTCAAGCAAACAACCAGATTACAACACTAGTCGTTCACTAAATTGACGTCCGTCGAAGAATTGAAAACTTTTAAACCCACATTTGTAGAACGTGAGGTTTTTATGTCACAATTTCATGCAAACTACCCACTTTCAGAAAAAGGTATCAAAATGTAGGACGTCAAAACAAAAGAACATCATTATTTATATTGTAATCTTCAAAATTCTCTAAAAATAAACTTCAACTCTTATCATGGACCAACTAAATTGATAAATTTAATTTATCCTTTAAAATGAGTACATGGACTGTACGGGAGAGCATATACATCGATATATCTTGCTAGTATCCAAAATGCGTATTACATATAATATTAACACAATTTCTTTATTTTCAGTTGTTTGGCAACGAAGATATCATTGGATACGAATTGCCATCCAATATGGAACTTTTCGAGGATGTCAAGAAAGGTAAGTGACGAAATCATCGATAATGCAATATTTATAAATTCGAAGAAATTGTTACTAAGTTACTCCCCAATTGTTTCCATGTGAGCTTGTCTCTTTTGCTAACCTTGCCAAAAGTTTATGTTCCACATCATTGCTTGTTTTCAATGTGGAACATTTAAATCTACAGATTATTATTATTATTAATTTTTTGAAAATAAGAAAATGACATTGCAATGAACTTGGAATGGAAATGATTTGTGCATAAAATTTTTCCCAAGAATTTTCAATTAGCCAACTGTGTAGGCTTAATAAATCTTATTCTTAGATGCTCATTACGAGTCATTCAATTTCTAAAATTTGTTTAAGAGCCTCCACCCTTTGAATAAATTTTTTTACATCTTCAACCCACCTTCAATTGTTGCTTAGCGATTTAGTTTCTTCTTTATTTGTGCTTCATGTACAGTACGATACCAAATTGTTTGAAAATTAAGCTTCTGTGTTATTCAACGTTTTGAATGATCAAATCCCGATTGGTACTGAAGCTTATGTTCGTTGATTTCCGGATCTACAACATTTGCGGATGTTTTTAACAATCCAACCTAACCTAATTATTCTTTTCAATTTAGATGGTCGTACTGGAAGATCTGAGCTGCTAGAATATCAGCCATTCAATAACAATTTAGACTTGAATGAGCTTTTACAAAATGTTGGCGATGGTTTAGAACCAGGTAAATATTAATCATATAATAGCTCCAAAAATAGAAATTTAACTTTTGTTCTCTTTCTTTAGAAAAAGTTTAAAGGATTCAACAAAAGTTTTTGCGGAGGATGAGGTCCAAATGAAATGAACTGATTCACTGTTTTTATCATAACACAATATCTTTGGAAGAACGAACAATAATCCTTTAATGGAATCACATTTTCTTTCTTTATTTTTAACATGTTTTTTTTTTTGATAACATATTAATTTTGCTTTATGAGAAAATATTAATGATTATAAATAGAATCTTAAGTTTCGCTCCTAACAACTATAAATATATATATCTACAATAGTCAATCTTACTACTTCACTTTTGTAATACAAGATTTAAAAACAAATCCTTTAATTTAGATCTCACAATAACAAAAAAAAACATTAATGATTCGAGTTTGAAATGCAAGATAATATCCAGAATTGGATGTAAAGTTGAGTAAAAAAATTTTTGCACATAACACGAAACCATCGAGTACAAAAAACCAATTTTAAAACATACAAAATACATAATTATAGTTATCGAATAAAGAGCGTCTGATTCTCTGAAATATTTGATAAAAAAAGGAGCATAAAGTCTCATTTAATGTTGTTCCCAGCATTAATTAAACGATTCTTTCTCATAAATAAGATTTTAATTTATGTTGAAGCAAGAAATAATTGAGCGTGGTTTCTTGGTATGTGATAAACCTTTCCATCTTATGCTAGTGTTTAGTTCCAGTTCATAAAACTTTTTATTTTTCGTCATGATCGTCAAGTCCTTCAAGAATCATTAAATATATTATAAAATATTGAGATTTCTTTTTGTTAAATAAATAAAATTGTAATTTTTTAAAATATCTTTTTTAGGTAATTTGGTATTAATTAAGTAATTATTTGTTTATCCTCATTTATAAGTCACAATCTTTTTCTTTTGTTTATTTAAGAAATGTTAAGTTAGATGCTAATGTATATTTTTGCAAGAAAGAATATTATTAATTAATTTTTGAATAAAACATTATTCAAAAATTCAATTCTGAGTCTTTTTCTTCTTGATTCTTGTTTGTCTTTAATTGATTATTAGGAGCTTCATTACATTGGTTAATGGGAAAGTTCATTGTTGGAAGTAAGTTATTGGAACAATAACTGGATGTTTCTGACTTTAAATTGATTATTAAGATTTCTTTCTTTAATTTGAATAAAAATCTGCAGCCAAAATTATTTTTTGACCTAATTTTTGTCCAGACTCCAAACATGTGATACATCGTTATAAAGGTATTTCAATGTGATTATGATCGCATTAAAAGATTTGTTTTAAATTTTCAAATTATTATAGAAAAAAGTGAACGAAATTCTTAAAATTTAATGTTTTGACTGTTGAGACAATATTTATGAAGCGACCCCAAATTCAGTTCCTGTTAATTAAACTACATAAAAAAGCGAATCAATCAGCAAAAATTTCATATTCATATCTTTTATAGTTCTTGAGTTATTAACGATTGAATTTTGAAGTTTGGGTCCTTCAAAAATGATATTACACTCATGGGAAAAAAATTGAAAACCCTTAAAAGCTCTGTTGATTTTTACACGCTCTTAATACCAAAAAGAATTTTTAATTTCTACCATTCTGATCAAAAGTTATTAGCAGTTCATTTTACATTGACTTTGAACCGATACAAAACCGATAGAACCGTTTCAAAAATTCCAAAAATGGCGGAATCGTATAGCTAAAATAGAGGCCTTTCCAGCAATATATACTTTGTCATACTTAATTTGGACCATAAATTGGCTATAGTTCATTCAATGTCGTCAACTGACTTACGACAAAACTCTAAGCTAAGAATCATCCATTCATTTTTCTTTTTAATTCGTAACGTATTTTTGGAATTCAAACGAGGCCCTGCAATTTTTCGTAGTTTCGCTCCCTTCGAACAGTCAAAAATCAAAATAATTTGAAAAAATAACGATTTAAACAATTTCATTCAAAATATTAATGTTAAGAATCTGAAAATCAACGTTTAAACTGCACGAAAAATAAGAAAAAGTAGTGTTTTTGGTAAAAATTGTTATTTATTAAATGCCTTATTATGTAAGATGATAATCTATGATAATTACAAACAGGAAAATTAATTCATTTTCCATCTAGTTTATAAGTTGTTGTAGTTTGTTTTTTTATTAGGTATCATGCAGCATAACTGGAGAATATTTTTAAAAGTTTAGATTAAAAGTTACTCGAATACTAGTACATATTTGAAATAAGGAGTTTAATGCCTTGATTAAGATAATTTTGCTTTACATAATATATGTAGTTTAATGACGTCAAATGTTACTTTATCATCGGCTCCATCCGTTATTCTGTGATTTTTTTTTATCAATTCCTTTGCTTTTGTCCTTAGAACACGAATGGAACCGAATTAGAATTACGATAGTTTTAAAACTAATTGAAAACAAAAAATTGCACACAAATATAATTAAGGAATGTTAATTAAACTTCATTTTGTTCTACATTCCAGCCGCAACTTACAATGGCACTTGTGTCGTCTTTTGCAATACTCTACATTTCTTCTTGTCTTGTATAATAATTTGTATTATTTTGTTATAAATAATGTTGAATACTTTTTCATACTTGGTGCATTAATGCTCTATTTTCATTTCACCAAATCACTTGGCAACATTTCATGCATTTCTCATGATTTGTAATACTTTCAGAGTTGTCTATTCTAACGGTTATTTTTAATTTGAAAAATATGTGTTGAGAAAATTATTCAAATTTGAAAAATCCGTTAAAAATTAAACAAATGCAATTGACCTAAAAAACTGGTGTTAAGCAACTCTGGTTCCCACAATTATGTTTTAAAATCAATATAAGAAATGTTTCACATACTTCATTTTTCAATTTTTCTTTAACTAGGAAGCACAAAAGCCCAATTACATACATTTATTTTAAAAATGAGGAAGAAGAAATACAAAAAATTTCATGTTTCACACAACTTTAAGCTGGAAAACTGGAAAAATTCTTACTAAAGAGTTCATTTATAGTTAAAAACAAGCTACGCACAATAATAATAATTAATTAATTAATAATATAGGCTAATTCACAAGAAATACGCGCAACAACAAAAGCCTTTCTAACAGAAAAGAAAAGAAAATTAAAAAAACTCTAATTTTTTTATCTCTTCATTGACTAAAACAATATTATTTTATGATTATATTGCAATATTATATTATATTTAATTTTTTTTCGATATACTTCAACCCGTATATCGTGACAGAGACGAAAAATGGATGTCGATTTTCACTTAATCTAGCCTACGGTTACTCAATTACTTCCAATACACAAATCAAACATTTAAAATGATATAAAAATGGCTTCATTTGACTTTTTGTTTTACTTTACTCATATATAGTAAGTTAATATATATATTATCATGTTAAACACACACACTTATACTTTTTAAAGATCACTAACGCCATTTGAGCCGTTTGATGTTGCAGTAACAACGATAGGCTCTGATGATGGAACGCTATCGACATTTGGTACGTAATCAAGAGCCATTAAGCATGCAAAGACTGTCATGACCATTTTTGGCTTTACTTCTGTTATGTCTTCTGGAAGTGCATAGACTCGAGCGCCAATCTTTCTTGCCATTGATATTGCATACTTTGCATTCGTGAATTTTTCCTACAAACATTAATCATATTTAATTAATTTAAATTTTATTCACATTTAATAAAGCACACAGTAAATTTACCTCATATTCCTTGCCTTCGACTACAAGTTCATAATTAATACTTCCTGGTTTTATAGCGTCAATAAGATCGAGTACAACCTTTGCATTACTGATTGATGAGTCTTGGAAACTTTTTATTGCTGATTCCTTGCCAGCAGCTTGTAATTTTTTATTGACCCAGCTCACAATTTCTTTCTCGACTGCGGAACTGCCTGTATTTGCTAACTGTGATAATACCGATAGAGTGTATGCTCGCATCAATTGCCAAATGAGTGCTATAAATAAATTCCAGCGTAAGTAATAATAATACGATAAGTCTAGTGCTGATAAAAATGGAAGTTGAAAGATCGCCGAAAAGCGGACGATCAAAGCGCACATTTATTATGTGCTGTAGAGTAATTCATGTGACAAATCACATTCCATAAACATCATTCGAGAATTGAATTTAATAAGTTCGACGGTTTTTGAAAATTTGAATTTTTAACGATTTTCAAAAATTCAAAATTTGATGTACTAAAATTTCAAACTTTTGAAAACCGTTATTTTTTAAATTGCGAAAATACGTTAGAAATTGAAGGCACATAACTTACCTAATGTTAAAGTGGCATTTCCATCGCTGATATCTTGCCCAGCAATGCCAACAAGTGAAAATTTCTGTTGTTTTCCCAACTCGACAGCATAGTTGCAGTTCTCAAGCTTCTCCATAAATTTCCTTAGTGGACTAAATCGTGAATGCACCCGTTGCCAGTTCACGGAGCCTGGTTTAATGATGTCAAAAAGTTGGAAAATGACAAGTCCATCAGCCAAATCAGAATATAGCCAATTTACGTATGGCTTCACACCCATTGAGTTCATCCAATTCCTATAAGTCTTCTCTTCGCGTGTCTCCTCAATTGCTTCTAATCCCTCAATTTGATCGGGCTGATCGAGTCCTGGATGATTATTGAATAAATTAGCAACGAATGCCAGGTTCAATTTATAAACGCCGTTGACGACGTCTTGTGGAGTAACAAAACTTCTGCAATTCAATTTTGCAGCTTGCTGTAACATTGTTTCGGCACGATGTACTAAATGTGGCTCGTGAATGGCTTCCATTGTGACTGAATTATTTTGGAAATTAGAAAAAAAAATTGTTAATAATGGCATTTAAAAATAGCAAGTAAGTTTGTATAATACCTCCAGCATCCGGTGGTGCAATTTGCTTCAACAAGTACGAATAAATTTCCGAATCACTAATGTCAGTAGTAAAGTTTGTACAACGACGTTGTACTCCAGCGCGTTCCAAATGATGATTTACCCAACGTAACAGGATTGCTTCAGGTGATAACTTCATTAAATCTTCAAGACGCTCATCGTCATTAATAAGAGTCGCGAGTCCGGGACATGAGTCAAGTGTAATGTGACTAAATAATCCAACGCGAATAATTTGCCATAAAAGACCAAGAACAAGATGAGGCTTTCCTTTTGCCAAGTCATGTGCATCAATGTTGATAATATTACACCCAATTGCTGATGATGAGACTAGAGCCAATGTAAGGTTCTCAAATTTTGTATAAACAGTCAAGTTCTTTTTGTTAATTGCTCTCTCATCTATCGTATCGGGACATGAGTGATTAATCAGCTTACACAATAAGATTCCGTCCTTTATTTTATCATATAAAGCCTTGCCTTCCGGATCAATTGGCAATAAATGCTTCAAATCTTGATCGTTCAATAAATTACTGTTTATCCATTCGCTAAATGAAATTTGTTCTTCAAGTCGCACCGAATGAGTAGTTCCGGCTGCTGACGAATCCGACATACCACCCAATGTCTCAAGATTCTCTTTTTTCGATACAACTTGCTTAAATGTACTCGCAACTTCTTTTGCTTTAAGGTCAACACAAATCTTTTCAAACTCATTGTAGTTAAGTTTGCCTGGTGTCTTTAACTTATGCTTATTGCCAAATTCCTCAATCATCAAGCGAACTTGATAGCCTGGTAATTTAAATCCGACTTGATCAAGTGCTTCCTTCAATTCCTTTAGCTCCACAAATCCGTCAGTTTCTTTTGTGATCTAAAAATAGACATGAATCATACATATGATCGAGATTAGAATGTGCTTTAACATATGTATGCATATTATACTATAAAACTTCCGGAAAAAAATGAGTTCAAAGTCCGCATAAACTGCCTCGACCAGACTTTGACATTTTCTCGGGTAATGTATATCTTTCAGCCTTTTGTGACTGTAATGTAGTGTAATATGCAGCAAATATAATAACATAAATCATTTCCCAAGACTCTTATCAAGAATTTAAAAAAAAAAATAATGAGAAATGTCAAAAAGAAAGAAAATTAAAAAACATTTTAAGCACAACTTAATATTGGAAGCAATTTAGTGCTCATAAACATGTTTATATTGGTATATTTATTATCATGTGAAAGATAGACGTAGTTCCATGGAAATACTTATAACGATGACATGCTAGCTCATTGATTTCAATTTTCAAGTGTTTATAGAAATATTGTTATGTCATTAAGTATGTTAATGGTCGATATGAGAATGTTATCAATTTACTCATACACTGTTGTGCTTCTTATCGAAACATTTTGATAATGGATTACCAATTAAGAACTGATAGCATTTCTCTGCAGAGCAATTACTTCATCAACAAGTCGTTTAGGAATTTAATTTTTGCTATGTTTATTTATAAGGAAGTTAAAGCTTTAACAAATGACGAATCATCAAGAATTTTTTTTTCAATTTATTATCAACGGTCTTTTTGAATTCAGATTTATTTTTTGACGAAAGATTTTTCAAATTTTTGAAAGCTGTTTAATTTTAAATTCAGAAAAACCGTTAAATATTCCATCATTTTTCAATAAAGATCACGAAACATCAATTAAGAAAGCAGGAAGAGACGCGTCTGTCTCATTTGTAACAAATCTAAAAATGCTGACAAATTGTCATTAATCGTTTCAAGTTGGTTATCTCAATACATGTATCTCTCATAACAAATCCTCAATTCATAAATCATGCATCATTACAGCATCGAACGAATGTTAAGTCCATTAAATACGCAAAATAATGCCCAGACCAAACGACTTCCGACAATCTTAAATGCATAAAGAGAAAATTACGAAAACATATTCAAATATATATTTATCGGCTGTCTAGCAAGGTATTCAATTCATTGGAATTTCATTAAGGTATTCATTTTCTCACTTCATCGCAGCATATTAGGTCATCTATTCATGAATATTCCAATATGTTTCTAGATCAACAAACTATTTTTTTTTTCGCGCCAATGCGAAACACAATGTAAATAAAGATATAAGCATAAAAAAGAAGTATGTGCGTGCATGCTGATGATGATTACATTACACAGAATTCATTGAAGCAGCGAGAGAAGCAAGAAGAAAGAGTCAACTTTCAATTTTCTAAATATTTATGCAGCTTGCTGTCGATGGAATCAACACAACAACAATAATAATGAATGTAAATCTCACTTTACGCAACATAATACGTGCTGCACTTTTGGATATGAATAAAATCTATGTTATGGGAAAAAAAAATTCCTAATTCGAATCGGTATTCACCTAATTTTGCTGCCTACCGTTGACGCAATACATGCACCATTGTTTATTATTTTAATTTCGACCGCAACACTTCTTCTCGTCTATTTTCCATTCTCATTTTCTTCACTTTAATGACTTTAAAGCCAGTTTATAAATAATTCATTACATGATTCTATTGTTGTGACATAAAGAAACTTAAAAGCAACTTCAACATTTTCATGGTCATCATACTGCACATAAATCTAAAGCTACATAGAATATAAGTCAAAAATCCCGAATTAAACTTGACTAGGTAATTGCTGTTTTGAGTGTTTGTTTCTCATATTAAGTAAATACACTTATGTGATCAGTTTGCTTACTGGCTCGTCTAACCTGTTAGTCAAATTGCAAAATGTTTTTAAGAGGCTTGAATTTCCATAAGCAAAAAATATATAAATGAGTCAGCTCAGTGTTGTTTCTAGAATGGAATTTAGTAAGACTTGGCTGGAGAATAAACAAATAGTACTTAGTTTTGAGTCATTGTGGTGTTCAAATGGCATGAAAATGGAGCTTTCTTAAAGCTTTACATCTAGTTCACAAAAACCTTCCAATAATCCATTAAATGACTGGAAACATTCAGAAATATTCACTGAAATACATTTCCAAGGAATAATTCAAATCTCAAATGACCGTTTTTTTTTTCAAAATCAATTGATGACTCACTGGAATTTCCCAGTTCTTTCATATTTTATATATTTTCGTAGAAAGCTTATTTTAATTCCAAAAACTATAAAATACGTTATCTCATGAGACATGACTCACTCAAACGCACCTGTACAACATCACTGACTCAATTCTATTCCAAAAAATATAACAACAGACAAGTTGCCAACTAATCAACGAAATCACCATTTCGAAAAATTGCATAAAAAGATTTCAAGATTGACACGACCGATACTAAGCAATCGAAAGAGTGAAATGCGCTTTGATCATCGTTTAGGCACCGACCTGCTTCTATTATGCTTTTGAAATTAAGATTTATTGCGAAAAATATGAAAAATTGCTTACATTTTAAATAGCTTTTAATAGCTTAAAAAGTTTATCGGTGCCGTCACGTTTGATATTTATTATTATTACCATGTATTAGATTATAATGAAAGCACTGTACAGTAGCGTCCAAAAGTTTAGAAACAGTCTCAATTTAGTTGAATTTTATCAAAAAAACATACTTAAACATAAGCAAATAAGCTCAAATTTTCACCAACTGTGTAGTTTTTGCTATATTTTAATTCAATAAAAACATTTTGTATTATAATTAAGTATTTCAAAAATTACCGTTAAAATTCAAAATGGCTGTCGTCCAAAAGTTTGGAAACGATTTTATGATAATTTATTTTAAAGCTTTATACTTAATTTAGGTATAATTTATAACTCAAAACATAAAATTTGGACTTTATTCTTTGTTTTAAAACAAAAAAGTATGTTCAAATCGGTTCCTTTCATGATTTATTTTCGATTTCAAAATGGCTGACATTTTTATATGATATTAATCAAAATTAACACTTTAAGCAAACTTTTTTCTAAAGTTTAAATGCTTATTGCATAGTTTTTTACAATATCTTTCAGAAAATATATAGTTTATTATGTTTTGGTGAGTTTTGAAGTCAAATTTAAAAAAAAATACTTTTTTGGAGAGAAAAATTTGCTGCTTAGAAAAGTTCGAGATAATTTAATTAATTAAATACCAACAAACTATTCCACATTTTGGTACCAATTTATTGCATTTCAATTCTCCTTTACGTTTTTGTATGATTTCGTTAACATATTTCAAGGATAAAACTTTTATTTAACTATTCTTTAACCTACAACAGACAACCTTGAACGACGCAAAATGTTTTTGCAAAAAATTTCTTATTTCCATAATTAATTTAACATGTTTTGTTTAATTCATCAATAGAATGTTATTTTAATACATTTTAGTCATTTTGCAATAAAATTGATAGTAAATTTCAACAATTTTTTGCAAAAACATTTTGCGTCGTTCAAGGTTGTCTGTTGTAGGTTAAAGAATAGTTAAATAAAAGTTTTATCCTTGAAATATGTTAACGAAATCATACAAAAACGTAAAGGAGAATTGAAATGCAATAAATTGGTACCAAAATGTGGAATAGTTTGTTGGTATTTAATTAATTAAATTATCTCGAACTTTTCTAAGCAGCAAATTTTTCTCTCCAAAAAAGTATTTTTTTTTAAATTTGACTTCAAAACTCACCAAAACATAATAAACTATATATTTTCTGAAAGATATTGTAAAAAACTATGCAATAAGCATTTAAACTTTAGAAAAAAGTTTGCTTAAAGTGTTAATTTTGATTAATATCATATAAAAATGTCAGCCATTTTGAAATCGAAAATAAATCATGAAAGGAACCGATTTGAACATACTTTTTTGTTTTAAAACAAAGAATAAAGTCCAAATTTTATGTTTTGAGTTATAAATTATACCTAAATTAAGTATAAAGCTTTAAAATAAATTATCATAAAATCGTTTCCAAACTTTTGGACGACAGCCATTTTGAATTTTAACGGTAATTTTTGAAATACTTAATTATAATACAAAATGTTTTTATTGAATTAAAATATAGCAAAAACTACACAGTTGGTGAAATTTTGAGCTTATTTGCTTATGTTTAAGTATGTTTTTTTGATAAAATTCAACAAAATTGAGACTGTTTCTAAACTTTTGGACGCTACTGTAAGTCTAACATCCAATGAATGAAATTAAGTTTATTTTTAAACCATATTGTATGAAGCTGAGATTAAAGCTATTTAATACAATTTAACAAGCTAGTAATGTATTATTTTTTGAGGGAATTGGCTGCTTAATCTTTAAATCTGATCGTCAATTTCTAATTCGTTGACCGTTATTTTATTTTTTGAAATTTATAATTATCAAAATTCAAATATTTTTGGACAGTTATTTTTCTAAATCTGGAAAATGCGTCTTCGCTGTCCACTAATCACAATACCAGCTTCAAGTAAGTAAGCCATTGTCTCATGATCTGGTATTATTCATAGACATAATCTAAATTAGTCTATTAAAAGTGAAGTTAAATTATGAAAAACTTCCACTTCTCTCTCTCCGATCTCAAACTGTTATTATTCATTAATTACGTGCATGTTGTTGTTCAAGACCTCAAAATAATTTTTAATTTTGTGTCTGATTGTTATCGGCCACACATATATCTTCTTATTGTTTGATTATAATTTAAAATAATATTATACTTTTTCGAGAAATCATGTAGTATCTGTGTATAACAGTTTAACATTTATAGAAACGAATAAGCAGGCACAAATGCCATTAGCATTTTTTAAAAAATTGTTCTTAACAAACACTACGTCATTTGACCGCGAAAAAAAGCTATCAAGTTGTGTTTATATATTAAATATTAAGTAAATAAAGGAACACAAGTAAACAAAAAAAAAGTCATGACTAATCATCGTCATCAAAGCAATGCTGATTCAAGTTAAATCCATGTTTAGATCGTGCTCATTTACAATATATATCTAAAGCATTTGTGCCGACGACTATTTGCATTTTTGCGACGCGATTTAAACTTCCAAGGCCAAAAACAGCTCTCAGAACTTACACATTAAATTACTTGTGAATTATGAGCCGTTTCTTATGGAAGCGCACACAATGAGAATCATGTTATTCACAGAATATTAATGACATTACAAACTTACAGTTTACAGTTTTTCATACAATTTCCTATAATTTCATTATTGGATAATAAAGCTATGAATCAAAAAAGAATTTAACTCTTAAGTAGTAAGTAGGTATGAAAGAAATGAAACAATGAGTGAATTGTTGTAAGCTTTTAATACAAGAATGAACCAGAGAGTTATAAAAAAAATTTGTGTGTGTCTATCTTGAGTATATGTGAAACATATGGAACTAAAGACTCGAATGGAAAGTGGCAACAATGCTTGCGAGCGAAACGAGTGTAACAAGCAAAAAAAAAAAGAATTAATAAGACACACAATTGGGAACCGGAGATTTTCTTCGAGAGGTATTCCATAGCCTCTATTGTACAGTGTCTCTTATATTTAATTCGCTAGAAAAAATTGAAATTGTAAACTCATCGCTGACTGTGACTCTAGCTGACTATACCACTACATATATCTTGGTGGAAATAAATATGATTTCTAATGTCTAATGAAATCAAATAATCAAAGAGGAAAAATGGTTATTTGCCTAGATATATATCATATAATAATGAATACCAAAACCACTTTCAATTGAATTACTCGAGTTTCAATGATTTTTCATTTTACAGCACATTTTTCATAGGTACTTGCGGTGCATTTTCTTGTTGCACGTTTTGGATATGTAACTTGTGGTTTGTGGCTTTACAGCATGTTTGCTGGATCTTTTTGAAGCGAGGTTCAAAAAAATCTTTTAAGTTTGATTAAAATGTAAGAAAACCGTTCAATAAAGTTCAAAACTCAAATAACAAAAGAAATTTCAATTAAGTTAAAAACTCCAAAAACTTTTAATTTCTAAATCTCAAAAAAGCGTAAATTTTTAAATTTCAATAATAATCACAACAAAGGCATCCAAAATTTAATCTAATCCACTGGCGACTTTAATATTAGTTGTCTCTGTATCTGAGCATCGAAAATGTATGACTTTAGTGCGTGGGGAGAGATATTTATCTTTGGGTGCGACTTAGTCCAAAGCACACAGTTTAAAAAGTAAACCTCCCCGTTAAAAAAAATATTATTTGTCAGTCATTAAATTAAAATAATCAAAAATAATGCTTAAGAGGAGTATTAAATTCAAAGTGAGTTCCATTTAAGGCATTTGGACTGTTACATAATCGCATTTGAGGTCTCTTCTTTTTCTTCATTCTCTGCGTCACAAAAAGCTCTTGGTTTAATTTTTTCAACTTTATCAAAAAACGGCAAAAATATTTTATCTATGAGTCGGTAAGAGTCATGCTTTATGTATGATTAAGAAGCATTGACATCACTTTTTGTAAAATTTCCAGCGACAATTCCAATGAAGTCATATCATACAACAACTTAAAAATATCCAGACAAACCAATTATCCATAGAGAAAAATGTCATTAAATTGTTCACATTTATCTGTAGACATTAATTACAATGTTGCCTTTATGTTTTCTCACTTGCACTTATTGGACATACATGAATACTGAGGAATTGCATTCACAAATGAACATGAAACTTTATATTTTTTTAATGAGTCAGCACAGAACTTACTGATGGCCAAACTTCAGTCTCCAAATGGCTCGTAAATTCAATCATTTCAGTGGCTTTAGGCGAGTTTGTTCGGTCCATTGTCTTTGATTTAATTGTCTTGATTGAATTATGCAAATTTTGACTTTGATTGGCTCTTTAATTTATTATGAAGTGATCACTTTCGCGTCTACGAAATAACTGAGTTTCAAAAAAATTATTAACTCGAGCTTGGGCTAAAAATTATTATTTTTTATCAGCAAAAAGGCTTATCGGCACACAATATAAATATATAAAAACATTTTTATCGAGTGAGAATGCAATCAAAATAGAATACTACTAAGAAATCGCAAGCATAAAAGTCGTCGATTCAGATCGAGTGATGGAGGTGCAGTTTTGGAGACTATTAGCTCTTTATTAGAAATGTTCAAGAATTTAGAAGTATGTTTAAAAATAACGGTTTTTAAAAATTCAAAATTCAGAACCCTACAAATTATGTTTCTAAACTTCAAAACACTAAAACAGTAAAAAAACATTTGTAAGGTTCTAATTAAAAAATTCAGCATCATACAATTCTATGAAATAGCTCTGACTGGAAGAGAGCGATTAAGCCCCCCAAAATGTTCTTAATACACCCCTATCTCCAGCCACACAAAAAAAACCTATTAGACCTTTATTATTCATCAGAAATACACTCATTGTCCGAAGCACAGTGAAGCCCAAATAAGCAGACGTAGTCTAGCAGAAACCAATCAATAGATAGTTGCAAATTATGATAAAGTGTTTTTTAATTGAAATTATATGCCAAGAGTATTTGTGCTGTTGTTATTATCGAACCAAAATTGATATATTTATGGATAGACACGCAAATAATAATGATCATACACGTGTGAAGAAATAAAGAAAGAGTACATGATTTCCATTTAAATCAAGTATCAAGTTGTTCCCTAATTCCATTAAGTCTCATAAGGAAGAAAGGCATACACAAAACAAATCATGCAATGAATCATTTTGTAGTTTAACATGTGTGAATCATCACACATCATTAGTTTATGTGCTACATAATAATATTTTCACTTTCCTGGTCTTCTATGGCTGATAGTAAAATTGCAAACAACAACAGCATGTGTATATTGACCCGTACACATTTATTTAATTTTGACCTCATTAACGTATTAAAAATATTCATTGTTTTACCAGCAAAATAGACGACAACGTCGACGACGCACATTGAAATAGTGATTTCTTTCAATTTGCATAAAATAAATGAATTAAGTAAGAAATACTGTCTTTTTTCCTGCTGTCGTGTAATCAACACTTGATTTAATTTAAAAAATGAAACTTTACGATGATTCACAGCAGGTTTCGTAATTATTAGACAAGCTAGCTTAAAAGTTGTCATTGAATCAGAGACAAAAGTGCATTTTACATGCTTTTATTTGGGTCAGTTGGCATTTATGACTATTGACATTTGTTTTTGTTATGAATAATGGATTGATTGTGGAGTTCATTATCGATTGATAAGCTTTGATTTTCTTGTGACAAATAAAATAAAGAATTTTACAGATTTTGAGATTTAACGGCTTTTTAAAATTGAAATTTAAAACCACAAAAATGTTATCAAACTGCTTTTATATGGTTTTGGAGCACTCACAGAACATTTGAGACTGGGGTACAACCTTCTAGGCATGACATAATTTAAAAGACATCAGAACTAATTCTAGTAAGTCAATCAAATAAATTTACAGAGCACATTCTTAACAGTAATGCGCGAAAATTGTAGAAAATGTAGGTAAGCAATATTGAATTAATAAAAAGTAGTAAATGAATCAAGAATTAGTCATGAATATTTGAATGTTTATCGATTCTTATATTGATTATTCATCGTGCGGTTTTTTCGCTTTCCGAATAACTCTCTGCAAGGAATTTTACTTATTTTTGTATGCAGCACATCGCGATGTTTGCTGATGACTTAAATATCACGAGTTTTGAGACATAATAAATGCCTTTACTAATGAAAAGTGGATCCCCTACATTGAATGATTATTTATAAATTACATAAGTGGTGGCATATTCCTACTATTCCTGCTCACGAGATTAAAAATCATGAACAAATCGTCATCATCATTGTCATTCATTATCTACACGATATTGTTTTATTTTTGAGATCACATGAACTTCTTCTCATTTTCTCTATTACTGATTATGTTCCATAAAGCGCGAATAATTAATTACAATTGTTCACATGTGTGTGAACAGCAGATTGGTCGGTCTTTTGCTGGATCTTCAATCTATAAACCGTACACAAAGTTTTTTTCAAAGAAACGGTAAGATGATAATCATCATCAATGAACGGAGTAGCACCGAGCAAAAAAGAGAGAGAGAGATAGAAAGAGACGAGGATGTAAAGAATGGAAGAAAAAACTTTCGTCATCAGTTGCCAATAAAAAGAATTTCATGTTTTCAAGTCTTTTAATGGAATTCGGGGTATTTTAATCATTAAATTAATGTAAATGCCATAGTTTACGATATTTTCTATATATCCGGACTTAACAGACTAGTTCCGATGAGCCAAAAATGCTATAAATTGAGACAAAACTAGTAAATGTCTGAGGGTGTGGATTGCCGACTAGATTTTTTTTTCTTTTTTCTTCCTTTTTGACATGTTATTAGTTTATTTAGCTAATTCATTAACAAAAACATAGCACAGTCATTAACTTACATCATTGAAATGTTCTTTAACTTCGGTTTTGAACTCCTCAGAGATTTTTGTTTTCATAAAACTACTCATTTTAATCTTTTTTTTTGCACAACTTTTTTCTTTTTCAAAAATTTATCAATAAATTTACTTCATACACTTAATTAATTTAACTTATTTTCTTGCTGCACGACTTATCTATTAGCATATAGATTTAATTTAACTTTAATAGTAGCACTAAGCGCTATTTTTTAAACTCACTGATTTACTCAAAATTTTAGACTCAACTAAACACTATACTCTCACAAACTTCTCAGTGGAACTGACTTTTCTCAAACTTCCCCTTCTTTTGCTTACTCAATTTAAACTTCTAGGAACCGTTAAAAAAATAAGCTGCTGTATCTATACAAAATTTGTGCAATAATGAATATTACTTAATGTCACTGGAAATTTACAAAGACTACTGCTACGATTATAGCTAATTCTTAACCAGGCTTTATTTCTCAAATCTACTGTAATTAATGGAACTTATAACGGAAAATTTATTTTCAAAGACTACGTGGAAAATCAAGATCATTGAAGATCCAGAAGATCCAGAACAGCAATCAATCTTAAAAAAAATAAATATACCAGCAAATAAGACAGCACCCGTAGAATAAAATGAGGAAGCCACGAAAGAATAGAAAACCAGTCAAAAATAAAGCCGCTGGATATGAAAGTTCTGATAATGAAGCTACAAATCGAAATGCTGACTTTAATGCACTGAGTGTAAGTAATACTTGACATATTAATCATAGCTCAATCAAAATTGATTCATTTAGATCCACACATTGAGGAAGTACCGAAAATTCTATAGCATGCCGATCGCATCAAACCTGAACAAAATGGAACTAGCCAGAGAAGTTAACAAGCATTTTCCGAAAATAGCACTTGAAGAAGAGAAGACAGTCATCAGTTATTTCTTACATTTTACCAAAAATGAGACAGTAGTTAAAGAAGAACAGCCTTAATATGTGATTTATAGATTATAAAGCTTTATTTACACAATAAAAAAGATTCTAATCAGGGGGAATGACTGTCTGTAAAGTAAAATGCTTATTTTACATCGATTTTACACCATTAGATGTAAAATGTTGTAAAACGATGTAAAATCGGTGCAAATTATACACCAGCATGGAAATTATTGTTTTTTATATTCACACCGTTTTCACGTGTGAATCTATTGGTTTTGTTCAGATTGAAAAATCAGTTTTTCGCATTTTGTGAGAAAATGAAGCAAAATTGGTTATAAAAGGTCCGAGAAGAAAAGTTTGTGCCTGAAATTTTACATCATTTGCAAAAAACAGATTTCAAAATGGTTGTGGCTTTGCTGAGAAAATCGCAAAATACGCTTTCTGTAAGCAAGCAAACAAGCATGCAAGTTAATCAGCAAGAAATCTCAATAACGAGAAATCGTAGAGACTTCTAGTTTTTTGCATTTGAACCGTGCTGATCTATAGATGAGCTATATTGTTTTTGGGCAAGGTAGGAACAGCCGTTGCTTCAGAAAAAGCAGTGAAGAGTATGAACAAAATTCAGATGGGGTAGTCGAAATTTTAGATTTCGATTTTTTTTTTAAACTTTGCATTACAAAATGAAATATTGGTATGTGATTTATGTCAGAATTATGTCAATTCAAATAAAACATTGAAACTTTGCATAAATATTCTAGTGCTTAAAACAAATACAAATAAAACATCTTAAAATTTATTTGAGCAAAGAACCAAGAAGGAAATACATTTTCAATTTTGGACTAGGGGCGACCCTAGTCAAAATCAATTCTGTCACTTTTTTCTTTGAGGGTTTATCCAAATGCATTGAAACTTTGCATAAATATTTTAATCCTTAAAACAAATACAAATAAAACATCTTAAAATTTTTTTGAGCAAAGAACCAAGTAGGATTTACATTTTCAATTTTGGACTAGGGGCGACCCTAGTCAAAATCAATTTTGTCACTTTCTTCTTTAAGGGTTTATCCAAATGGATTGAAATTTTGCATAAATATTCTTGTGCTTAAAACAAATACAAATAAAACATCCTAAAATTTTTTTGAGCAAAGAACCAAGTAGGAAATACATTTTCAATTTTGGACTAAGGGCGACCCTAGTCAAAATCAATTTTGTCACTTTCTTCTTTAAGGGTTTATCCAAATGCATTGAAACTTTGCATAAATATTCTAATGTTTAAAACAAATACAAATAAAACATCTTAAAATTTTTTTGAGCAAAGAACCAAGTAGGAAATACATTTTCAATTTTGGACTAGGGGCGACCCTAGTCAAAATCAATTTTGTCACTTTTTTCTTCCAGGCTTTATCTAAATGGATTAAAATTTTGCATAAATATTCTAGTGCTTAAAACAAATACAAATAAAACATCCTAAAATTTTTTTGAGCAAAGAACCAAGTAGGAAATACATTTTCAATTTTGGACTAGGGGCGACCCTAGTCAAAATCAATTTTGTCACTTTTTTCTTCCAGGCTTTATCCAAATGGATTGAAACTTTGCAAGAATATTCTAGTGCTTAAAACAAATACAAATAAAACATCCAAAAAATTTTTTGAGCAAAGAATCAAGTAGGAAATACATTTTCAATTTTGGACTAGGACTATAAATATTTTATACTTAAAACATATACAAATAAAACATTTTAAAATTTTTTTGAGCAAAGAACCAAGTAGGAAATACATTTTCATTTATGAACTTGGGACAGGTCTAGTCAAAATCTAGTTTCCATTGGAAATTTTGTGGTAGGTGCAGGGGTCTGAAGGTGTGTTAAGATCGAGGGGGTGAAGCTTCATTGAGCGAATAAATAACGGTCACTTTTTGAATAGATATATAAGTAGATAAGAGTCGAATAAAACGATTGATCATATTAAAGTATATTTAAACTGTGTTTAGACTCTACAATTTATAGATTATAAAGCTTTATTTGCACAATAAAATAGGTTTTAATTCAATACAATCGTTTCTTTCTCTTCATCATCACTGCTTGTGTCTACAATTTCCATGACATTTATGATGCCCTTCTTTTTTGGACTTTCCTCTATTACTTGAACATCACTATCGCTGCTTTCATCTGATTCCTCTTTTGTCCAAGTTGATGCTACTGTATCACTGTCGATTTTTTCAAAGCTTTCATCAGCCATTACTTCCTCTAATTCCCCAGAACCATCATTCTCAGTGTCCATGACTTGATCGATTTCTTGAGTATCTGTGAAATTTGATGGAATATTTGTGAGTTTGATGCTTTGTGAAAAGCCTTTAGCTTGACCATTTTCTCTGTCGATTCTATCTTGTTCTAATGCGTCCTTAATGTACTCAACTATGTGCTTAGCTCTTTCTGCTGCCATATCAGAGCATTTTTGAATGAGATATGGACTTGTTAATGAGACGCCTGTTAAATGAATTGAACAAAGTTCTTTATATGCATTTACAGCAAGAATTAATGAGGCATTAGTCACTCGCTCTTCTAGAATTGTTGGATCAGCAATTGGTGTCTTGCCTTCAAATAGAGCATAATTAACACAAATTGGATAATGATGAAGAACGATTGGAATCAAATCCTTTTCAGCAGATTTGTGTATTGTAAATTCACCATCTCCAGATGCTGTACAATCAGGTCTTCGGAAGTGAGCAAGAGCCGAAACAGCTGCTATGCATGCACAATCTAATAATATTAAAAATAATAAGTAGAAATAACTAGTTATTCTTTAATTAAAGAACTTACCTATGACATTTCCTTCATTATTTAATATACTAATGTCTACTCGTAAGTTCCAGACCTTCTCTTCAGCCACAATACACAATGATTCAAGATCAATACAATTGGATTCTCGAATTGTTCGTTCTAAAATTCTTGTAACAACTATACACGGCTCATTTTGTTGACTTCCCATTTCAACATTAATAAAGATTGTTCCTTCATTTGGTCTTGTTGTCTTGGGAGTACTGACTTCACATGATACACTTGCAAATACCTTTGTTTCGCCTAATGAAGCTATAACTGATCCATAATTTTTACCATAAAATATCGCCAAATTCCTAAATTCATTTAATCCACGCTTATCTATCCTTAATTTCTCAGCTATTGCCTTCTCAACGAATGCTCGTTCATTATTTGATAGAATTGGATCCTTCATTGTTGATTTTTCACTTTTATTAAAATATTGTTTTTAACACTGTTTACATGTGATAATTCCTTTTCGATCAGGAGGAAATCTGATATTTTTGATGTGTATTTTTTAAATTTTTGAAATTTTAAAATACGTTAGAACTAGTGGTCTACAGCTTTTATGCTGTTTATATTAATGTATAATTTCTCTAGCAATAATTTCTTTTTTTTGCCACATGGGATGTTTTTTTTTCACATTTTTCATCCAAATTCAATTTATTCATATATTCAAAATCTTATTAATAATCAAACGGTATTTAAATTAAAACCTTGAAGGTTGGTGTTAAATATATTTCCAAATGTAGCTAAACATAATTCACTAGATAAAAGCACTATTATTATTATGCTGTTTATTGCTGATTATTGATTTATGGGAATTTATGAGCTTTAAAGCCTAGATCAAATCAACAAAAATTTGAAAATGTCTAATTAATAATCATAAACATGATAAAAGCTCACATTGTTCAAAGTAAGGAATTGTTGTGCATAAAAGTGAGTCATTGATCTTCAGAATGTTTCAAAATCTATTTTCCAATTTACTCGAAAAGCTCCTTCGTGCACAAACAAATTTATATGTATGTCAACATTATTTTTAACTTTTCAATTCTCAATGAAATACGTGAAAAAGTCGTCGAAAGATCAATGCTTGAAAAACTATGTGCAGGAGCATGTATATATATCTTTTAAAAAAATGATGGAGAAAATGTTTTTCAAAGCAGAGAAGATGAGAATTGACACTAGAGAAAATTAAAGATTCACCACTTGCTTATGTGAGTCGGGAAATTTTTTCGGACGCACATTATTATTATCTAATAATAGAATTGAAGATCGTTTTCCTTTGCAATCGGCAGAGATTTTTTAAATAATATTTAGACATTCATTTTGCTTACTGTTAGTCGACTAGCAACCTCGGGCACGGCGACAACTGCCAATAGAGACTTAAAGTTAATTTTTTTGTTGTGAAGAAGTAAGTTAAAGTGAATAATAATTTTATGTGGAATAAGTTGTACCTGGATTTCATACTAAAGTATTTTATAAAAGAATTTTTGGAGTCGTTCCACTCAAGTGATATAATGAAATGGGATATATCTTAAAATTCAGTTTGTGACGAGCTTATATAACTTCTGTAATATTATATTACATCTTAGGAATTTTGTAGCTATTTCGAGCTATCTAAACTATTAATTAAGTTCTTAAAAATCCATGACAAAATTAAGTTATGAGCTTTAAAAAATCATCGCTAATTAATTGGAGATCTAGAAAAGATCACCAGATATCAAATAATTTTCTTCACTCATGTAGTTCTATTTTTGTAACATTGAACAGAAAATCTAAAACATATTTTTTTATTGTGCAAGTGTGTTAAGACATTTTCTTGGGAAGAGAGGATACATACTATTTCTCAGAGTTGATCTTTTGAGTCTAGTTTTAAAGTTTTTTTTTTGTCATGGAAAAGATTAGAAGATATTGTGAAGTAACTTATCATTCGATTTGAACAACTAGCTCTGTTTTTCTCTCGAGATTTGTTGATTCGAACTTTTAAGGTTTTCAGTTTAAACTATATAGATTAAGAACACCGAGATATTCTATAGACTTTTTAATTGGATATACCAGATCTAAGCTATCTTTCAGAGATAACAACATTGCTAGTATCATTAAGAGCTCCACGATCCAAAAAATCTATTCATAACAACTCCATCTCCAAATTTGCTGAGTTTATTTTTGATCAAAACTTTAAAGTTTCCATTGATTAAAGATTCAATTCGAATATAGCTTATTGAAAGTTGCTTATCAGCCAAACAAAATCAACAAGTAGTCCCAGAAATCTAGCAAAATTTATAATTGTATGTCACAATAAAAGTATTCCTTAAAATAATGACCGACAGAACAATAAACTGTCACATTCCTTTCTATAAATTCAGTCGATTGACCAACTCTGTTGATCGTATTGTGAAATAATGGCATTAGTAAAGAAAAATTCACATTCTTGCGTTTGGCAGCTTGCCTCGGTTTTAGCTCAGAAAAATATGTGAATATTTATATCTACTCCTACTAACGACTACCTCTCACACCTACATATGCCACTTGCAAGGCTCCCGATATATGCTTTTCAAATGAACGATTGAAGAAAATCGTGAAGAAAAGTTAAATAATTTTTATGTACGAATCTAAAAATATCATTTTTTTGTACTTACAATGATTCTCCAACGCATGTGAAATATTTTCACATCCACACAATTTTTTTCAACTTTAATTTCAACATTTTTTCATGTGGGGTAGGGGGGGGGGGGGGTGTCAAAAATATTTCATTCAATTTCAAAGCCTGCTTAGGTCAAGATTCATGATGCTAAGAATACTTTTTTTTTCATTTATTTCCAGGTAATTCAAAACTCCTTTCAAAATGTCCGACGAAGAGGAATATTCGTAAGTAGCGATTCACCCATCCAGAATTTTCTTTTTTAAATTACAAAACCACAATTTGCTCCTCAATATCAAACAGCTCCAATATCAAAATAAACAATCAAAATAATTTCCAATAATGAATTTCTTTAAAATAATATAAATATATACTTGACATATTACACACAATTAAAATATAAATCTTTGTACCTTCAAACCCTCCAAGCATCTTTGTTCCATGATCATTAAAATATCATTGATATATCAAATGTGTATCACTCAAGGGGTGCAAACTTTTTGATGCATTATTTCATGTTGCACAACATGTCACACATCACTGTCACACGTAGATTGTCAATTTTTGTTGTAAATTTTGAAAAGATCGATAGATTTTGTAAATATTTCTTTGTATCTAATTGATCTTATTAGAAGCTCAACTAGCTGACACCTCTTGATTTTGATATAAATTCAAAAATCCTGAAATTTATATTTTTTGGTGCTTTATTGATTGATTCCTATATTTGAATTGATTTTTTAAGTTTTTTTTATATTGCTGGGTTTGAATTTTTGACTCACATTTTGATAATTTTGAAAGAAAGAAAATTTACAAAAATGAATTTTAAAAAGATTTGGAAGGAGCCCTGAGCTGGTAGATATATGTTGAAAAAAGAAAAAAAAAAGTATTTTATGTTTTAAGATTTAGACATTAAAACATATATAATCCTGCATTAAAAGTATATAAAAACATCCTTTTTTTTGTTCGTTTCTTGTGACTACCTCCTTTACACGTTGAATGTAAAAATAAAATATTTAGTGATGAAGAAGAAATCATCGAAGAAAAGGGAAGCGATGAGAGACAAGAAGAGTGAGTATGAATTTTCCTTAAAATCTCTTTTTCACTGTCACTGTCTTATTTGTTTAAATATTGCACTTCTTTATTAATTTATCAATTTTGAAGAATTTTTGAACTTTCGAATGACACACTTTGAATTACTTGAAAATGACTTTTTTTGACGACTAGAAATAAAATTTCACTTTTTCATTAATTTTTTAATTCAGTCTTGAAAGGATATAATTAGAGATGCTAAAGCAGCGTACGCTTATTTACTTTTGAATGTTAATCAATTTTAATTTTCTTTAAACAACTAAAAAACTGTTTGGGCGGTAAGGTTATTTGGGGTGAGCTTAAATTGAGGTACATGTGATCATAATTTAATGAAGCAATTCAAAGCAATAATAAATTGATTTTTTTCAATTTCCTTGAATATTTCTAAATGTAAACTTTGGCTGTTTACAAAAGAATTTATTAGATTTGCAAGTCCGAGTACTTTGAACATCTAATATCTGGGTAGGATCAGTAATTTAGAGTTTTATTATTAAACACATCTACTAGCCTTAAATGTTTTTAATGTAAAGAGCATTTTACGATCAGATTTCATTTGATTTTGATCACTTTAAAGATAAAAAAGATCCGATATTTGATCATATCAAAATTTAAGCTCAACCCAAAAAGCTTCCCGCTCTCTTGCATCTTTATGTTAGGATTCCAATTATTGTGTCTGTCTAATTGTTAGGATGACGGTATAAATTTCTATCTACTAGTCAATGCTTCTTTTCCAAAACAAAAAAAACTGTCTTCTCAACAAAACTTAACTATTAATATTGATTTAAACATAAATTTATAGAATGAAGTAGAGAGTTTTTCCCTTTTAGTTCTAAATGAATGTTATTCTGTTTTTTATTTGCAGGAAGTAAGTGCGATTAATCCAATATAATAAAAAAGATACAATGAAAATTATAATAAAAATATTAACCGCGATATTGGTTTCTAATAATCACAAAAGAATGTTAATTTTTGGCCTCACTGTATAATGTCTGGTTTCCGTAGTAAAGAAAGTGGTAGATTTTTTTTTGACTTTTTCTCTTCAATTTTATTTTTAGTTTTTTTTTTTCATTATTATTATCGTCTTAGTAGAAAATTTAGTAATGTGGGAGTTGATCGTTGACTAGTTTAAATGACGAAATATATTTTCTCATTTAAATTTAGTCTTTTTTTTTTGATGCAGCTTTTTCTTGTTTTGTGGCTCACTTTTAATTTTATAACCTCAAAAATTATAAATAGAAAAGACTGCATCAAAAGAACTTAATTTTGTATTAGTTTTTGCATTTAGATGCTTTTGCTTAAATTGCACATTTTTATATTAAACCCAAAAAAATTTTAGAGAGACCCCCGAACTAACCACTTAACCTACTATATAGTTCAAAAATACAATTTTCAAAATTTAAGTCTTAAATTGAAGAATTTACGATGAAAATTGTAATGAAAATGGTTGTAAATTCTTCAATTTACTGCTACAAATTAAAATATTGAAAAATTCTTTAATTGGTCAGACGAAAAAGAAAATTTTATAATTACATGGGGACACACACATTAAATGTAGAACTTATAAAAATTTAAAAAATTATAAAAAATATCGTAAATAATTAATTTTTCCGTTAATTTCAAATTTCCCGAAATGTTTTGTTGAATATCCAAAAATAAATGATCATTGTCATATGTTAATGATTGCGATGGGCAATGAATATAATAAAAATTTCAAAACGCTCGCAGACACGCAGCAAAGGCAGAGTAAGTGCTGAAGTATATTTTTAAGAAAAATATTTTTTATACATACACTGAAATCTAAAGTTTTTCTTTTCTTTTTAAATGTATATATCTCATTTTTTCATTTTTCTTTTGAAACATAAAATTTTATGTGTATATAACTTTGGGTCTTGAGTGAAAATGAAGAAAAAATCTTACAAAAATTTTAGATAAAAAATGTAAAATTTCCTTCAAAAAACACACCACGAAATGTGAATTGATGTTAGCTTTATTGGTAGGATGACTTATTTTTCACCCAAGATGTTCAGCCGTTATGAACAGTTATTTGCGAGATAAATGATTTTTTTGATGTTTATTAACAAGTTTTTTTTAAACGGAATTCAAAATATTTGAAATTTCCTCATCAAAACTGTACAAATTACTTGTAAATTTTCTTGAAAACCATACAAATTTTCAAAATTTCAAACCAAAAACTAGATTTTGAAAATTTGTTTGGTTCTCAATTAAAATCAATAAGAAGGAGCTGTCTTTGATGATCAATCTCATTTAACTTGAATTCCAGCATTTTATTTTTGGCAATTCAATTTTTTTTGAAGTAGATACAAAACATTTGGTATAAAAAATCTGCTGATTGCTAAAAAATTCATTAAATGTTGAAGATTTTGTCGCAAAAAAATAGTAATTGCCAGTTACATTTCGGAAAAAATTCAAAAGCGAAATTTTGATAATTCCCAAACTATAATCTCCAATTTATTGTTTTGGTGTCATTAAAATTATCAAACAACCTGCACTAAATGTGGCAAGTCATAGATGTTGTAGATGGTAAATTATTGCTGTTGTAAATACATTAATATTGTGTTATTTTTGTTTGCTGTCTTTAGCTAGCATTTCCTTTGTAAATATAAATTATTTGTAACCAATTTGTGAGCTGTATTTTGATTCGATACAGTTTTTGTATTTGATTTCTGACCAACCACAAAAACCAAACAATTAAAAATAAACCAAACAATGATCTATCAAACCTACAAATCCTATTATCAAACACAAAGCATACAATTTTAAACACAATTAAAACCGTTTTGCAAAACAATTTGAACCTAGTTTACAAATCAATCCTATACTATAACTTATAAAACACACAAACACACACACACACACTTACCAACTTAATTCCAACCATTTTCACAACGCATAATGTATTTAAATAAAATTTATTTGTCTTTACAAATTGTTGTAAAACAGAGGAGATGATCCCGAGTTCATTAAACGCCAAGATCAAAAGAGATCTGATCTCGATGAACAATTGAAAGAATACATTATGGAATGGCGTAAACAGCGCTCAAAGGAAGAAGATGAACTCAAGAAGCTCAAGGAGAAGCAAGCTAAGCGCAAGGTGTCTCGTGCTGAAGAGGAACAACGTATGGCTCAACGCAAGAAGGAAGAAGAAGAACGTCGTCAACGTGAAGTTGAAGAGAAGAAACAACGTGACATTGAAGAAAAGAGACGTCGTCTCGAAGAAGCCGAGAAGAAGCGTCAAGCTATGCTTCAAGCCATGAAAGATAAGGACAAGTCAAAGGGTCCAAACTTCACCATCCAAAAGAAGGAAGGATTCGGTGTTGGCACAGCTGCCATGGAACGTAACAAGACCAAGGAACAATTGGAAGAAGAAAAGAAGATTTCATTGTCCTTCCGTATTAAGCCATTGGAAGTTGATGGCTTGAGCGGCGAAAAGTTGCGTGCTAAGGCTCAAGAATTGTGGGAAACCATTGTTCGTTTGGAAACAGAGAAGTATGACTTGGAAGAAAGACAAAAACGTCAAGACTACGACTTGAAGGAATTGAAGGAAAGACAGAAGCAACAGCTCAGACACAAGGCCTTAAAGAAGGGTCTCGACCCAGAAGCCTTGACTGGCAAGTACCCAGTAAGTTCACAAGCTCTACTGTTGATGAATATTTTAGACTCAAATGCTATTTCCATTACAGCCAAAGATCCAAGTCGCCTCCAAATACGAAAGACGTGTTGATACCCGCTCATATGATGATAAGAAGAAACTCTTTGAGGGTGTAAGTATTTTAGAAATATTAAATTAACCATTAAAATGATATTGACTGCTTCTAATAATTAAATTAATGCATAAAGGGATATGACACATTAAGATTAGAGAGAATGGACAAGAGATGGAAGGAACGACAAGACATATTTATGCAAAGATCGAAATGTAAGATCTGTGTCTATCTGTGTTCATCATCTCTAGTGACTAACATTATTACATTCCAATCAAAATTGTATTCACACATTACATGTTCAATGTCTTATTTCTTTTTTTGTTTGTGACTTATTAGGGATTCGACAACATCTACAAAGAAGTCATTGAGAAGACATGGTCCGAACGTAAAGATCAATTCTCAGGACGTCAAAAATGTAAGTTTGTAACTAATTCTTCGTTCAACATCATTTTGTCATTAATACTCTTTTTAAACATGATGTTTAATTCGATTTCTTAATAAATTTTAATGAAATTAATTATGGGCTGCATCGAAAATGAATTCTACATCATCGAACCTACTTTTTCTTATTTTTCATTAATTTTCTCCATTGAAGCATTTTATATTTTTAACTAGTCTTATAGAACTCGCCGAGACAAAGATTTTAATAACAAATTTAAGTATGTAAAATGTCTAGTTCCTTCTGTAGAGCCATTCGAATATCCTCCGATGACGTAGAATTTTCGGGAATGGGTATTTTGAGTACACAAGACCTCTAATATCTTTTTAATTTAAAGCATAAACTTAAATATTTCTGCACTAATTTGTGCAAGTTCATCTAGTTGTTCATTCAAATTATCATTTCAAACAATAAAATCGAGTGTTTTGTATTTTCCCGAAAAGCAAAATAACGAATAACCGTTATTACGAATTACAAATTTACGAATGTTCATTTTTACGAAAATTTTTATGGTAAAAACTTATAGGATATAATTTAAATCTCAAAAAACCGTTGGTTAAATCAAACATTAAAAGACAATTAACATCAATTTCATCATTTAAATGCGAATAGATATAATATAATAATTATTATAAGATGAAGGATTAATAGAACTACAAAAAGATTTGCACTTATTTAAATGTGTAATATTTTTTCTTGTTTTATGGGTAATTCCATGAGAAAATTTTATAGCAAAATAAAAATTTTATAGAAAAAATATTTCACATTTAAATAAATGCAAATCTTTTTTTCAGTTCTATTAATCCTTCATCTTTTAATAATTATTTTATCATATCTAATCGCATTTAAATGATTAAATTACTTTTAACTGTCTCAATATTTGATTTTATCCAACGGTTTTTTGAGATTCAAATTATATCCTATAAGTTTTTACCATAAAAATTTTCGTAAAAATGAACATTCGTAAATTTGAAAATTCGTAAAAATTGTTTTTCGTTATTTTGCTTTTCGGGAAAATACAAAACACTCAATAAAATCCAATGTTAGCAAAGAGAACAGAGTCCGTTGCAAACAAAAAAAAATTCAAAATTTTCACGCGGTATTTTTTTAAAATTTCAAAATAAGAAAGTCCGTTACTTTTTATTTTTTTTAAACTAGCTGTTTTTTAAAGCATTTACATTTAAGGAATGCAATTTCATCACAGTAATTATCTTAATCATAAAAACTAGTAGTAATGTTCATTAAAATCACAAATCACTCAAATAATAATAATTCACAACGAATTTCTTTAAAAATAAGAACTTCGAAGATTCGATTTTCGAAAAATAAGAACCTCAAATTATGTTCCATTTTGTGTGGCAAAAGCGTTAAAATTAGGAATCGATGTGTATTAATAGGATTTTCAGATATTAGATTTTCGCAAATACTCTCAAAAATGCGGGAAATTTTAGGAAATTTTCAATTTTTTTTAAATCGTTAATTCGATTTTCAATAAATTTTAATGAAATTAATTATAAAATTGTAGCAAAACTTCCAAAATGGTTCGGTGAACGCCCAGGCAAAAGAGCCGGAGATCCCGAGACTCCTGAAGGAGAGGAAGATGCCAAGGTCGGAGCTGAAGAGGAAGAACTTGAGGAAGAAGAAGTTGAAGAAAAACACGTAAGTTTAATATTATAATTTAACGGTTTTCAGAATTTTGAATTTCACCGGTTTTTAAAATTTTGAATTTTTGAACCTCAAAAGTTCAAAATATTTTGAAACCTGAAAAGTTCAAACTTTTTTTGACGGTTATTTGAGAACTTTTTAATAACTTTTGTTTTACTTAATTAAATTGTAATTTTAAGGTCGAAGTTGAGGAAGAAGAAGAAGAGGAGGAAGAAGAAGAAGAAGAGGAGGAAGAAGAAGAGGAAGAGGAGGAAGAAGAAGAATAAACACGGAAAAATGGAACCAAAAATTGTCTTTATCATTTCCTTTTTTACTTTAATTTAACGGCTCTTTTCGTTATAATTTAATTACTCTATTCTGCTCAACATCTGAAATAAGTTTATAATAAAGGAAATTTCATCTTACTAAATTTAATTCTCTGTTTATTCCAAGGCGTGGACACTGGGATTAATCCCAAATAATCCCAAAAATCCCAGGTTTGGGATTATTGGGATTATCAAAATAATTTTAAAATTTTTCAAATTAAATGTTAAAATTTTGACTAGTTTTGAAAAGAATAATGTCCCCAAAAATCTTTGGATACATTTTAAGTTCAGAATATTAATATAAAAATTAGCTAAAGTAATGAACTAGCATTAAAACGTCAAAAAGTGATTTTTTTACCAACAAAATCTAGTGCACTAGTCAAAAATTTACGAAAATCCCAACGACTGCAAACAAAGAAAACTTCAGTTTGATTCGAAAAATTCAAACTGAAATTCGAAAAATTTCGAACTGTTTCGAACTATTAAATTTTTTAAAAAGTAAATGATCGTTAGGGAATTAATAAAAATATATTTATTATAGTTATTTTTTGAAGCAAAATTATTCCTTCTATGTACCAATCGACTTTGAAATTGTAATTTTACTCTAAATTCAACAAAAACTTTTAATAATTTATCAATTGTATCTTGACAATGTTCAAAATCGACTTCAATTTGTGCAATTACTGTATTAATGAATTTCTGGTTAAAGGAAGGATCAGAACATAAGGTAAAACAATTAGGCTGTCTATAAATAAATTCAAGAATACACAAGAAATGTTTTTTTTCACAGCAATATTCAATATTATGCAATTTAAGAAATTCAATCCACTTATCTTTATGCACAGAGCTTTTTGAAAGTTTAAAACAAAGGTATTTTATTGGTTTTCTTTCCTTTACAACCAGGAATTACACAATTTCTGACCATTTTAAAAAAATGAAATTTTATAAATTCAATAAAGACCAAGAAATGTAAACAAATATTTTCAACGGAAATTTTAAATTCAAATCAAGTTTGAAAATGAAGTACCTATTTCCGAAAATGAGTTCTTGTTTGCAGTCGTTGGCGAAAATCAATTTAAAATGTCTTTTAAATGCTATATTTGATTAATTTACTAAGTGTTCTAATCAAAATAATCGTATATTAGCCTAAAAATCAATCAAACGATACATATTTCCCAAAAAAATTCTTCAAACTAGGTTTTTGATTCGACAAACCTAGTAAAGCTAGTAGTGTCCTCGGTGATAATGACGGCTATGGTTAAATTATCGACTTTTTGGCTTTTATGGGGATAAACCAGAGATCGAAGCCGGATTTTTCGGCTTAACTTACTTTTTTTGATAGAAAAAGTCATTCAAAAAAATCATTCAACGCCCATATTTAAATTGAACTTTACATGCTTTACTATGATTTTGTGTAATATTTTGTCAGCATGTAGCTATAGTAAGCTCAGAATTTCAAGTTAGCCGATTTTTCTATCAAAAATTGAGTTAAGCCGAAAAATTCGGCTTCGATCTCTGGGATAAACACTTAAAACTTGCTTAAAATGATGCATTTAGAAATAATAAGATCCAGTGAATACAATCTAATTTTATTAAATCTTCAATTTACTGTCAACATTTCCCGGTCAAAGATGAATCATGGGATCGCGTAATTCTCGCAATCGGGATCGAAATTGAAAATCCTGATAACAAATTTATATGGGGACTTTTTTAAAAAAAAATTACAGAAGTCCTCGTGTTATTGATCGAGGGACTTAAGCGCATTTTTGTGTTAGCGATCAGCATTTGACTGTCTATTTATTTTGCGTTCATTTACAGATCATTAGAGGTTAGAAGATCATTGATTTCAGTGCAATTACAATGAATGCTTATATAGAAAAGCTTTATTATTTAACGGTCAATAAATAATTTGAAATTTTTCCGCTAAAAGTTGCACTTCAAAAACAATAACTATAGTATAATTAATAATTTGTAGAAATGAATTTCCATATAGAAAAAGTTTATCATTTAACGGTTTTTTGAGACGAAAAATCATTAATTATAGTATATTTAACAATTTAATATCTTTAATTCTCATAAATAAATTGTCTATCATTTAACGGTTTTCAGAAGTTCAAATTTTGTAACGGTCGTATGCATTTGAAAGTATCTTGACAAAAGTTACAGTAAAATCATTAATTATAGTATAAATAACAGTCTGTTGCAAAAAATTTTCATATAAAAAGGCTTTGTAATTCAACGGTTTTTTGAGATTCAAAATTTTTCAACGGTAGAAATAAATTCGAATTTCTAAACGCTCTCATCACGTGTTTTTTCATATGAAATATAAAAATCATTAATTATCGTACAAAAAGACTGTTTCAAGACTTTTAAATGCGTTTCCCGAAAATAAAACAATGGACCTGAGCTAATAAAACAAACTAGAACTCTCTACGAGGTCTAGTCAAAAAGTTTTTCTCCGCCCGAACGAACAGACATAGTGAGATATTAAGCTACCTTTTCGAAACAAGTTTCAAAAATGCGCTAAAAAAGTTTTTGAGATCTGGTGCTTCAGCTTTATAGAATAATCAAAAACTATAAAACTTTATAAATTAAAATTTTCTTAATACCCTTTTCAATTATATATAACGTTGGACTTCCACAACAAAAAAAGGGCGACCTTATTTTAAATTTTTTACATTTTTGACTGTATCTTTTGTTATACTCAATAAATCTTACTGAAACTTTTACAGATTTTTAACCGTAGTTGTATCAGTAAACGCTGACCGAAAAATTTCGATCTCGATCCCGATCCCGAAAATTTTCTGTACCGGAATTTCGATAAAGCATGCGTGTCTTATAACTTTATAATATTAAAAGATCCAAAAACAAAACTATACTTAACAGAAAGTACTAAAGTCTGCCCGTAATTGTTTACGGGATATCATACTCGTATTAACAAAATAAAATTTGGTAACATCATTGTGTTGAACTGAATCTAGATCAACAGGAATTATTTTAGTCGATAAGTAAGATCATTGTTATTTTTTAAAAAAGTTTCAGATATAAGGTAAAAAAACCAACCACGGATTTAAAAATTATTATTATTATTATTATTATTATATTTATTATGGTCCGTATTTAAATTAAACGACCTTTACTTTTCCATGTATTTATCTTTTTAAAAGGAAAAGTCGTCTGAAAAAGTACTTAAACTATTTCAAACTGCATGAAAACCTTTAAGATAAATGTTTCAATATTTACATAAATTTTACAATTATTTCTTTTCAGTTGTAACCAGGGGGGGGGGGGGACAGAGCAAAAATTGATATGAAAAAAAAACCCCAAAATGCTTACTCTGATGAAATTTCCAAGTACTCCACAAACGAAATTGAAAAAGTCAAATTTAAAGGAACTGAAGCATGAAAGTAAAAATTTTTGGATGTCAAAATGTCTTAAATCACGATTCTCATCAGTTCCAATCAAAATTTCGGTCCTAAACTGCATCGGAAGGAAGTATTACGAAAATTTCATTTTTCGACAAATTTTTTTTCCAATACAAAGTCGAGTACTTGGAAATTTCATCAGAAACATTTTTGGGTTTTTTTTCATAGCAATTTTTGCTCTGTCCCCCCCTGGTTGTAACATAGCTAGTGTGGATTAAATATTTTCGTATATGTCTAATTCTTTTAAATAATTCACGACTGAGATTAGCTTTTCTCTGTTGTCATTTTTAAGAGTGTCAAAGTCGATTTTGTAATTGTCTTGTTGTTGTTTGTCAAGGCTGCAGCTGAGGATGTGCTTCACCGTTAGTGGTTCTGCACATCTGCAGGTCGGAGTGCTCGTACGTTCAATTAAATGTCCATGAGTCAGTCTTGTATGTCCTATACTTAGTCTTGTTATTACAGTTTGGTCTTTTCTGTTAAGAAAGTCTATAGTCTTCCATCTGTCAATGGTCTTTTTCAAGCTTCTTAATTTATTTTGTCTGTCAATTTCTTCGTTCCAGTCTAGTTGCCATTTGTGTCGAGTACGTTCTTTAATGCTTCTGTCAATGTCTGTATGTGTTATAAAGTATTGATGGGAGACTTGTTCTTTGGTTGCTTGCTTTACTTCTATGTCAGCTTTCTCGTTTCCGATAATCCTGAATTTCAATAATCGTTGGATGTTTTGTCTGTCTGTCTGTCTTGTATTCCTAATACTGCACTAAGTGAGTCTGTACATAAAGCAACTTTGGTCTTTTTTTCCTGTCAACAATTTTAATAGTTCTGGATATCGCGAATCTGCTTTACACAGAGCTGTACGAATGGCACTTATATCTGTATACGTCACTTCTCTCAATCACAGCACATCCATAGCCATCGTCAGTTTTTGATCCGTCCGTGTAGTAAGATTCGTACATGTCTTGTTTTAGTTTGTTGATTTTTTTGTTAAACTCGTTGTGAGTATTTGTGATCTTTGCTGTTGTCTTTTAAGTTTTCGTATAATGAATGTTTTTAAAAATTAAATGACTAAGGAAATTCTATATTGAATATATTTAACTGTGAAGGATGAAAAATCCAAAATGAACTTGGCCATATTATTGATTTTTTAAAAATATCTTAAAAAATAGAACAACTCAACGAAATTAATAGAATAAATTGAGAAAATTATTTTCAAAAATATATTTCTCAGGAAGAGAATGAACAAAAAGAAAGTTAACTGGCTTAAATATTTTTTCGCATGCTTAAAATCGAAATTTTAATCTTTTTAACTCATTTATGAAAATATCCCAGTAACTTAAATAATACAGCAATTAGAAGTTTATAATATCGAAATCATGGTACATTTTGCAGAACTTGTTTGGGAAAATACTGGAAATTTTAATAAAAACAAGACTATGACAAATAATCATGCAATAACTTATTACATACTTTAGAATCTACTAAAATAACCTTAAGATTCCGCAAAGCGAGGTTTTTGTCTGAAATACTTAGTACAGTAGCCATCAAACTCCAATAAAACTAGGAATAAAGCCAAAAACTTTCCTTAGACTGATGTTTTAATACGAAAATTACTTAGGACACTAGTAAATACAACTAGAAACTCTGAGTAAATGTCCAATCCTATTTCAGAAACCGATTGTTTAAATTAATCAGTCAAAACTGTATGAAAAATTATTGTATGTGATCAAATTTATATTTTGGTACTCGACAAACACTTTAAAATATTTCATCACTTTTTTAAACTTTACAAGTCACAATTGCTTCAAATAACATATTTCTTACAGTTCATTTCCTCAAAAAATTCGACATATTTGAATAATTTTTTTCCCAACAATCCCATGGGATCCCAATAATCCCAGCATTTTTGAGTGTCCACGCCTCCGTTTATTCATAAAAAATAAAAACAAATTTTTGTTCTCAAATTAGATTTTCAGTTCCATTTCAAAGCTTGCATTATTTGAATTGTCTTCGTCTATTTCATCCTCGTCGACTTCAAGCTCGTACAATTTAACGATTTTTTGATTCGATGCCAAAAATGCTGCAACTTTACGTGAACCAGACACAGCCATTAACATGCCACTAAATCCCTCAATTATTTTAAATGCACTTTCATCAATGAAATTATACATGTTGAGTATTGCTGGATCTGTTGATGAATTCTCTGAGAGATCATCGAGAATACGAGAAATTGGTAATTGAATGAAGCATGACTGAGTTTTTGTGCCAATTTCATTTCTTAATAATGCTGAAATAATTTTTGAATTATAAAACTTGACATCAATGAACGACAAATGTCCAAGTGATGAAATGTCTAAATCATCTTTATCACCAAAAACTATTTTAGCAATTTTCATCTCAGAATTAGCATAATAAGATATGAAAAGCAGTTCACAATCTGACAATAATACTGTAAAATAATTAACAGCATTCTCATCGTCTCCATCAACAGCATGTGATGTGATAATTCTTGGCATTTCACAAAGGATGTCATTTCCAACAACAATATCGAATTGAAGCTGATATTTTGATCCAATTGACTTTTCTAGTCGCTGAAAAATGCTACTAATACTTGATTCCATCATCTTTTGTTCCTGAATAAGGGAAGTATTTTTGCGGTGAGTATAGACAAACTTATTTGCCACCAAACATTCATTTTCAGACAATAATTCACTCCATGCATTTTTTGGATCATCCTGTGCTTGAATCATGATATCTTTATTGGATAAATACTGTCCAATTCTCTCAAGATTAAACCTTATTTCTCGTTCATCGGTATCTTGATTTTTAAACTCTACTCGATTTTGTTCAAAATTGTCCAAAAATTCAGCGAGATAATTAACTTCCTGTTGTGAAATTGGTCCAGCGTCTTCAGGAACACTGTCATCCATAAGTCTTGAAATTGTTATGTACAGCCAACGGAAGAAAATTTTAAAATCTCTCATAGATTTATCAATTATTTGCTGCAGTTCATGTGATTTTATTAAGAATGAGCCTGTATTTTTTAATGCTGCGTTTGTAGCTGTTCCAAGCAGTTCTTTATATTCATAAGTGTTTTGATGCATGCCGTACAAATGATTGACATGATGGAAAAGTGCAATAGTTGCACTGTAAAGTGGTTTAACTACAAGTTTTTGGATAGTTCCATAGCTCATTTCAAGACTATTACTTAATTTCTTTAATTCTCTAACAGTCATATCTTGTGTAAGGAATTGTTCGAGTGCTTCTGAAGGATATCCAAACAAGAGAAGTTCCAAAAAGTCGGCTGAAATTGCTCCTTCTGACTGCTTTTTAGCATATTTTGATAATTTATTGTCCATCTCAAGCAGAACGAGTTCCCATGCTTCTCCAATATGCTCGACTGTATCATTAATGTAGTCCTGTATGTTTAATATTAAGCCATATTTGACTGATAGCTTCCATAATGTAGCATGATATTTCATCATTAACGGATTTTCAAAGCATGCATAATGAAGTAAATTATCCTTTTGATAGAGCACAAAGAGCTGTTCAAAATTGGTACTTAACTTTGCTTCCAAAATGTCAATTTTCTCATCACCATCTGCATTTACAGACTTTCGTACATCAATTGATCCACAAGATAAAACGCCATAAACATAAATGTAAATTCGTGCATCTTCACAAATCACAATTAGAAAGTTTAGTCCACTCTTTGAATAGAATTTTGTGCTTCTATAGTCATGCTTCTTTGTGCTGGATGACACAGTATTGTTGATATTCGGCAATTGAGATAAATAAACTTTAAAATCTTCCAGTATTGATTTATCATCTTCAGGAATGTCTATGGTGTTTTGAGTCCAGCAAATTGACTTGATGCATGATGGAATTTTAATTGATATAATCACTTCCTTAGACTGATCCTCAATATCCACAAGATTAATTAAATGATTATTGTAAGCTATCGCCAATATTTTCTCATCAATTCTCCAACCTAGTGAAGTAACACTCGCTGAATTTGCATCCACTGTAGCTGGAGGTGGTATTTTCATTGGCACATCCCACTTAAATCGATTAATCACCACTTCTCCTGAAGATTAATTATATTTTAATTTAGAAAAAATTTGTGTATGTTTAAGAATGTCAATTTACCTGTTTCGCTGACTAAAGCAATCAGATCCATCTTGTTACTCCATTGCATATCATAAATGCAATTCGGGTTGTTCCGGTTTCCAATCAATTTCATTGACATTTTCGCTTAATTATAGTATTTTTGTGCTGCTCAATAAACTCAAATAAAATATAAACAAAAAGCTTCGTTAAAAATGGGTAACGGTCGTGAAAAGTTCAAATAACTCAAGAGGAAATCAATGTTATGGGAATATGTTTTAAAAGTAAATATCAAACAATTCTCAGCTGATTTTCTATCATAACTCTAGTTCATTTGTATACTTTTGAAATTTGGTGGGAAAATTCGCATCAAAATCTATTCCCCATTATGTTGGTTCCCCCCGTGAATAGACTGGAAGAATTAACGAAGGTGTGGAAGTTTAATACTAAGGTTCGTCAAGTGTGTGAGTGAAAAATTTGAAGAAATTAATACTAGTTTTTTGGTAAATACATGCATTAACACGTAATTTTAGTGTCAGGAAGTGCATTAATAGCGTTAATTGAGTCAAGTGAATATGGAGTACAGAGCAGAAAGTTAAAAAAATTGAGTTTAAAATAAATCGATTTTTCGTCGCAATAAAAAATTGAAAAAATGCAAGATTTCTGCAAAAATAGAATATGAAAATGTGTTGGATGGTGTTATTTTAAGTGTTTTTGTTGATTCGAACAAAGTTAACAACTTTCCGGCACAACAAAATTGATTTAAAGTGATTTTTTAAGTTTGAGAAAATTTTCACATGGTTTCATACATTTTTTCTATACATTGCGCAATGCGGATTTTCACTCAAAATATCATCATCAAGATATGCTCAAGACTTACCAAAGTTGTTCCTTAAAAAAGTAGTCAAAAAGACACATTTTTCATGTTTTTGACGATTTTTGTTGCAAAATTTTAAGTAAAAAGTATTGAGACTTTCTAGCAACGTCAAACTGTGCATTAGACATCCCTTTATTCCTCATAAAAAATGAAAATTTTCAAGGGCATTCGATGATTGCATAATTCTCCCTTCATTTTCATATAAATTGCTCTGATTTATTCAAATATATGTAATTTCCAATACACAAAAATACAGCAAGCAATATTAAGCAGTGAAAAGGTTAAGAGAAAAAACTTTGAACTTGTTAGCTAGCCTGCCTGAATTTAATTTCCATTTCCTCAATTAACAATATTAATGCAATGTATGCATTTTAATTCAAATATATAAATTGTTATCATCTCGCACATTCTGTGCGATTCTTACACATCATTATTATTACATATTGATAAATATAAATAAACAATCTTTCTTGTTCCACAGTTTGTCATTTAAGTTTTATGAAAGAAATCAAACGATTATTTTACGAAACTTACTACAATTTTAAGCAACTAAGAGGCCTAAACATAATTTCCCAAAATCAATAATATTGAGAACGAGAAAAAAGTAAAGAAAGCAAAAAAAATATTATTCATCATGGAACCACTTGATTCAATAATTACTGCATCCAATAACAATTCTCTACCACCTTGTTCACCGACCTTAACAAAATCTAATTCTAATTCCGAAACTTCGTCGATAATTTCCACTTCGTCCGATAATAACAACATGTTTGGTGGTGGTGAGACATTCAATAGTGGAATGGGCGATGAAGTCGCTGTTGAGCCACTCGAAAGTCTCGATGGAAAGGACGAAAACTGTAAACATTGCCAGTAAGTCAAACTATTTTACTCTTATTGCTTAATTATTCATGAATCATTGTCTATGTCTTTGTTGTAGAAAAAAGTTGGTCCTACCTCGCGTCCTGTCTTGCTTGCACTTTTTTTGCGATCCGTGTATCTCAAAGCTGACTCTCGAAAGCTCCTCAGAGTCCATCAATTGTCCGATATGTGATCAAATTACCAAAGTAAGTTTACCACTATTAATCAAATTCTAAGCTATGTAGAAAATAATAAACTATAATGCCATTTTTGTAGGCCCCAAAAGGTTCAACATCGTTGCCGTTCCACTTCATCTTGACGAATATCCTTGATCTGGCAACAACTGATATTAGCACATTGTTGTGCACGTCGTGCAAAAGCAAAGAGGAAGCAATCTCGCGTTGTAATGGTTGTGCCAATTTTTTATGCGCAGATTGTGATAAAGCGCATCGAACAATGCGTTGTTTTGAAGAGCACCAAGTAGTCACGTTGGAAGCAAATGGAACAATTCACAAGCCATTGTATTGTAGTGTTCATGCAACGGAAAACTTAAAGTATTTTTGTTACAGCTGCGAGACCCCTGTGTGCAACGAATGCTTAATATCTGATCATAAAGCAACGGAACATCGTTATGAGATCATTAGTGAGGCAGAAAAGGATATGCGTATGGATGTTGAGAAATTATTGATGAATACACGCAATAAAATTGATTATTGTGACAATGAAAACTCAAAACTCGGCTCATCATTGGGAGAATTGCAACAACAACATGATACAGCACATAATGAAATTAATAAGGCATACGATGTCATTCTTAGTGCAATTGAGAAGCGTAAAGAACAGGCATTATCTGACTTGGGAAGTTTACATGCGGAAAGAGAAATTAAGATTATGGAACAACTTCATTTGATGGAAAAGTCAGTCGAACAAATGGAATATTGTGCCATGTTTACGAGAAAATTATTAGATAATGGAAATGGACATGAGATTCTCAGCATGAAGAAAATGATTAGTCAACAATTGACCAAATTAATTGATAATATTCCGAAAGTTAATATAAACTATTCATTGGAATTTATCTCAAACTTTAAAAAGTTTGAAGAATTGGCACCAGAAATATTTGGTAAATTCCGTACTGAATCAACAGCAATGATTAAAGAATCAACACCGCCACCAACTTTGCCAGGAATTCCATCTCTTCATAATAGCACAAAGAATATTACGTTAAATGGAAGTGGTGGAAGTAGTTCCGTTACAAATGGCAGTATTTCAGTTACTGCAAGCAGCCCAATATCCTTGCCAACATCCTCAATGCAATCATCATTTGATGGTGATATGAGTAATGGAATTAATAGCTTTGGAAAAGGATTTAATACCTTAATTCCACCATCTTTAATGACACCTGAATCACCAACACCAAATGCCATAATTCCTGCTAATCAATTAAATGTCCCACAAGTTAGCAGTATGGTTGAATATAATTTGCATAGACTCGCAAGTTTTGCTGAAAGTACATCACCTGATTTAACTGATTCCATTATTCCACCAGTTCCTGCAGTCGGCTCAAATTTCTTACTTGATGAAATGCTCAATGGTGGTGATCAACAGATTATTAATAATTTGCAGGCACTCGCTAAAATTGGTGACATGACTAATGGTAATACCTTGAATAATTTGGGAATGATTGATAACTTTATATCTCCATCGCCAATCTTACAAACTCCATCAACAATCGGAGGTATTAATAATGATCTGAAAATGAACTGTTACTCACAATTTCGTGCACACGATGGCGGTCCGTCCCAAGGAAATAATCAATCAAACCTTTCGAATGGCATTGGACGCAATAAAGCTCTTTCGATGCAAATTCGTGTCAAGTTTGGTGCTTTGGGGCAGTCTCGAGGACAATTTAATTCTCCTCATGGATTCTGCTTGGGATTAGACGAGGAAATTATCGTTGCTGACACTAACAATCATCGAATTGAAGTAAGTAGAACTTTAGAGTTTTATAAGGGGCCCTGACGAAAAACAATTATTCGTGATTTACGCTATGATTTGTCGATTTTCTCCGAATCCTTAAAAAGGTGGAAAATTTAAAAAAATGTTTTTGGTGTGAATTTGTAAATAAATTTTTTTCGTGAACTTTTTTTAAAAGACAGACGACAGTTGGAACGTTACATACTTCTTGACCCCCCCTCCCCTTATGTTACATTTTGTTACAAATTTTCAAACCCCCCCCCCCCCCTCCCCCCTAAAATGCGAACATAATAAGTGAACGGCCCCTAATAGGATTAAATTAAGTTAAAATTTTTTCAACGGTTTTGAATTTTTTCTGTTGTGAGTTGTTTGTTTACAAACAAAAATTAAGATGCAATTTCAAGAGGCATGAAAATATCACAAAATAATACTTTTCGTACCTAATCAAATCATAATATTTGGAAATAATGATTGAATAATTAAGATATTTGAGAATTTCAAATTTAATTTTTCCGTTGAGCAAAAATCCAAAAAAAAAAAATCGTCAAGTCCCTAAGATATTTAAGACTAATAATATTGCTTTAATTTAGGTATTTGAAAAGACGGGAGCTTACAAGTTTCACTTTGGGGTACCGGGAAAGGAAGAAGGACAATTATGGTTCCCTCGTAAAGTAGCCGTAATGAGAACGAATAGTAAATTTGTGGTTTGCGATCGTGGAAATGAAAGATCTCGCATGCAAATATTCACAAAGAATGGACATTATATTAAGAAAATTGCAATACGTTACATTGATATTGTTGCTGGACTTGCTGTTACAAACCAAGGACATATTGTGGCAGTCGATAGCGTCTCTCCAACTGTCTTCATCATTTCAGAAGATGGTGATCTTGTTCATTGGTTTGATTGTAGTGATCACATGCGCGAACCATCAGACATAGCTATAAGCGGTAAATATTGATACAAGTTGTTATTATATTTACTTTATTGATTGACTAAAAATAATTTTTATGACCTCGTTTAGGCAATGACTTTTACGTGTGTGACTTTAAAGGACATTGCGTTGCTGTGTTCAGCGAAACTGGTCAGTTTAAAGCTCGTATCGGAAGTGAGAAAGTAACATGCTTTCCAAATGGAATCGATATTTCTGATGCCGGTGACATCTTGATTGGAGATTCTCATGGCAATCGATTCCACGTTGCATGCTATAATCGTCATGGAGAATTACAATGCGAATATGAATGTCCTTATGTTAAAGTAAGTACTTTGATTTTTATAAGAAACATTTAAAAGAAACAAATTTAACGTATCTTTAGAATTTGAATTTAAATAAAAATGTTTCCAAATCTGTTGAGAGGTTTTGAGATTCAAATTTATTAGGACGGTTGAAAATAAATTTGTGCTCAAATCAAAGAATCTTGTCAACACAAATGCTAATTTAAACAATATGATGTTATTTATAGGTCTCGCGCTGCTGCGGCTTGAAAATTACAAGTGAAGGCTTAATAGTCACGTTAGCAAAGAATAATCATCATGTATTGGTGTTGAATACACTTTACATACAGTGATTTCCAATGACCGATAAAAGAAGAACTCTCAAAAACTCATACGCTTCAAATTCTTAAAAGGAATAACAAAAAAAAAATATTTACAAAATACAAAAATGGATAAAAAAAAACAAGTAAGAAGATTTTGGGAAACTTAAATGATAAGAAAATGATGAAGGAATCCGTAAATGGATGAAAAACTAATAATAACAATGAAGAAGAAGAAAAAAAGAATGAAAGAAGATTAATATTAACATTTAATAATATTACAATTTATCAACTTAATGATCTCGTTTTTTGAAAGGACTCTAGTGTTTTCTATTTAACCTTTCAAATTTATATATCAATATAAGAATTGCACGTATTATTACATAACTCCGTTTTTTTTGTCATTAGAAATTTTTTCATTGTTTCTATGTTTAATTGTATACAATTAGTTTTCGATATTTAAAATATGAAAATTACAAACTTGAAGAAAAATACACAATGATGGAACTGGTATCATTCTAAAAAACCAAAAATTAATTAACTTATTTCCATGGTGTTTTTCTTTCTGGAAGCTGGAAACTTTACAACAAAATAGAAAATGATCTACTTATATACATCCGCAAAGATACACTCTCTATTATTTTATAGCTGAGCTTACACAATAGATATTTAACCATAATGATTCCCTTGATTTAGTCAGTTGTATAGCACGTATAAATTCCTTTTTTTAAGGCTAAATGTCTGAATAGTCTACACAAGCTTCCTTTTTGTTGGATATTTTTAATTATTCTGTTTTTTTTTTTATTATAAGTAAGACGTTTTATACTTATATATACAAATGAACCTTATCTAATAAGATGACTCTTTTTCTCTTTTTACGTCCTTCGATGATGCTTTAGTTCCATTATTATACAATAATAATAATATTTACAAAATGAATGCTTTTACGATTAAACTCTGCTTGTGAAATGTCCACAATTGTTAATATTTTAATGCCAGCGCAGCACTTTGTGGTAATATCGAATCTTATTTATTCTCATAGCTGATCTGCTGGTTATTTTTGCTGTCTGATCTTCAATTCAGTGCTTATAGAATGAATCAGGTTTACTATTACGACGATGTGCTGCATATGTGACATTTTACCAGCTCTCTCTCTCTAAAACAAACTTTTTAAAACTATGAAATTTCCTCTTTTTATTAAAAAAACTATTTAAGAACATTTCAATGAGAAACTATCAAAAAAAAACAAAAGCAAAATTTTGCGCCTTTCTAGTTGTTCAGACAACATTAAAAACATTTCATATATTGTATTTACAATTAAAAGAACCGCTTAACTTTTTACACATGATTTTTGATTCTACGTGTGATGGTTTTTACTTCATTTTTAAGTAATGATATATAATATATTTAATGAATTTAAAGAAAGCTCAGCTTTATATTAGCATTGAGCAGATCAAAACAAAACTTTTTTCTTTTTAATTTTTACTATTTTTGTTTTAATTTTTAATTTCCAAATATTCATAGTGTGATTTTTTTTGAAAAAACAATTTATATACCTAATATGCTTAAAAAACAATACTATTAATTATAGAGTGAGCTTTCAAATATGCTAATGATTTTATGAATGAGATTCCAGTACTTTTGACAGATCAGAAAGTTGATTTTTCTACTAAAGAGATCTCATAGTCATACAAATATGTGCAGGAATTCATGCTTGATCGGGATGGCTGGATAGAATTTTGAATGTTCACGATTGGGATCTAATTTCAATCAAGAATCATACAATTGCTAAGAAATTTAACATTTGTAGTGTTTTGAAAGCAATACAACAGCAAATTGATACATAAAAGTTGAATTTGTCAGTTTTAAAAACATCCTGAAAAACATACAAATGTAAACTTTCAAAATTAAAAACCATACAACAGCAAATGACGTCAATAATTGAATTTGTAAGGTTTAAACAACAATCAATCTGAAACCATACAAATGTCAAATTGATGACACTATTCTAGACAGTCAATTCCAATCAAGTTCTACAGATTCCTGAGTAAAAGAATGTTTAATTCGAGTGGTATATTTAAAATTTTACTCTAGATCAATCTTTACATAGAAAGCAACTATTTTTTGAATGTGAAAATTCTTTTAGGAATGAGAATATGCAAATATAAGTAATAATAATTAATTATATTTTTTTTTTCTTTTCAAAAGTCCAAAAAAATGTTCAATCTTTAAAAATTATGATAAACAAAAATCCCACAATTTTTTCCATTTTTTGAATCGCTTTAGATTAGTAGGAACGATGGTTGAAGAAGAAATAATAAGAAATTTGTTAAATTATGTTTACTCGTAGCGCTTAAGAGACTCTTTTTCGTCAAAAAAATGAATTTTTACAATAATCAATATTTACAGGTTTATTAGACTTTTACCATTTTAAATGAGAAAAACAAAAAAAAAATTTGAAAAAAATACCAAAAAAAAAATTTTAAAAAATGCTCAAAAATTAAAAAATCTTGAAAAAAAATGAAGTTAGTTAAAATGTTTTTAAAATGTGCATTTAGAAAAGAATATATGGAATATATATTTATACTTGTATATTGAAAACAATCCAAAGTATATTTGATGATATTTTTGCCTTACTTTTACATTTGAAAAAGAATATACATCATAAATATGAATATTTATTGAAAAAATATGAAAAAAATGAAAGAAACACGACAACATAAAGTGAAGTGAAATACAGAAACCTTAAATTTTATTTCGATTACTCGACAAAACTTCCGACAAAGTGATTTTTTTTTTGTTCTCTTCATTATTTAAATGTGAGGGAAAATATCGAGGTATGCGCACTGCCATGGTCTTCTATCGGAACTAGTGTTAATAAGTCACTGTAACAGTATTAAATAGTGACTGAAGTGCATTCTTAACAGACAAATTGGATAGATTCAATTTTTAACGGCTATAAAAAATTCGAAGTTAAACGGTTTTCATAAATTCAAAATTCAACGGCCATAAAAAATTCAAAATTTAACCAGTTTTGTAATATTCAAAATTTAACGGCTCTGACTTGACCTGTTTTAGGAATGGCACGCAAACAATTGAATTTAAGTATGTCTAGTAGTCGAATTTGATAAGAGCACCAGTGAGCAGTGCCAACAAACATTATTTTTATGCTTTCTCACATCACTCGCGATAATTTATGTCAATTCATTTTAAACTTTCCTTAATTATACACGATTATATATACACATATACGAAACAAAAAAAAACAAGCATAGATGAAGATGAAAGTTCCTCAAAAATATCCAAATAATAAAAAAACTGCTAGCAATCTTTTTTATTAAAAAATTCTTGTGAGCATGAATAGTGAACGTTTCTAAAATTTATTATATTAAAGAATTTATATAGAGTGAGTTTTTTCAGAATAGCACCTTTTAAAATGATATCTTGATACATAATAAAGAAGATATTGGAAATTTACAAATTTAATGATTTTTAAGAAGAAAAATGAAACTTTTGTAAGCACAATTTGTTCAATGGGGTTGGGAATGGGGAGTATTTGAAGTTCTCTTCTGGCTGGAAAAGCTCTAAATGTGTTGAGTTACTTTTAAAATTAAAATTAAAGTTTAAAAGCTTTTCGAAATTTGAAATATTTGTCATAGTTATAAACCCTTTGAACCAAATTCAAATCAAAAATTACCGTTATTTTACAAATTTTGAAATTATTAAATTTAATTTAAAGATCTTAGTCTGTAATGACTTGACATTAAGCTCTGATCCAAAGAACAGCTAGAATAGATCACAAAAATTTCCTAAATCAACTCAGCAACCCCTGAATGAATAAAATATCTGAAACACATTTTATTAAGTATGAATGAAAAGAATCCAAAATTTTAATTTGTCTATTAAAATTAATTAGAAATTCACGTGAATGAAATTATCATGCAAAAAACTCGTTCAAAAAACAAAAAATTATTAAAATTCTTCGCAAATGAAATAAATTTTTAAAAGAACCCTCAGGATATAAAAAATATACATTATACACACATGATGATGTTAATGAAAAGCCCTTATTTTTGTGTTTTAAAACAATTAATTTTTAAGTTGAAAAGAATTTCGTACAAATTTTTTATTTTATTTTTTGGAGGTCGTTCAACTATCATGTCTGTCAAAAACATGATTTTTAAACTTTCGTCCTTTGAAAAAAATTCCTTTGTTTGAGCTGTCATAAAATCCTAGACCCCCTAAATATCGGACGTCATAAGTGAACGACCCTTTGTTTATTTTTATTATTTTATTGTCATTTTTAAAAAAACAATTCAACAACTGAAACATTCATCCCAAAAAAATTTACAGACTTATTGCAAATTAATAGCAAAAATAAAAAAAAAAGTGAACCTATATTGGACAAAACATGAATATGTAAGCATGTAATTGAGTAGTGTGTAGTTTTTAAAATGAATTATTGATTCTACATATCAATTGAACAGATTTATACAAAGTAATAATAACAATATTATGATTGATTCGAAGTCAATTCAATAATTATTGCTGGTAAAAAAAGGAAATTAATTTTTCGAATCTGATTATGAACTTATAGCAATTTCCTAGTTTTCCTTATTAAAAATATGATCCCAATGAATAAATGAGCAAATTTAAGACTTTTTTGGGTAGTGGCTTTCTTTGGCTTTCTTACTGGTTAAATTATACACACATATACACATACAAAAATTACTTAAATTAAGGAATTGATGCTAATTGGAAGTTGTTCGATTGAAATGCGGAATTAACAGAATTGATCAATAACGTATAAAATATATTTGAATCTTCAAATTTCCAAATACCGTTAGATTTTTAATTTATCAATTCCAATTTAAAATAAAAAAGAGAAAAGATATTAAAAAAATTTCCTTCAAGGCATTTGAGACAACAATTTCCACATTTTTCAACTTCCTTGCTTAAATCATTGATGAGAAAAAAAATATTATAGAAATACATTAATATAATAATTAGAGTGCCATTTTTACAATTGAATTTTACCTTTTTTTTAAATATACATTATTGACTTGTGAAAATTACCGTGGAATTGGAAACTATGTGTTTGATGCTTAAAGTCGTTCTTTTGATTATCAATTAAGATTCTAAAAGAGGTCGTTCACTAATTAAGTACGAAATTTATTGTGTAGGAGGACTGAGATTTTGTGAAAATTCAAATGAAGATAATGGAAGTCTCCCATATCTTAAAATCTAGTATTGTACATCTAATAATAAGTAAAAGCCTCTTAGGAATTTGAACTGAAAGACATTTGGATGTATTAGGCTTTATAAATGAAACCAAAAGAAATATCATGACTAATCGCAGTTTAAAGTCTTATTAAAGAAGCCAGAAAAGGGTCTAGACG